CTTTTATTTTTATTTCAACCCCCCGACTCAAATTTTTGAAAAAAATTCCCGTAAAACAGAAAATAAAAAAATGTTGGCCTAAATGCCACTGTTTGTCATGAGTTGTGTAGCATAGTGGTTAGCATGTTAGTCTAATAGAAAAAAAAAATTGAAATTCAGGATTTTTATTGTTTGAGAACCCCAAGAATACCACATTTTATTTTATTTTTTGATCATAGAATAATTTTGCTGAGAGAATTTTCTGTAGAAAAGTTTTGTTTGTCATAATTTGATACCTTTCAAAAATAAGACCTTTACTCTAAACACTGCTTGGAGCAGTGGTAAGAGCATTGCTCTGGAGTTGCAGCATATAAGGAGTTGATCCTTATGTCACGGGGTCGAATCCCCTGTACAACATGGAGATTGGTCCTTCAGATAAGACCGTATAAATCAAGGTCCCATGTTGCAGTGCTGGCACGAAAAAGATTCCTCACTACTCAAAGGCCGTAAGTGCCGAGTACAGGTCTAAAGAGATAGCACACTTAGCATACCAATTGGCCTACAATATAGTGCATTTACAAACATCCAAAATATTTCAATATTTTGTGATATTTAAGTAATTCAAGCCATGAACAAATACAAATTATGCCAGTACCTGGCAAAAAAATTCAAAATTATCTCAAACAAGATCAATGAAATTTACAGATTTTGCCTGGGATATATGGAGATCTATTGAGTAAGCATTTAAAAATCACAGATTTGTGTAATTGAACCAACTTAAACCATAGAAATCTTGAATGGATTACGTTCTTTTGATATCATAGTATACTGTGATATTAAAATCTTTTTGGTTTAACTTGGTCTTCCTATTAAAAAATGACTATATACTTCAGTTATCTTATTTTCCTAAAGACTCTAACACAGGGCTATATACGAGGGGTTATCAAAAAGTTCGTGGACTAGCTTTATAAAATTAAAACCACTTTAGATACATGAACGAATTATTTTGACACATTTCCTTAGAATCATATTTTCTATCTATAGAATAAACAATAAATCATAAGCTTTATTTTTTAATGAATTGTTAATTTTTTTTATACACCCGTCTTTAGACGGACGTATTATGTTATGGCGTTCATGCCCGTCCGTCTGTCTGTCTGTTTGTTTTTCTCGTGTCCGGCTCATAACTTGAATACTATTAGGTCTAGAATTATCAAACTTTGTCAGCTGATACTTCTTGGGTAGAAGGTGTGTCGCACATTAAAAGTAGGTCGCTCTGACCTCTAATAAAGATGCTATGACCAAATATGGAAAAATCCTGTCTGGCTCATAACTTGAAAACTATTAATCCTAGAATCATCAAACTTGGTCAATTAATGCATCTTATTCTTAGGTAGAAGGTGTGTCGCATCCTACTTCAAGGTCACTGTGACCTTTAATTAAAGTGAATTTATTAAAAAACTGTCTTTTAACTTTTAAATCACACAACCCCAAAAAATGTAAGAGTATTGCAGTAACCTTTTTAAAACAATATGTTAAATCTAGAAGTATACTTATTTTTTTCATTATATACTTTACAGCAATCTATAACAAATGTAATGTTATAAGAGAAATTCTACCTCTCCCATGGGTGTAATTATCAAGCACTGGTCAAGGAGAATTTTGATAACAGAAAATTGCATGTCAAATTAGAGAGAAATTAATGAGTTCAGTGTGAGAAGATAACTGGTAGAGCATCTCTGATCAAGCAGATGTTATCTTTATCTCTTGGGAATTGGGCAAAGGATTAAAGAGTTTTTGTTGGCTAGCTTAACTTTCAAAAATAAATTTGGTGTAAAGTAATTAAAACTAATTTGATATTGTGTGATATAATTAAAAGTAATAAAACCAAATTGATATTGTGTAATATAACTAAAACTACTTATACATTGGGGTGGGGTTGGAATCAGCGTATCCATCTGTCCGTATGAATTGCAGCTTAAAACCAGTCATTAAATCTAAAAAAATCACCAAGTATTAAAAAATGCTTTATGGTAGATAGTCCCTACAGAGTCATGCAGTAACTTATTAAAATTGTTGAATCAAGATTGTATTTTTTTTCATCTTATAAATTTTTGTAACAAATTTTAAAAAAAATCTTTGTTGTCAACAGAATAACATAAATATGCTTTTTAATGCCCTGTTCACACGGAGAGTTTAATTCGAATTAAACATAAGATACTGCGAATTAAATTTTAACTGCATTCACATGGGGAATTTAAAGCAAACTAGTTTAATTCAAATTAATTTACTGCTCATTAAATTACTTTGCATTAGCTCCGTGTGAACGCTAAAGCGAAGCTAATTTGAATTATTTAAATTTTGATGCATACGTAATGACAAAATTAAGTCATGCCATATGTCGGTGGTCAGATATAGGTACTTATGCTATTTTTGAGTGAAAAACAAAGGAAAATTATGCTAATCACTATAATTTGAACAGACATTATGACATTATGTGAATGGATCTGCTCTGCACAATGTGATGTGATTTGTAAATGACGTCATAGTAGCATTACTGAATAGCCTACCTGAAGTAATAAAATTTTAATTCGCATTAGCTACTTCGCATAAGCTGTAGTGTGAACGCAATTTAATTTGCATTATTTTACTTCGCATTAATTTACTGCGAATTAAACTCTCTCTGTGAACAGGGCATTATTGTACTGTAGAGTACAAAGCAGATCATCCCTTTAGAGTAATGAGTGGACATGCATCCAGTTAAAGATTGATTAATGAGGTCAATGTAGGAAGGTTAGCTGTCTCAAACATTTCTGTTAGAGCATCTCTGATCAAGCAGGTCTTATCTATATCTCTTGGGAAATGGGTAAAGGAATCAGCCTCCTAATTTGCTTGTGTTGGATGAAATAGTTCTTGCATGTTGGCTAGCCTAACTTTCAAAATAAATTTGGTGTAAAGTAAAAGTAAAACTAATTTGATAATTGTATAATATAATTAAAACTAATTTGATATTGTATAATATATTTTTTTTTTTAATTTTAATTTCTTTACAATAAATTGCAGAGTGTCATGTCTTGCTAAGATGACAATTTTATAGCCTAAAGAATAAACAAATATTATTAAGTTTTGATGTTTTATTAGGCTGTAGCATTGTTAATCAATCATAAAATCTACAATTATTTGTTATAATGAATGCCTACACCACAGAAGATGTATTTACATCAAACATTATAGGGAATAGAAAAATCATTGAAGTCTTTGTATTAAGGTTGACTTGATTTTCTTGCACTCTAAACTGTTTATATGATAATTGATCGGGCATATCATGCTGTGGCGGGGCACTTTATTGTAAGCACTGGTATTATCCAGGTGGCGCAGCCAGGACCATGACGTTTTTTCTACCTAAGTGTAACTGAGAAACACTTTTTTGATTAGAGACTTTGTCATCCAAAAATCCTGTTAATTCAGGCAAGTGGTATGACATATTTGTTCCGTAAAAATTGCAATTTATACCTCATTATGTAAATTCTATGAAATTTTATCATAAATTTTATATGGAGTGTCCAAACAATTAAGGGTTTGAAAATGACGTCAAGGAGGGGGAGGTGTTTCTTTTTCTAACGTTCTATAAAGTTTCGCTCCTGGAAAAACTGGTATAAACCTAGAAAATGTTTTAACGGCCAGAAGAGAAATAAAAGTGCATCTAGAATTCTTGTTTTTAAATGCTGCAAAAGATTCAGAGAGATGAAACATGCACAATTAATGTCAATTTGTAGTCAGGGTGTCAAAAGTCATGCAGTCACATTGAAAAGCAACGTTGATCATGTGTGGTAAATATTGAACTCCGACAAGCAGAATATGTTGACATAATCAAGTGAGGATCTTTCCCTATGTATAGTTCCCAGTATTATATTCATTGAAAGCAGTGTTCATGACATTTTAAAGTCATATAAGCAAGACGGGTTAAGGTCTTTACTTAACTCTAGGGAATCTCCTCAAGATAAGTGTATTGAGGCAGAGAGAGTGGACATTAAGAAACAATGACGTCGGACATACGAAACTAAATGGCGACAGCTCTGGGTAATCATATAATGACTTTTTTAATTTATAATAATTGGCTAATTATTATCTTACAGAATTTTATGTATCAAGATTTTTTCTTGACTTTTCACGATTTTGCTCTCAATTACAGTCTAGATTACTATTCATTTCTATGCTGCATCTTAAAAAACTGTCGTCAACATATCCACTTTTTCTCTTTATGTGTCTCTTCTTTCCAAAATAGTCAAAAATCATATGTTAAATCCAGATAATGTTAAATTCAAATGTATATAGGGTAAACAGACAAACTGAAACAATAATGTATAGATCTATATGTTTATTTCTGATGTGTATATTATGTGGAAAATATGATGATTAGCCAGAAGTCTCTGATGAGACTGTACCTCAAATGGTTTGTGCTTTTAACAATTAAAGGAAGAGAAAAGTAGCACTTGGGTTTGAAACTATGCAACAGCAATAAATAGAATAATGATCCTTGGTTTAGTCTCTTTTTGTGGCAAGATTTATTGCAATCAGACTAAAACTCTAGGAGGAGTAGCTTTGAAATAATTTCACAGAAATTTCTATGTTTAGTAACCATAGCAATACCATTCATCAAAAAACAATATACAAAATTATGTTTCATGAATCATCTTTATTATGAATTAAAGAATATGAATCTGGTAATTGGTGTATTTCTTTAAAAAAATCTAAACTAGTGATGCTTATCTGGATGATGGAGATTGCTTCAGGTGTTAAGGAATGATAACACTGGAATTCTTATTACTTGAATTTAAATCAAGTAATTATGTTATACTTCATAATTTATCAATCAACAGCTCACTTTATCAACCCAGAAAATTTAATAAAGATACATTAATTTTTGTAAAAGCTATGGAATTTTGTCACAGCTCTCATAAATGTGTATATGTATTTGTACAAAACAGAAACATCAGGGTTTCTTTTATTTTTTAATGTAGATGTGATACATACAGTGGGCCCCATTGGTGAGAAGAAGGATTTACTATCTAGAGCATATTTATCTGTCCTTAGTCGTCTAAAGGAAAACAATCTGACCTCTGTGGTAAGGAAATTTCTGTTTTTGAAAATTAATTGTATCATTACTGGAATGAATCTGAATAGGCTGATCTATATTATTTAACCTGCAATGAGTAAAAGGCCAAAAGATGAGTATTACTGATTATCCGTCATCCATCTGTGTGTTTTCCTGTAAATGTTTTGTTGTTTTCACTTCTTCAGAACCATTGGGTTAATATTTATCAACCAAATTTATTATACTCAAGGTACTTGGGTGAAGTTTCTTTAAATGAAAGGCCAAAATAGGGTGAGATTGTTTAAAAATCTGAAAAACCAATTGGCAAACTAGATTAAACTTATGTTAAAGCTCTCTAACATAGTAAAGATTCAAATTTGTTCAAATTACCACATGGCTCAGGAAGGATGAGCATTAAAAGGAACAAAGGATTACTTTGGAATATATGGATAAAAAATTTTTTCTTAGGAAACAGCCATTGTTAATATTAGTCATACATGTATTATTAGCTCACCTGAGCTGAAGGCTCAAGTGAGCTTTTCTGATTGAAATTTGTCCATTGTCTGTCATTGTCATTGTTGTCAGTGTTGTTGTCATAAACTTTTCACATTTTCCATCTTCTTCTCCAGAACCGCTGGGCCAGTTTCAACCAAACTTGGCACAGAGTATCCTTGGGTAAAGGGGATTCAAGTTTATTCAAAGAAGGGCCACACCTTCTTTCAGGGGGAGATAATTAAGAAAAAGTAAAAATTGGGTGGGGTCATTTGAAAATCACTTCTCAGGAACCACCTGGCCAGAAAAGATGAAATTTATATGAAAGCTTCATGACATAGTGTAGATTCAATTTTGTTCAAATCATGACCCAGTGGGATGGGTAGTGGCAACTATGGGTGATCAGTTTTACATGGGTTTACATAGGAAAAATCTATAAAAATCTTTTTCTCAAGAACAAGAACAGTACCATTCACGGTAGCTCAGTCGGTAGAATGATCAGGAGGTCCTGAGTTCGAATACAGTAGATACGCGACTGATCTAAGTCGATAAAAAAATTGGTAGCAACTGTTCCTTCACCATGCGCTCGGCACTTTGAAGTGAAAGTTGCGGGTCAAGATCAAGTTTGAATTTGGTCATGGTCTGATGATTTTTGACAGAGTTATCGCTCTTGAACTTAGGAAAAAATAAGAAAATTTCAGTTTCTGCTCTCTAACTTTCATAGGGATTTATGTATAAGGTTGAAATTGCATGTGCATTTATTTTACCAGAAAATAGAGGTCAAATTTGAATATGATCGTGGTGGTTGATTTCTGACAGAGTTATCCCTCTTGAACTTAAGAAAAAAATAAGAAATTTTCAGTTTCTGCTCTCATACTTTTGTAGGGATGTATGTAAAAGGTTGAAATTGCATATGCAGGTATTTTACCAGAAAATACAGGTCAAGCTCGAATACAAATTTAAAACTAAATATTGCATTTGAAATTTTGCCTGCTTCCGGGGGCATTCATGGCAATAACAACACATCTAGTCTCATACCAATGTTTACATGGATTTCAACCACACGTTTGACAACCATAGTGCACACTTTTTCTTATTTTCATTAGTATATTTAATTTCATAAATTTTCCAGCAAAGAAAAAGGGAGAGATAGTATTCTAGAAATCTGGATGAAAACTTGTGACTTTTCATAAAGAAAAAAGGAATCAGCATTCATTTTATACTTCTTTGCAACTCTACTTTCATTTTTGGACATTGCAGGAAAATCAAATCTTGTTTAAAGAAATTAGAGATGTCAGTGAGTACCTAGATGTTAAACCTATACTCGATCAAATGTCCAAATATTGAATATTAAAATCGGTACTCAGTTATTGGGATATACCTTTTTTCAGATTTCAAAGTACATATATTTATCAAAAACTGACAGTACAATGCAGTAATTAGCATCACCTACATCAGTAAATACCAGTTATCACCTGTGGCTGTGTATACACTGTAATTACTGTGACCAATCACCTGGTACATATTTGTTTCAATGAACATCATTTTTCTTTCAATTCTTTAGCTAGCATACAGTAGCAAAAATCGGATATGCATAGAAATGCCTCCAATTTCAAAAGTTAAGAAGTGTTTAAAAATGACTAGAATCCAAAAATGTTAAAGCCAGCTGTGTTAGAATGTGACTAGAATCCAAAAATGTTAAAGCCAGCTGTGTTCTTTCACCTACATCAGTAAATACCAGTTATCACCTGTGGCTGTGTATACACTGTAATTACTGTGACCAATCACCTGGTACATATTTGTTTCAATGAACATCATTTTTCTTTCAATTCTTTAGCTAGCATACAGTAGCAAAAATCGGATATGCATAGAAATGCTGAGTGTGCAATACATGTATGACCCAAACATTCCGAATGCGAGCATTCAATATCGAACACCCATTGTAAACAAAAAATATTGTCTGGTCAACTACTCAACGGCAATATTTATGATGAGTAGAGGCAGTTAGGTATGATGTGTCTATTGTCACACAAAATTAAAAATTTTGTCCCCCTCGAAGAAGGGAGGGCATATTGCTTTGCTGCTGTCTGTTGGTCGGTAGGTCTGTTTGTCTGTCCACCAACAGTTTTTGTTCATTTTCTTTGCATAGGTTGCACATATGGAAATGAAAGTTGGTATACAGATTTATCATAAGAACATCTAGGTCAAGTTCTGTTTTGGGTACGATTGAGAAATTTTTGACAGTTATGCCCCTTGGACTTAGAAAAATTCCAATTGATTGCAGTTTCCGTTCATTTTCTTGGCAGAGGTTGCACATACTGAAATGAAATTTGGTATACAGATTTATCATAAGAATATCTAGGTCAAGTTCTGTTTTGGGTACAATCAAGAAGTTTTTGACAAAGTTATGCTCCTTGGACTTCGAAAGATTCCAATTATTTGCAGTTTCTGTTCATTTTCTTGGCAGAGGTTGCACATACTGAGATGAAATTTGGTATACAGATTTAGCGTAAGAATATCTAGGACAAGTTCTGTTTTGGATACGATTGAGCAATTTTTGACAGAGTTATGCCCCTTGGACTTAGAAAAATTCCAATTATTTGCAGTTTCCGTTCATTTTCTTGGCAGAGGTTGCACATACTGAAATGAAATTTGGTATACAGATTTAGCATAAGAATATCTAGGATACTGTTAACCAACTTTTATTCGTGTGCGAGAAAATTTCGCGAGTTTCGCGACCTACTTTATCTCGCGAATATTAATCGCCGCGAACCATTTATTTTGCTTTGTATTTGTAGAGAATGTTTCCTCAGTCGCGAAAATTAATCGTCGTGGATTGATTTCAAACTGACGAATCGCGAATAAAAGTTGACGCGAATAATAGTTGGTTTACAGTAACTTCTGTTTTGGGTACGATCGAGCAATTTTTGACAGAGTTATGCTCCTTGGACTTAGAAAAATTCCAGTTATTGGGGGGGGGGGATAAGTGTTTCACAAACATCTCTTGTTATTTATAATTTACTACCTATAAGCCTCAATTTAAACCTCAATAACCAAATCATAACAGTTGGTAGGGTGTGATATTGAACACTTCCAGAACAGATGCTGATATTACACAGTTTTACTTCAAATACTCGTCTGATACTGGTTAAAAATTCTCATTAATTTTGAGTTATTTAAATAAGGAAAATGTTTTAGCTATATAATAAAGGAGTTATTGAACTTATATTGGAACTTGCAAGCTTGTGCATTTGTACAAACCAATTCAATAAGTTCAAGCAAGCATCACATTAAGGTGCAGGTTTATTTTTGTTCAAATCTGAGGCAATGAGGTCGAAATAAGTAAAACATAAACTTGAAACATTCCCAAATTGAATGATCATGTTCAAATTATGGAGATGTAAGGGCTTGGGTAAAATTGGGTATTAAATGTTATAAAATACACAGGAACTTGGGAGGAAGATTTTTAAGGGTTTTTCATTAGATATTCCCATGTACAACTTTGTGGGCCAGAAAAGTTGAAACATATGTGAAAGCTTTATTACATTATGTAGATTCAAATTTGTTTAGATCATGATCCTTGGGTTTAGGGAAGAGCCACAATGGATGATCAAAGTTTTACATAGGAATCTTTAAAATCTTCTTCTCAAAACAGCAAAGTCATGATTTGTTAAATTTATATGGAAGCATCCTCAGTGTAGATTCAAGCTTGTTAAAATCATTACTACTGGGGTAGGGTGGGACCACAATATCAGAAAAGTGTTACAAAGGAATATATAGGAAAAAAATTGCTGATGAAGAACAGCAGGGCCATAATGACTCAGGTGAGCATTGTGGACTATGGGCCTCTTGTTGAAAATTTCTTATTATTCACTGTTTTGACCTTTTTTAACTTACCTGAGCTGAAAGCTCAAGTGAGCTTTTCTGATCACCTGTTGTCCATCTTCCGTCTGTCTGTCTGTCCATCTGTCTAGCTGTCTGTCTGTCTGTCCGTCCGTCTGTAAACTTTTCACATTTTCAACTTCTCAAGAACCACTGAGCCAATTTTAACCAAAGTTGGTACAGAGCATCCTTGGCTGAAGGGGAGTTAAAATTGTTAAAATGAAGGGCCAACCCTCCTTACAAGGGGAGATAATCAAGAAAAGACAAAAATAGGATGGGGTCATTAAAAAATCTTCTTCTCAAGAACCACAGGGCCAGAAAAGCTGAAACTTATGTGGAAGCATCCTTGGGTAGCGTAGATTCTAAATTGTTCAAATCATGGCCCCCTGGGGTAGGGTGGGGCCACAATAGGGAATCAAAGTTTTACATTGAAATATATAGGCAAAATCTTGAAAAATCTTCTTCTCAAGAACCACTGGGCCAGAAAAGCTGAAACTTATGTGGAAGCATCCTTGGGTAGTGTAGATTCTAAATTGTTCAATCATGGCCCCCAGGGGTAGGGTGGGGCCGCAATAAGTATTACAAGGGAGGGGGTTCTGGTGAAAAACAGCAGGGCAGAAGTAACTCAGGTGAGCGATATGGCCCATGGGCCTCTTGTTTTAATTGCTTTGCTTGTATGTGATCTTGTGGGAACTGTCCTACAAGCCTCTTGTATTATGAATTTCCATGTAATGTGAATTCAAGCTTAGTTATAAGTCCATGACTCTTTGGACTGCAATATGAGGTCAAAACTTTTTATGTGAACTTTAAAAAAAAAAACAGGACAATATTGACTCAGGTGAGCATTATAGCCCCTTGGCCTCTAATTCTGATTTTATTTGTAATACATGTATGTGATAATATATTGAACTAGTGTGTCAAGTTCTAATATATCAAAATGACAGTATATCATTTATTTTACTACTTTCAGGCTATCCCATGCATATCTACAGGAATATATGGTGAGCTTTGGCAAAAATATGAACCTTTTTAATAATTTTTATAGCATGCAGTTTAAGCAATGATTTTTTTTATCCCTGCTTTAAAAATGGGGGATGTATAGTGATTTTTTTTTACCCCCAATTGAAAAATGGGAGATGTATAGTATTGGGGTTGTCGGTGTGTCTGTCCGTTATGCTTTTGGGTACCCATCTCTCATCTGCAACTCCTCCTACACCACAGAATAAAATTGAATGATACTTTCACAGTTCCATTGTCAATATACACAGTACCATTGCGCACTTTTTATTTTACTTTTTGATTGGACACAAATTTCAGGTTTCCCATAGCAAAACATAGACACTGCCATTCTTTCTATAACATCAGAGGTACCCATTTCTTATCTGCAACTCTTCCTATATCACTGAATGAATATATGGAGATAACAAACAGTATTCAAGCTCAAAAGTCCATTAAACAATACAAAATAGGAGCAGAGTAAACACTGACCTCCAAAACATCAGAGGTGGGATCAGGTGCCATGGACTGAATAAAGTTAATATACTTTCACAGAATCTCTATTATAGTGCCATTGTGCACCTCCTACTTTATGTTTTGAAAGACAGATATTTGGGCTTTTACATAGCAACCAGAAGTGTCTGATGAGACTGTAGCTCTACTGGTCTGTACATATAACAAAGGAAAAGTAGCACTTGGATTTGAAACTTTGCAACATGCAGCAATAAATAGAATTATGTATCTTAATGTATTCTACTTGTGTGCCAAGTTATATTAAAATCAAACAAAAACTGTAGGAGGAATAGCATTTTGAAAGTATTTCACAGAAATTTCTATTTTAAGTAACCATGGCAACACCATTCACTGAAATCAAAAAACCAATATACACTATTATGTATCATAGTGAAGTCTAATTGTGTTCCAAATTAGATTGAAATCAGACCAGAACTATAGTAGGAGTGATGTTTTAAAGGATATTTACAGAAATTTCTATTTTTAGTATCTATGGTAAAACCATTCATTAAAATCAAAAAACCAATTCATCAAATTATGTATCTTAATGTAGTTTACTTGTGTGCTAAGTTTTATTAAAATCAGACTAAAACTGTAGGAGGAATTGCATTTTCAAGGGATTTCACAGATATTTCTATTTTTTAGTAACCATGGCAACACTGTTCATCAAAATCAAATACAGATGCAATAAATTATGTATCTTAGTGTAGTCTACTTGTATGACAAAATATATAAAAATTAGACCCAAACTATAACATGAGTAGCATTTTAAAGGATTTTCACATAAATTTCTATTTTTAGTAACCATGGCAACACCATTCGTTGAAATAAAAAAGTGATGCACTAAATTATGTACCTTAGTGTAGTCTACTTGTGTGTCAAGTTATTTCGAAATCAAATGAAAACTGTAGTAGGAGTAGCGTTTTAAAGGAATTTCATAGATATTTCTATTTTTAGTAACAATGGCAACATTGTTCATCGTTCATCGAAATCAAAAATGGATGCACTAAATCATTTATCTTAGTGTAGTCTACTTGTGTGCCAAGTTACGTTGAAATCAGACCAAAACTGTAGGAGGAGTAGTGATTTAAAGGAATTTTACAGAAATTTTTATTTTTAATTACCATGGCAACACCGTTTACATAATGCATGTATATAGGATGGAATTTTCTTCTCAACAGCTGTAAGGTCAAGTTAATCATTATGATATTGAAGCATTTCATTCCTTAGAGTGGGGCTATAATATGGGGTCACAATGGGAATTTAAAAATCTTTTTGGAAATCTGAGGAAGAACAACAGAGCTAAAGTTACTCAGGTGGGCATCTTGTTAAATTGAAAGGTTTGATTTTAACTTCTGAATTTGTAAAATGTTGTAGGATACCCAAGTGAAAAGGCTGTACATGTGGCACTGCAAACTGTCAGAGATTTTCTTGAAAATGATGAATACAATCAAAATGTAAGTCCCAATTTGTTTCATAGTAAAAATGGATAAATATTTAGGACCAGAGTCACTCAGATGACCTATTGCTATCTGTTTTTGTCCGTCGTCATGGGTAGTTTGTCATCTAACATTTTCAGCTTCTTCTCTGGAACCACTGAACCAATTTATACCAATTTTTGGTATATAATATCTATTAGCGAAGGGGAACAAAAATTTTGAATTTAATTATCCCTGTCCCCCTGGGACCTAAGAGGTGGGGTTAAAACCATCAAAATTAATGCAATCTTTAAAAATCTTCTTCTTTACTCCTGGACATCAAGTAGTTGAACTGTTATCATGATTGTAATAAGCATTGAGTAGGGCTTTGCAATATTATCAATATTCTGGTATGTTGTGATTTGCTGACAAAAAAATATATTGCGATACTGTTGTTGAAAGTAAATTTATTATCTTTGGAAATCTTCCTCATCACTTTTGAGCATGCAGAAGGTGAATTGTTTGCTTAAATAATAATGAGCACCTAGACCTCTACAAAAACTATAAAATTATGTTCATGGAACTCAGAGATAAGGCTCTGGGGTGGGGCTAAGTTGGTCATATATTTAAAGAGCAAGAGCCACTTAGGGCCTTTTTTGGCCCTGTCAATTTCTGAAAATTCAAAACTGCATAGTTTTAGTTGACAAGGCAATAAATAATCCTTGAACACCTGGTGAATGAATATCTACTGAAAATGATGTAATTTTCTTGCTAGTCAATGTATTATGATGTCAGGAATTGTGTCATCATTCACATATCCTGAATATTTCTACAAAAATTGCCGAAAGATGATGCCATTTTTCAATATTTCATATACAGCACAACCTCCTACTCAAAATGTGTAAATATATTATAAAAGAACTGTTAATGAAGAATATAAAACATTTAATTTTTGGATCGAGGGGTGCATGTGCTCATATTTTAATTCTTTGCTGAAGGTTCTCAAAGACACCTGTTTTCTGCGAAATTCAATAACATTGCAATTTCACACAACCTGTTTTTTAATGCCTGGACTCTTCCAAGGCAATTCTGTTATATAAACTGAAAGCACTAAGTCTCTACTTTATATTAATGTTGAGAATGGTACACAGGATGTTAGTCAATAAATTGGTATATCTACAGGGCCATTTTATGCATAAAGTGAACCTAGCTTTTTATTATACAATTTACCTTTTCTTTACTCCTTACTTCTAGGAGACAAGCTGAATGAAGATGAAAATGATTATAGAGTCTCACCAGACTTCTTTTTAGAAAAAATGTCTAATTAGTTCAGGCTAGTTCCAAATGGGCCCAGTGTGGTCATAGTCTAAGAAACTAGTGATACTCAGGTGACCATCAAAGTCCATGGACCTCTTGTCAGATAAACAAGTAACACACTTGATTTTATAACAGATGATTTTTGTAAGAATGATTAAACAAAATATGCATTAAGTAACCATGATACCCACATGTCATTGTCAATGCATAATGAAAAATATACAGAGACAATACTGGTGGATGTTGGAAAATTTACATGAAAGATTTATACTTGCTTACTTTTTAGCTCACCTCAAAGAAGGGGGAGCTAATATAATACCCTCGGCAACCCATGTTAAAATTTTTGGAGCAGATTTCTTTTCAAGTACTTCTATGCCCTCTATTGATCAGAGATGCATGGACAATGTTTTTATACATTATGTTTCATTGTACCAGTCCAGGTTCAAATGCTGCATTTTCAGCCAAAGAATGACCAGGTTAATGTTTTTAGAGTAGGTTAAACTCTCTGGAGCAGGTTAAAGTTTTTAGAGCAGGTCTCATTTTCAAATAATTATAAGCCATATGTCGATCAAACTTGCATACGCATGTGAGTTAAGGCTAGGTATAGGCATTTCTATGCAAATGAGCTAATAAAAATGCAAAAGAGGTATACTTATTATTCAGAGAGAGTTTTGACATATTTTCTTATGCATACTTAGTACCCACGATATGTTCTAGCAAGTATACGTTATGACATCATATTATGACGTCACTGATCTTACCCACTAGAAGTAATGAAACGTATCAACAAAACAGCTTCGGCGCAAGGGATTACCCAATTTATTTTTACATAAAAATTGTATGATGCTAAGGAGAATATTCTATAGATTAATAAAACTGCTGAACAAATCCTTGGCATTTTCTCAATTGATCGGATTTCGAAGGAACTTATACTGGACTGTACATTTTTACCATTATTCAACTTAAAACTTTACAAATAGAAATTATACAATTGAGCTGTTGATATTTGTGCAGCAATACCAGCACACTTAGGAATATTTTGCTTCTAAATATACCTTGTTTCAGTTAAATAAAATAGAGCATGCCCTTGCGCCGAAGAATTATTAGACAATAAGTTTTAACTTTCTCTGTATAATAGATATAGTCATTAGGCATTTTAATTAGATTACTTGCATAGAAATGCCTATACCTAGCCTTAATTCACCTGCGTAGATGATACATCTAAGGATGCACATACAAGACTTGCTTCAGAAAGTTATAACTATAAGCCCTATGCTGCTCAACCTTGCATTGATGATACCTTTATTGATGCACACTAACAGACTTATTTTAGATGCTGGATTTCTTGTACATTTTCTGGATGGGTGACCAAGTTAAAGGTTTTGGAGAAGGCTCATTCCAGTGTAACTTCAAGCCCTCCCTAGACCAAACTTGCATGGATGATGCATCAAGAGATGAACACTCTCAGACTTGCTTTGGATGCTGGATTTGACATACATTTTCTGGATGAATGACCAGGTTAAATTATGGAGCAGGCTCATTCCAGTGTAACTTCAAGCCCTATCTGAACCAAGCTTCCATGGATTTTACATCTAAGGATATGCATTATTAGACTTGCTTTGGTTGTTGGATTTCACCTATATTTTCTGGATGAATGACCAGTTAGAATTTTTGCAGCAGGTTCATTCCAATGTTACAATAAATTAAAGCCCTACTTGGACCAAACTTTGACAGATGATGCATCTAAGGATACACACTACCAGACTTGCTTCTGATGCTTGATTTGACCTATATTTCTTGATGAGTGACCAAGTTAAAGGTTTTGGAGCAGGTTCATTGAAGTTTAATTCAAAAGCCCCTTCATAGAGCAAAGTTGCCTTGATGATACATCTAGGGATGCACACTACCAGACTTACTTCGGATGCTGGATGTGTTTATGCTTTCCAGATGATTGACCAAATTAAGCTTTTGAGCAGGTCCATTCCAAAGTGACTATAAGGCCTACCTGGACCAACCATGTATGGATGATGCATCAAGGGATGCACACTTAACAGACTTGCTTTTTATGCTTGATCTTATTTGCATTTTCTGGATGAGTGACCAATTTAAGTTTTTAGGACATGTCCATTTCCAAGTAAACTGCAAGCCCTACTTGGACCAAAATTGCATGAATTTTGCATCTAGGGACACATACTAATAGATTTTTAGTTTAGTGTGGGACTTTGTCTTACTTTAAGCTCTGTAATCCTGATTTACCTGTTTTAACTGTGTAATTGTCCACATTGAAAAATTTCCACATTTGTTCTATACATGACCTTAAGTCATCTTTTATCAACAGAAGTAAAATATTTGAATCCCATGGCTGTCTCTACTTGAAATTAATGCTTGAATGTTATACTCTGTTGACAGCAATGGAATTTTTCAGATTGCTCGAGTGATTTTCTGTCTCTTTATGCCAAAGGATGTGGCTATCTATGAGGAGCAGATGCAGGCTTATTTTCCAGTTCCAGATATAGCTTGTACAGGTAGGCTGAGTTTGGTTTTTTTGATATTTTTTTTTCATTACTTTTATGATTAATTGTATACATATATTTTTAGGTCACCTGAGTCACTCAGGTGACCTATTGCTATCTGTTTTCGTCAGTTGGTCGTGAACTTTTGAACATTTTTAGCTACTTTACTGAAACCACTGAACCAATTTCAACCAATTTTGGTATACAGCATCTATGGGTGTAGGGGAGTAAAATTGTGAAATTCATGGCCTCTGTCTCCCTGGGGCCTGAGGGGTGGGGCTAAAACCATCAAATTTAATGCAATCTTTAAAAGTCTTCTTCTTTACTCCTTGACATCAAGCAGTCAAACTCTTGGCATGATTGTAATAAGCATTGAGCCCTTTACCAAAATTATGAAATTCATGGCCCCAGGGTCAGGGGTTCTGGCACTAGGGTGGGGCTCTATTGATTATATAGTGAAAATGCATTAATTCTTTAAAAATCTTCTCCTCTGCTCCTGGGTATTAAACCAATGAACTAAGTACATAGTTATGATGAGGAAGAGTGCCTCTTCCAAAATTGTGAATTTCATGGCCCCTGGATCAGGGGTTCTTGGGGGGGGGGGGGGGGGTAATGATTATATAGTGAAAATGCATTAATTCTTTGAAAATCTTCTCCTCTGCTTCTGGGTATTAATTCCATGAATTAAGTACATAGTTATGATGAGGAAGAGTGCCTATTTCAAAATTGTGAATTTCATGGCCCCTGGGTGAGGGGTTCTGGTGTTAGGGCGGGGCTCTAATGATTATATAGTGAAAATGCATTAATTCTTTGAAAATCTTTTACTCTGCTCCCGCATATTTAAGCCAATGAATTAAGTAGGTAGTTATGATGAGGAAGAGTGCCTCTTTCAAAATTGTGAATTTCATGGCCCTGGGTCAGGGGTTCTTGTGTTAGGGCAGGGCTCTATTGATTATATATTGAAAATGCATTAATTCTTTGAAAATCTTCTCCTCTGCTTCTGGGTATTAAATCCATGAATTAAGTACATAGTTATGATGAGGAGGAGTGCCTTTTTTAAAATTATGAATTTCATGGCCCCTGGGTCAGGGGTTCTGGACTAGGGCGGGGCTGGCTCTATTGATTATATAGTGAAAATGGATTAATTCTTTAAAAATCTTCTCCTCTGCCCCTGGGTATTAAGCGGATGAACTTAGTACGTAGTTATTATGAGGAAGAGTTTCCTTTCAAATTGGGTCAGGGGTTCTTGTGCTTGGGTGGGATTCTATTGATTAATTAGCAAAAATGCATTAATGCTTTGAAAGTCTTCTCCTCTGCCCCTGAGTATTAAGCAAACAAACTAAATGCAATATCAATGGAAATGTATTAAATATGATTATAAGTAAATGTGCCTTTTCTTTGCTCCAGGGTATTAGGAGGCAAACAGAGTACACAATTGTTATAAGTGAAGGAAATGAGAGTTACTCCCCTTTGCTAGATGTTGTTAATCGAGAAATCCTTGTATATAATTCAATTAACAGGTTATTTGATTGAATGAGAATACAAGAAAGAATGTTATATATTGTATAGAAACAAAATAATAATGAATGTTTGGTTTAAATGAGCAAAGCATGCTAAAAGTTAGATTCTTGCCTGGAAAGCAAACAAAAAAGTATTGACATGAAGATTATTTATATACTTAGCAAAAGTTGTAATTGTACTCAGTATGTTTACACTGTGGTGATCTGTTTGATACTAGATGAGTTATTGTCATTGGTAGAGTCATGGTTGACAAGAGACTGGATAAAGTTGTTTTATACTTTAACAAAGTGAACAAAGAATCACAGAGAGCCAGGGTGACTTATTGTAATTAGTGACAAGTGGCAAATAGCCACGTTGTATACCCAGGTCTGTGTGTACTGAATTGTAGCACTAGGCAAGTGACAAAAACTTATCTGTATATATTAAATACCTTTACACAATAGGCAAGTGTCCATTGTATTTGTATATTTTGCATTCATTTTCATCCATATAAGACTTGGGAAAACCAAGTATGATCCCAAGGAGATCACTCGGGTCTAGCACGTTACAATAAGGGTATTTTTACCAGATTTTTGAAATTCTTGGACAACATTGCTTTGTCTATCAGTTAATTTTATTTTATACTTCTTTGGATCCTTTACAGTGTTGTATTACACTCAGGTGACCATAAGGCCCTTGGGCCTCTTGTTAAGTTACCTGACTCACTCAATTGACTATTAGTATTGCTATCATTTATGTCCATTGCTTATAAACATTTGAACATTTCATGTTTCTTCTTTTCAACAACTCAGTCAATTTCAACCAATTTAGGTATATAGTCAAACCTATTTAAGCAGTCACCTGTGGGAATCATTATAAAGTGATCTTTATGCAGAGGTGACCTTTGAATACAGGTTCATCTTTTTCAAGATAAATTCTTTTCCAATTTATGTTGGTTCTGTGTTTTACAATACTAAATCATAGAATATTAAAGAAAGATGTGTATTGGACATCAATGGTCTCACTAAGATTTTATTTAAATTTTAAATAGTCTTAAGATTAAGTTCAAGCTAAATTTGATGACATCAACAAAAAATATATTAAGTCTAATAGGGCATTGCATTTTCCTCCATCCAAACAACAACAAAAACTTTCTTTTATTATAAGAAATTATCATGTTATGCCATGAATAAAATATATTTGTATTTTTATCTAAACTGCATCTAAAAACACACGTTTAGATACATAATGAATAAAATATATTTGTATTTTTATCTAAACTGCATCTAAAAACACACATTTAGATACATAAAATTAACAATTGTATGTTTAAAAATACAGTCAAATCTCATTATTTCAAACTTGATAGGACCGAGAAAAAACTTCGAGATATCCGAGGGTTCAAGATATCAAGGGTAAAATACTTAAGAAATATGTGGTTAGGACTTCCCAATCACTTTGACATGTCCATGGTATTCGAGATATCCGTGTTTAAGATACCGAAGTTCAACTGTACATATTAAATAATTGCGTAATAAACAGACAAGTCACGTACTCTCAGTTGATCAAAGCAGTGCTCAATACAAATTGAAATCAAATTCACAAAGGTTGTGAGGAATAAAGCATGAATAATCCTAACAGTTGTCTTACCTAGGTGAAAATCACGAGATAATCAGTAAACAAAACAGTTAATTAGGGTTTCTACAAATAATATGTTTCCTATGTGTTAAAAACTGCCTTTCATGCGTTTACACAATTACACTTATTGACTGAAGTTGGTCATGCCAAATGTGATCAGAACCAATAATTAGGAAACACCTAATTATTGTATTAATTACTAAATAAATAAGGATATGTTGTTTTTTTAATTTCACTTTGAATTTTTTAAACCAGATTCCAATTCCATTAGTTTCAGATTCTCATAAGTTCGTTTTCCTGATAACCATTTAGGTCATTAGCACCCTTGTTTTGAGTTTTGTCAAAAAAATAAATTATCCAATATTTTCAGTAGTTTTAATTAGGCCAATTATTTTTTCCATGATCTCGCCACACAAAACCAATTATTTACATTTATAGTGACAAATATTGGGAGTCTCCTGACTCTAGATCTGGTCACGTGATTGGACAAAATGGCCGCTATATACGAGGTAAAACGGCAGTTTCATATGAAATTTCATGACCACTGACCGCGTTACACAGGTGACCACTTCATTATATAGGAAAATTCATAAGGAAGATCAAAGAACAGGTGACTGCTATGACAAGTTTGACTGTATAGTTCTATTGAAGAAAAAAAAATTAATTTCACAGTCTCTGTTCCCTTGAATCCTGATGGATGTGGCTGAAACAATCAAAATTCATACAATTTTCAAAAATCTTTTTTATTCTAGCAGGTAAATATTTCCATGATTACATGTATACCCCCTGCAAATGAAGTTTGGGGGAATGTATAAGAACCACATCTGTCTGTCTGTCTGTCAATGCAATCTTGTCAAGGCTATAACTCTGTAAATAGAACCATTGGAAGCTACATGTAATACATGGTACAAAAGATTGTTTATGTCCTAAGGGTGTGTCATTACCTTGACCCAAGGTCATTCTGGCAAGTTTAAGGTCACTGGTAGAAAAAAGTTTCAAAAGTTCAAAAACTTGTCTGAGCAATAACTTTATAATAGAGAATCATTGGAAGCTCATACTTGGTACAAATATTGGTTATGACCCGAGGCTGTGTTATGACCTTTCTCAAGGTCACAGGAACAAGTTCAAAGTCACTTGCTGAAAAATTATAAATTCTTGACAGTTGCATAATTTTTAGCTCTACTGATAAGAGACCAGAAGAGTTTATAAGATAGTAAAATATCTGTCATCCATCCACCTGACTGTCTGTCTAGCTGTCTGTCCCTCTGTAAACAATTTTTCAAAATGCTACCACTCCTACAGTTTTGGTCTGATTTCAATATAAATTGGTACAAAGTAGAGTACACAAAGATATATAATTCAGTGCATCAGATTTTGATTTCAATGAGTGTTTTTCCCTAGTTACTAAAAATGGAAATTTCTATGAAATTCCTTTACAGTGCTACTCCTCTTACAGTTTTTGTCTGATTTCAGTATAACTTGGCACACGAGTAGACTTTACTTAGATACCTAACTCTGTGCATTAGTTTTTGATTTGGATGGGTTACTAAAAATAGAAATTTCTGTGAAATACTTTCAAAACTCTACTTCTCCTACAGTTTTGGTCTGATTTCAATTTAACTTGGCACACAAGTAGACTACATTAAGATGCATAATATACCAATGAAGTTTAGGGGGAAGGGGGGAGAATTGGAATCAGCATGTCCATCTGTATGTCCATTTGTCTTTAGATGTGATTTTGTCTGGACCTGTTCTCTGAGACTGTTGCATGGATTTGTATGAAAATTTGTACACATTTCATTTTATTTATTGACCTAGTCATTTTGGGTTCATGTACATTTGAGACCGAGAATCTAGAACTGCCAGTTGGTGCATCTGTACAAATATGTGAATTGCAGCTTAAAACTACTCATTAAAATTTTTTTAAAAAATCATGAAGTATTAAAAAAGTTTTTGGTAGAGTCCCTACAAATCTAGGGTCACTAGATGAAATCCCGCACAAGCGTGGGGAATTGAATTTATACCACTCCTGACAGAAAATTTCCAATAATATATAATTGTAGTTTCCACCGGCAGCCTAAAGGTTTATAGCAGGAAGAAATACTTTGTTCAAAATCCTGCATCTAGTTTTGGAGCAGAAGTAGATGTATGTCTCCACCCCCACCCCTTTTTTGTAAAAACTTGAAAAACAACAATTTCATTTATTGATTTTTTGTGAATCCTGTCATATATGTTATGAATATTGTACTTCTGGTGCTCTTATTTCATTTCCTTCAAGGATAAAAGCATTGAATATGCACATTTAGTGACAAATCAAATTTTCTTTCTTTTTTTTTTACACTTTGTCTAGCTTTTAACGCCCTATGAATAGGCCAAGTATTTGATACAAAAGACTATATTCAGAAAAAAACTTAGATGTATTGATTAAAGCACAAAATTTTAACAGCTTTAATTGTATTTGAACAATACCTTATTCATTAATTTTCCCTTTTCATGTAAGCAAGTTCATTACGAAGTACAAATTGTACTTCGGGTTTGTTGCCACGATGCTCTCAGTGAGGAATATACAAATTTTACCGATAAATTTATTAGGAAAACCTACTAATTAATAGTCTTTCGATACATAAATATATTCACAACTTATAGTGTTATCAATGATTTACCATTATTTCAATGATCATTCACACAAAAGCTTTTTAGCTCACCTGAGCTGAAAGCCCAAACTTGGTACAAAGTATCCTTGGGTCAAAGTATCCTTGGGCCAGAAAAACTGAAACTTATGTGGAAGCATCCTAGGGTAGTGTAGATTCTAAATTGTTCAAATCATGATCCCCGGAGGTAGGGCGGGGCCACAATAGGGAATCCAAGTTTTACATTGAAATATATAGGAAAAATCTTTAAAAATCTTCTTTACAAGAACCACTGGACCAGAACAGCTGAAATTTAATTGGAAGCATCCTGGGGTAGTGTAAATTCTAAATTGTTCAAATCATGACCCCCGGGGGTAGGGCGGGGCCACAATAGGTATTACAAGGGGGGAAATCTGGTAAAGAACAGCATGGCCAAAGTTACTCAGGTGAGCGATGTGGCCCATGGGCCTCTTGTTTTTTTGCTTATGCAGCTATAATCACCTCGTTTTTCTTTTTAACATCAGGCTCGATGCTATATGATGTTCTAGAAGTTTCCGTCAGTATTAAGATCGGTGAATGACAAAAATAATTTGCACATTTCCCTTTTTAATCTGTTATCACAACTTATTTCTTTTAAATTATTTAAATCTAGATTTCATTGAATTCAGTGATAACGTTTTATGAAATAAATAAACGAATGCTTGTTGTCAGTTTCATTAAAAATTGCCAGTAACTTAGATCCGCCAACCGGAACCGCCACCATACTCACGTTTTTGCTATTTCATGGTTGTTTATAGAAAATGAAAGTAGAATTTTAATTTAATGTACGATACTTACTATGCGGGTGAAATCTAAATATAGTTTACAGACATCACCTCGTATCTAGTGTATTCATAGAGGAGTAAGTAAGAACTCTGGTGCAGCCATTTCGGAGTTTATTTGCAAAATTTATTAATTTATAAGTATAGATGAAGTAACCTTATTAGAAAAATGTTACATCAAGATTACATAGTTCTCTTTCTTTTTTACATTATATAAAGCTTTGTAACAAATTTAAAAAAAACCTTTGTTTTCAACAGAATGACATAAATATGTATTTTCTATTGTACTACAGATTCATGGTGCATTACACGGCAGATAGCGTAAATCCATTTGTCCCTTGCGAGTAATGAGTGGACATGCATCCATTTTAGATTAATTAATGAGTTCAATGTGTGAAGCTTTTTGAGCATCTCTGATCTAGCAGGTGTTATCTATATCTCCTGTGTATTGGGCAGAAGAATTAAAGATCTCTGTTCTCTAACTCTCTTAGTTGTAGCTTATTGTCTGTCAAATTAAAGTACATAGTTACTGGATGACCAGCCTTTTATTTTTAAAATGAATTTGGAATAAAAAGTTATCAAGATTAATTTGGTATTGTATAGTATTTCTTTTTTTTCCAAAAAAAAAACAAAAACAAAAAAAACACACCAAAAAACGAATTGCAGAGTGTCATGTCTCACAAAGATGACAGATAGTTGCAATTTATTTTTTCAATCTAGTAAAAAACAATATAATAATTAGTATTGGTGTTTTATTCGGCTGCACCTTAGTTCATCATTCATTAAAAAAAATATAATTAGCAATTAGATTTTTACTCTAAATGTTAGAACAAATTGTGAACACCTCTTAGATCAATAAAATATGTTTAGTGAATTGGCACCTTTTCTGAAAAACCCAGCGGGGGGTATTTATCCATTTTGGACAGTTCTAGTTGATTTAGATGAACAATGTTGCCTTGGTTACTAGAAATAAAAATTTCTTTAAAATACTTTAAAAACTCTACTCCTCCTACAGTTTTGGTCTAATTTTAATATAACGGCACACAAGTAGACTACACTAAGATACAGAATTCAGTGCATCAGTTTTCATTTTGATGAACAATATTTCCATGGTTACTAAAAAAAAAATTTCTGTGAAATTCCTTTGAAACACTACTCCTCCTACAGTTTTCAGTAATGACCCTGAGCCAGGGCCATTCAACCAGGTCACAGGATCAAAAATGTCAAAATTGTGTGTAGGACGTATGTTTCTCATGTAGAGATAAGCCAGTATAAGTAAGATTAATCTGCAAACATCCTCATTTGATAAGAAAGGTATAGGATGGGGTTGCAATATGGGGTCAAAATTTTTCATTAAAACATAGAGGAATTTTTTTTTAATTTTCCTCTAAAGAAAAGCAGGTGAGCATTGCGGCATTGGGTCTCTTATTGATGAACAGGGTCATGTGAGCCAATTAATATAACAGAACAGAGTTCTTCCAGCCCAGTTCTGATTGTACCCTGTAGGACAGTAGTTCCATTAGGAGCATTATAGTTGTTCCTGCTAATCTCTGCATTGATATATATGTAAACATGCCTAATAATCTGATTGTTAATTTAAACATAGATGACAAAAGAGACTTAAAAGTGGAAAATTTAGAGGATAAAAAGAAAAAAGACAAAAAAGAAGATGGAAGGGATGAAAAAATGGATACAGAGGGAGAAGATGAAAAAGACAAATCTGAAGAAGAAAGGATGGAAACTGAAGAAAAAGAGGAAAAAACCAAAGACAAAGAGTTAATAAAGGATACCAAAGATAAAACACCTAGTAATAAAGAGGGGAAAATGAACACTTCTGAAAATAATAAAAGTGGTACTAATGACAAAGTTGACTCTGTTGATAGAAGTGGTCAATTTAAAGAAAAGAGTGGACAAAACAAACACAAAATGACAGAAATAAGTCAAGATGAGAGAAAACGAGTTAAAGACAAGAAGACAGATTTCTACTGCTGAATCAAAACTTCAAAGACTGGAAAGTCAGATGATGAAAAACAGTGATATTCCAAAAAAAGTAAAGATGAGAGTTGTCCATTATCTTACTCAGAGACAAGAAAGAAATACATTTGATTCACATCCACAAGTTAAAGAGCAAGCAAAATTATAGAGGAAATCTTTAATTTCTGTGTTAGTGATTTATCAGTAGACTTTAAGTGTTGCTGATTTGTACTATCAGGTCTATTTAATTTTATACAATGAATTCTATAAGGGCTTAAAAATGATTATTATAGTAAGTGTTCAGTTTTTCACAATTTTCCTAGAAATTTCTTGATTTGTTAAATCAGAAAAGATTCAGTCACAACTGAATTAAAATTCATGAAGGATGGATTATTACAAAGTGAATTTTGCTGAAGTTATTATTTTTGTACATTGAAAAAATAACTTCATATTACACTTAAGATTTGAGTTTTGCCCTATTATTTAACCCACATACGTGTGACTGTGTTATATTTTTCATGGAGCCCTTTGCTGGAAATTGTTTTGATTTTTTTTTTTACACTGGACAGTTAAGCTATGGGGGGGGGGGGGGGGGGCAAAAACTTTTTACTGTGATGGTCAAATAATAAATTTCAGTTGCTTAGTAGATTGAAGTAGTAATCAGCACCAGACAATGCATCTCATAAGAAAACTGCCTTGATCAAAGTGTGACAGAGTGGGTTTTATTATTAATTAAATAATAAAGAAAGAATAATTATTTATTATCTCAGATTTTGTTATATAGTTTTCATTCATTATTCTCATCATTGCACTTTTACCTACCAAGGTATTTCATTTTGCATGTTACTACTAATTATTCCCTCATGTTGTAAGTAGTTTTATTGGCTAAAGGTTTTGGCAGTAAATTTTCTATTGTTCAGGGTAGTGCACGGGGATACTCACTTCTCGTTTCAGCTGGTAGACAATTTTGTTTTGATTGGTTATTATGAGCTATGTATTTTACAAAGATAAAATTCCCATGATCACTACACAGACCACTTTCAGTAAGTTTTATCTATTTTCTACTTTCATCTTTCTATTTTCTCATAATATAATTTCTTTGATTGAAAGGGAGAACGAGTGAAGTTTTGAAAGTTCATAGTATCTTGTGAAGTATTAACTTCAGTAATCATATTGATTATATGCAATGCTAGATGTAGATGTTGTTCTTTGAAAGTATACTTCATTAATTTTATAATTTTTTCTGTTCAGCCATTGTCTTGAACACCTGTATAGTTTGAGTAATTCCATAAATTGGTCATCTATAGCAATTAATGCTTGTTTACCTATATGTTTTTAATAAAATCTGATAAATTATTCATCTTTATGGAAATTCCTACCTGAACATGATTTTGGTAATTTTGTAATTTATAAAAGTTTCCCTTTTTATGCATTCCAAAAAATCTGAATACTTAAAATTGCTTAAATCTATTTTTTGTAAAATCCCTGTCAATCTATGAGGACTGCATATGATTGAATATATTGTTTGATGTCATTTACTTATTGAGTCTTATTTCTTATAGGGCTGTTTGTTTGTTTGATTGATTGATTATTTAACAATCATTTCATCCAGTGGAATTGGATCCAATAAATAATCAAACCCCTTACACAACTGTGTTGTTCATCTTTATAACACAGTCACAAAAGGACTTTGCATCTGCTCAGTTTGGAACCTGATGAACTTGACACCTAGTAAAGTAAAATTTGTTTGCATGCTTTTTTAAGTACCATTCGGATTTTTACCATCACCACTTGTTGATGTCAAGAGGTTGCAAAGAAGATTGGTGAACAAGGAGAGTGAAGTGCCCATAGTGTGACAAACATGAAGGTGGAAAATTAAATCTCAATTATAACAAAATTCTCTTTGATATTTCATCTAATATTAAAATATACTTTATGTAAAACCTCCACAATTTGCAAAATATCACAAAGATAGGAATTATTTGCCTATGAAATAGCATACATACACTAAATACTTAAGTCCATTTAGTCCAGAATCATATCACAAACATGATTTAAATGCCACTATTCATCAGGAGCTGTGTAGCGTATTGGTTAGCGCGTTAGTCTCATAGGAAAATGATACTCAGGATTTTTATTGCTAGGGTTTGAACCCCACAAATACCACATAATTTTTTAATAATAGAATAATTTTTGCAGAGAAAATTTCCATCAGAAAGGTTTTGTTTATCATAATTTCATAAATTTCAATAATGAGAACTTTAAATACTTAATTTACAAATTGAATATGATTTTTAGGTATCTGAAGCTATAGGCATTCTGCACGCCTTCTTCACCCATCTCCTTTATGACTTTTTTTTTTTATTCTGGCAGGAACCTTAAAATTATAATTTTGGTTCCAGGTTTTCCAGTTTTATAGGTTCAGGCCTTAGATTCAATATATTATAAAATTATCTATCGAATACATGTGATTACTGGTTTAATTTTGCTCTGTTTACACCGCGGTATCACTAAGTTTCTTCTAAGCCTTTAAATTTTATTGAAGTGAATGAATCCTGAACAGTTTTACTAAAGTTCCGAAGTGTCCTTACCCAAATCCAGTAACACATTTCAATGTTTATGAGGCAAATATTCAGCAATTCATGAAAAATTTGACTTGGAAATGACCTGATAATTTTGATTGACCTGTTGGATTTAAATGAGCTGATATATTCTTATAGCATACATGTATAAGTTTTATTTAGTTTTAGAGAACTAAAATAGATTTCAATGTTTATAAGAATTGAATTGTTGCAAATTTATAGTTGTTCCATTTCTTTATATTGATGTTATGAGCACTAATATTATATCAGGAAATTGAAAAAAAAGGTTATTACAAAATTTCAGGTATTTTAAAAAAAAATAGAAAAGGTTATTAAGTCATTTCAAAGTCAAAACTTAAATTTACATGAATTGCTGCATTAATAATCATAAAAACTTGAATGTTGAACTGCCTAATATTTCTTTAATATCAGGTATTTTTACACCTGAATATTTTAAATGACTTGATACTTTTTCATCAAAGGATTTTACAGAAATAAAAGCAATTTAAATGTTTATATCTAAGGTTAAAAAAAAAAAATTGCCGCGAATTACGAAAGACAAATTTTTGAAATGATGTCTTGAAATTGTAATAAATAGTGTCAGTTTGAAAGACCTGATATTTTCAAATGATCATGTTTTCATAATACTGTATAAGCAGTATTTTTAGCGAGGATTCAATTTTGGCATTATTAGCGAGGATGCTGAGATCTCTAAAATTGAGTATCGCTAAAAATTAATTGCATATCGATTGTAATGGCTTCTATTAGTGGCAATATAAAATCGCTAAAAATTACTTCTCACTAAAAATATATACCGATTTTTAAGGATAAATCGCTAAATTTGTGTCTTGCTAAAAATTCCACGTATACGGTGTATGATTTTAATAAAATCATATACCGTATAAGTGGAATTTATATTTATTTTATTTGACTATGTTTGTTTCTTTTTTAACGTCCCTCTCGAGAATTTTTCACTCATATGGAGATGCCACCACTTGCAAGTGGAGGGCTGCAAATATATATCTATGCTCTGCACTCAGGGCCATTGAGCTTCTGTACCAACACCTACTGCAACACGGGACCTCTGTTTATACGGTTTCATCTGAAGGACCGGTCTCCACATCCCGCATGATTGACTATGAGATTATATCTGATAAAAAGGTGAGACCAAATTTTTTTTTTAAAGATATGATATTTTCTCTAGCCTGTCCTGATTTCTTTGAGGCCTCTGTAATTTTGGAGGGCATTATTCATTTTTAGCTCTTCTGAGCCAAAGGCTCAAAAAGCTAATGCTATGGCCATTTGTGCAGTGTGCGTAAACTTTTTAGAATATGAGCCATAGCTCAAGAACCCCTTGGCCAATTATTGTCAAATTTGTCACAGGGTATCCTTGGTTCAAGGGCTTCCATTTGTACTAAAACTAGGGTTGTGACCCTTAAGCAAGGGGAGATATTAGGAAAATAGAAACAAAAGTACTGGTTGCTAAAAAATCTTCTTCTCAAGAACCACTGGGCAGATTATCACCAAACTTACACAAAAGGATAAGGATATGTTGTAGATCAAAATTTGCATGGGGATTTACCCTGGGGCAAAGGGCGTGGTCTCAAGGTCACTTCAAAGTTGATCAAAAATTACACTTTATTAAATGTTGATATTTTGCTTACTATAAGGACTAGGATCATCAAATCTTGTCAGTTGATGCATCTAAGGACCTCATATCATGTTGACTCAAAAGTAGGTCACGGTGACTTACTCTTTAAATTTTGCGGCCATTCCTTTTCAAAATGATTTAGAGGCATATTTTGAACAATTTAAGGCCTATGATCATCAAACTTTGTCAGTTGATGTATCTTGGGTCCTCAGAATACGTAGACTAAAAGTAGGTCACCTTGACCTACTTTTTGAATTTTATAGCTAATCTTTTTCAAAACAATTAAGGTCATTAATTCGAATACTGAGAGGTTTAGAATCATTAAATCTTGTAAGACGATGCATCTTGGGCCATAAAACATTTTTTTTTAAAAGTAGGTCACAGTGACCTACATTTTGAACTTTGCAGGCATTCGATTTCAAAGGGTTTTAGAGGCATAATTTGGACATTTTAAAGCCTATGATCATAAAACTTTGTAAGTTGATGCATCTTGGGTCCTCAAAAAACGTCAACTGAAAAGTAGGTCACTGTGACCTATTTTCAATTTATATGATTATGATTAAATATTTCAGGTACTAATTGGCTCAATGGCTCTGAGTGCAGAGCATTGACTTTGTCAGTTGATGCATCTTGGGTCTTCGGAGTAGGTCGACTGAAAAGTAGGTCACTGTGACCTACTTTTGAAAATTTATGGCTTTATTTAAATATATCAGGTAGTTATTGGCTTAGAATCATCAAACTTTGTCAGTTGATGCATCTTGGGTCCTCAAAGTATGTCATCTGAAAAGTAGGTCACTGTGACCTACTTTTGAAATTTTGTGGTTATAATTTTAAAAATAGTTTAGGTATTAATTAGCTTAGAATCATCAAGCTTAGTTGGTGCATCTTGGGTCCTCAGAGAATGACAAGTGATAAGTAGGTCACCATGACCAACTCTCAGGTACTAATGGCTTAGAATCATCTTGGGTTCACAGAGTGTTTCATCTAACATGTAGGTCTTGATGACCTACCTTTGGAATTTCAAGGGTTTATCTAAATATACAGGATAGTTAGAGTCTTCAAATAGAAGTGATATGTTGTACAGTTTATCAGAAGAGCGATTCAAGGCCCTTGGGCATCTTGTTAGCTCACCTGAGCTGAAAGCTCAAGTGAGCTTTTCTGATCCCCCTTTGTCCGTTGTCCGTACGTCCGTCCGTCCATCCGTCCGTCTGTCTGTCCATTTGTAAACATTTCACATTTTCAATTTCTTCTCAAGAACCACTGGGCCAATTTTAACCAAATATGATACAAAACAACCTTGGGTGAAGGGAAAATTAAATTGTAAAAATTAGGGGCCAAACCCCCTTACAAGGGGAGATAATCAAAAAAAGGCAAAAATAGGGCGGGGTCATTAAAAAATCTTCTCCTCAAGAACCACTTGGCCAAAAAAGCTGAAACTTATGTGGAAGCATCCTTGAGTAGTGTAGATTCTAAATTGTTAAAATCATGACCCCTGGGGGTAGGGCGGGGCCACAATAGGGAATCCAAGTTTTACATTGAAATATATAGGAAAATCTTTAAAAATCTTCTTCTAAAGAACCACTGGGCCAGAAAAGCTGAAACTTATGTGGAAGCATCCTGGCGTAGTGTAAATTCTTAATTATTAAAATCATGACCCCTGGGGTAGGGCGGGGCCACAATAGGGAATCCAAGTTTTACATTGAAATATATAGAAAAAATATTTAAAAATCATCTTCTCAAGAACCACTAGGCCAGAAAAGTTGAAACTTATGTGAAAGCATCCTGGGGTAGTGTAGATTATAAATTTTTAAAATCATGACCCCGGGGGGTAGGGCTGGGCCACAATAGGAAATCTATGTTTTACATTGAAATATATGTAAAAAAATATTTTAAAAATCTTCTCAAGAACCACTTGGTCAGAAAAGCTGAAACTAATTATATGGAAGCATCCTGGGGTAGTGTAGATTCTAAATTGTTATAATCATGACCCCCAGGGGTAGGGTGGGGCCACAATAGGGAAGCTAATTTTTACATTGAAATATAAATGAAAAATCCTTAACTATCTCCTTTTCATGAACCACTGGGCCAGATATGCTGAAATGTATGTGGAAGCATCCTGGAGTAGTGTAGATTACAAATTGTTAAAATCATGACCCCTGGGGGTAGAATGGGGCCACAATAGGTATTACATGGGGGAAAGTCTGGTGAAGAACAGCAGGGCCAAAAATACTTAGGTGAGCATTGTGGCCCATGGGCCTCTTGTTTTATTGAAGACTTTCCCAGCAGTAATTAGATCAAGTGAGCTTTTCTGATCTCCGTCAGTCTAGCTGTCCGTCCATCTGTCTGTAAACTTTTCACATTTTCATCTTCTTCTCAAGAACCACTGGGCCAATTTTAACAAAAGTTGGTACAAAGCATTCTTGGGTGAAGGGGAAGTTAAATTGTTAAAATGAAGGACCAAGCCCCCTTCCAAGGGAAGATAATCAAGAAAAGACAAAAATTGGGTAGGGTCATTAAAAATTTTTCTTCTCAAGAACCACTGGACCAGAAAAGCTGAAACTTAAGTGGAAGCATCCTTGAGTAGTGTAGATTTTAAATTGTTCAAATCATAGTCCCGGGGGTAGGGTGGGCCACAATAGGGAATCCAAGTTTTTCATTGAAATATATAGGAAAAATCTTTAAAAATCTTCTTCTCAAGAACCATTGGACCAGAAAAGCTGAAACTTACATGGAAACATCCTGAGGTAGTTTAAATTCTAAATTGTTAAAATCATGACCCCCAGAGTAGGGTGGGGCCACAATAGGGAATCCAAGTTTTACATTGAAATATATAGGAAAAAATCTTTAAAAATCTTCTTCTCAAGAACCACTGGGCCAGAAAAGCTGACACTTATATGGAAGCATTCTGGGGTTGCGTAAATTCTAAATTGTTCAAATCATGGCCCCCAGAGGTATAGGGTGGGGCCAAGTTTTACATTGAAACATACAGGAAAATTTTTTAACAATCTTCTTTCAAGAACCTCAGAGTTATAAAAACTGAAACTTATGTTTAAGCTTCCTGGGGTAGTGTAGATTCTTAATTGTTGAAATCAAGACCCCCTGGTGTAGTGTGGGGCCACAATGAGTATTACAAAGGGAAATCTGGTGAAAACAGCAGGGCCAAAGTTACTCAGGTGAGCGTTGTGGCCCATGGGCCTCTTGTTTGAAAATCTTCTTCTTTGCCCCTAATTGCAGGGTTATGATGGCAAGGATGTCTTTTCAAGAAGTTTGAAATTCATAACCCTGGGGTCAGGGATTTGGTATTAGGGTGAGGCTCTTTTGAGTATATAGCAGAAATGCATTATTTCTTTGAAAATCTTCTTCTGTGTCCATTGTTATTAAGGAAAGATACTAAGTGCATGGTTATGATGAGCAAGGGTGTCTCTTCCAAAGTTGTGAATATCTTAGCCCCTGGGTCAGGGGCTTTGGTATTAGGGTGGGGCTATATCTTGAATCTATAGTGAAAATGGATTATTTCTTTGAAAATCTTCTTCTCTGCTCCTGGGCATCTAGGAGGCAAACAATTTTAACATTCTGTACTCTTTGGTCAATTTACTAATTTCTAATGAAAGAAGTTATTCATCTTCGCTATTCATTTATGTTAGTGAATCACTGTAAATAATGTAACTTAAAAGGTCAACTGAATAACTGGTTTTTGGTTTTGAAACGCATTCTCAACCACTATTTAAATAACTATTTCAATAGTGGTTGCAATAATTATACATGAATATAAATTATACCGTATACACAGAAATTTTAGTGAGGATTTAATTTTGGCATTTTCAGCGAGGTTGTTGAGATCGCTAAAATTAAATATCGCTAACAATTCATTCCACATCGGAGGTTATCCTTATCTTTCTATTTATCACAAAATCACTAAAATTACTTCTAGCTAAAATAAAATAACTTTTTGGGAAAAATTGCTAAATTTGCATCTCACTAAAGATTCCAGTTATATGGTAATATTTATAATACAAAAAGTTCTTTAATATAGTTTTTAATGGTCAGGTAAACTTTTAAATAATAGATAAATGAAAATGGGACAAAAATTCTGTATCTTTTTTTTTTACATTATATAATCTTCAAAGACCAAGAGAGGCCAATACAAGGGGGAATGAAATGTGTTAACTAATAATGCTCTAGAACTATTGTTTGTTTAGTGGACAAATGGGGGGGGGGGGGGGGGAGGAGTACAGGCAAATAGACCAATTTTAAGATTTGTTACTGAGTTCTAAATATTTTAATTGCTGATCTATCCTATTTCTCTTACTTTTGGGCAACATAACTTTATTTATCAGATTATTTTTTAATCTATGGATCATTACATTATACTCGGGTGACCGTAAAGGCCCTTGGGCCTCTTTTTTTTTTTTTTTTATCAGGTCAATCCAGGTCTTTACTTTCTCAGGTCTTTAGTATGTCCCTCCCGAACCGTCGGATTAGTTTGGTCCCGAAACGTTCGTGCACCGTCAGAGAACCAGTCTAGGTCACCAATACATGCAATGCATGGTTAAACAGTAGCACTGGTTCTCTGCCCTTGATTCCAGTCGCTGCCGCTAGGAATTACTTGCGCCCGTTAACCAATGTCAGGGTACCAGTCTAGGTTAAACAGCAAATAAAATGTTTATTTGATATCAATTCAATCTTCAATAAAAAATTTTTAAACATAGACTTCTATTTAATTTTGTAATATAGATTTACGAAGATTATTTTATTTACCCTTAGCTAATAAAATGACATTTATAGTCACGCACTGAAGCTTCCTAAGTTTCAAGATGGACGACTGTACGTTAGAAAAACTTGTCATTAAACCAGGCAAATTATCGCCAAGTTTTGACAAAAACCACGTCGAATACGAAGTAACAGTGCCAAGCAATGTAACAAAAATTAATATTGATCCATTGACAAGCGACTCCGGTGCATCCTACTGTATATTCGTAAGTTAAATGTGCTATATGATTATGGGTTACCCATTGACTAAATATCGGAAAATATGTTCACCCGAAGTCCTCGCACAGTAAAGGGGATAGAACTTGCAAGGTCCGTATCCGTGCAAATAGATAGAATGTTCTATCGTTAAAATGACAAGAATAGATATGGGTTACCCCATATCCAAGATATTCGACTTTTAATTTATTCGAATTTTCATTGTGTTCAGATGATTTCTAATAAAAAAAAAACAAGTATTTACTGACAAAACGTCAGAGATACTCAAGCTGTAGAAAGTCAACTATAAAAGTGCCATATACATAAATATCCTAAAATGACACAATATTTAGGCTACTGAGTTTCAACATCTTTTGTTGATTAAAATATGCATATAGTAGGAAACAAACTGCATGTACATATATAACGTTACATGCATGTAGTGACTTTATCACAAAGTTGCACATGCATAAAAATAGTTTTAATTTCACATAGAACATAAACCAAATATAATTAATCGTATAATTTTAAAAATGTATTTAACGCCTCACTCATTTTCAGGAATATTTAATCAAGATAGCATGTTACAGGCCTATAGCAACGTTTTCAAAGTGAAAGGGGGGGGGGGACTCCCAAAAAATCCCGCGTACTATGTGCCTGTGCTACATGTGTACCATCTAACTTTCCAATGATAGAATCTTCTGTAAAAAAAAAAATTCAAAACAAGTCCAAGCCGTTATGGATTATCAAAGATAGCCCATTTTCATAAATAGCAAAACTTTAGATCTATCAAGGATAGATTTTAATTTATTTTTTAATTTTGTGCTATTATTAAAAAGTACTATCACTCAAAGTATAGGCAGATGTTAAAGATGGTCCAACCTGTCACCTTTTAGAGTAATCAATGAACTCGTCCAGTGATGCATTGACGGCCGTTGTTAAACCTAAAGGAAGGCGCGAGATCGGTTGCGGCTACGGAGCATCACTGAATATTCCTCCACCATATACTGATTTTGAATATACAGACGTTTTGAAGATAAACTTCAATTTTGTCTCTAGAAATGTCTTTATTTACAAAATTAGTACGTTTTCGTGTTAGATCGATGACCATAACTCAGCCCCTCTAGCCCAGTCTAGGGCTTCACCTTGAGTAAAAAACCTGCACTTGTTATGAAACTGGTGTATAGTTCTAAACTTCTTTATGTCCGTAGCAAGTACCGATACCCAGTCTACTGATCTAAGCGTCACTAGGGAACGATGCACACACCTGTTCTTGCAAGACCAAATAGCCTAGGTCTACACACGTGCGAAGATCTTTCCGAGCTCGGAAAATCACGTTGCTTTGCCGAGAAGTGTTTAACCATAATAACCATTCCGTTATTTAAAAAAAGAGAGAAAAAACACACACACAGTTAATGATTAACATTCTAACTCAAAAGAAAATATACGGCAATTAACGAACAATAATCATGACAGTAATATAATTGGCGAAAAGATTTATCATTATCAATGGAAGTGTGACCTATATATTTTCGTGAAAAAGACTGAGGAGGCAGCGAGCGTAGGAATATGAAAACTTTTTATTTGCTTTTCTGGGGGAAAAGTGATTTTCTTAAAATCTTTTAACGTTAATTTTGTTTTCTTTAACGTATTAAATATACATGATTATTCTTAATATTTGTTGTAATGTTTTATCTACTGATCATGAATGGAACTATTTTCTTCAGAGCAATTGTGTGAAGAGTACCTGACTTTAGTAATATATCTTGAATAGATAATATGCACTGATCGAATATATTAATAAATGTCTTGCGGACCCGGTTTAACCACAGGCACTTGTTTCGTATACGGGGCACCCCTACTTATTTTTACCACAAGGTACCTAATTCAATGTCAGGCACCCCCGCTTCAAGCTCGTATTTTGTTCATATATCAGTCATTAACCTACTTAAAATCATATCGTTCGCTTCGAGAGACTTTTTTCTTGTCAAATAAATCCTTTCAGACGTCTCTGGTTATGCCTCTTTATTGTAATCCACTCATTATTCCTCAAAAATTACCTCGATACATTTTAAGACTTTAGATGGGATACAACTTCCGGTTGGGGGTAGGATAAAACCAGAGACTTCCGAGTATTCCATTCTGAGGTCTCTGGTTTTATCCTTCATTTATAACCCCAACTGGAAATTTGTATCCCCCCCCCCCATAAAAAATTACTGGATCTGCACCTGCAGCTTGTGCTTTTCATTAAATTTTATTAGATAAAAGATACTGAATGTAAAAGAAACATCTGTAACGGGGATTGGGTACGTCTGCCCGGTAGCTCAGTGGTTAGAGCACCCGCATGGTAAGCGGGAGGTCCCGGGTTTGAGTCCCAGTCTGGCCAACATTTTTCCCCACTTGTTACATTTGGCACCCAACAATAAAACCCACGGGTGGTTTAGAAGAGTCTCTGTGAGGTTTTCAGGATGGAAAACCTCAAGAAAAAAGGGGGGAAGAGTGTAACAGGGATTGGGTACGTCGGCCTGGTAGCTCAGTGGTTAGAGCACCCGCACGGTAAGCGGGAGGTCCCGGGTTTGAGTCCCAGTCTGGCCAACATTTTTCCCCACCTGTTACACATCTAAACTTAGGTTTAGATTTATGTCCTACTATCCCACAGTAACAAATAAAGTCTTGACAGATTTTATTTTTTTTATTCTGAATGACAGATAAAATAGGCAAATGTATTAAAATTGACATGTCTCAGGCCCCACCCCTTGCACTATGTGACACTCCATTTTGGAGCCTCCATCCTCCACATTTTACACCAAACCATATATTTGCTTGACAAGCAAGCTATAAAGCAAATATAAAATCTGCACACAATGATAAATAATTATATCCTCCATTTAAAGTCTACTACAGCTTGATATCATTTCATTTAAATTGATGTGTGCCTGATCTATTGCAATTATTAAAATTTGTCAACTCCAAAATGCACAAAATTTAAAAAAAACAATATTTAGACAAATTGATTAAACTTTAAGGTTATTCAGATTTCTTTTTTGATCCTTAATATTTTTCTTTTAATTTACAATAAATTAGGGAGGAGATGGAGGTAAGGATGTCCCCCTTAAAGAAGGTGCAGTGACAGATATAAAGATAGAGGTGACTTCGGAAGATGGGACAATAAAACATTATTTCATACATGCAAAGAGGTTGTCAGCCAAAGATGCATTCCTCAGTGACCTACAGCTGTCCGTGGGAAATATCAGTCCTGTGTTTAATCCAGATGTCCTCAGCTATTCCTGTAAGTGGTACACTTAAAGTATACTCCAATAACCAATCTCAACAGGTAAATCAAAAGGAAAAAAGATTGTTATACCTTATAAATATCTTTCTATATATTTATTACTAATAAAAAGTCCAACAAAAGAAATGTTATTGCATTGGTCTAACAATTTCATTGTTGACCGGCCTGCCAGTCCAACATAAGAATTGTTAGACCACAATGTCACTGCAAAGTCACAAGTAAATAATCGTCGTTCAATATCGGCGACACAGAAATTAAAGCCGAAGTTTAGAGCAGCAAGAGTTGTGGTATGCTATTTGAAAGAGAATATTTTGTGATAAATAATTTTTGTGATATAATAATTTTATTATTAATTTTTTCATTTTGTGCTATTGTTTTATTTTTATTGATCAAGCCAAAATTTTCCAAAGAAAGTAATTTATTATCTATTGATTAAATCTGTTCTAATGTTGTCATTTTAATTGTTCTATCTGAAGTGAAGGGTATAACAAAACAGTTATAGACTGGGATTCGGGCAACGTATGATTTGTTGGACCTGAAAGTGAAAATGTTGCCTTGGCCTGAGGCCTCGGGCAACATTTTCATCTTCAGGTCCAACAGATCCTATGTTGCCCTCATACCCAGTCGATAACTGTATAATATTACAGGCACTGCATGCATGGTGTAGGTTGTGATAGTTATGACAAAGATCAGTACCAATTAAGTTAAACTTGTATCAGTACTGTAAACTTGCAGAAAATAAGTGCACACAAAATAAGAACAGTTTCATCATGGCCTAATTTTTACTGTAAATGTATTATATTTAGCATACTATGATAATATTTGATGTGAATTGATGTATGAACAAGTTAGTGTAGATTTCATTTAATGCTAAATATGGATGTATATCACAGTAAACACATTTATCTACGTTACAAAGAGCAGCCAGCATCCACTACATCAAGTGCATGTATATAGACTATATACTTGATGTAGTGGATGCTGCTCTCTGCCAAAAGAACTAAAAAAAATAAACATCCAAACGAAATATATTTACAGAAGTTTCATTATAAAGTTCATGCACGACTAGCACATTTTGAGGCAATTGTGAGTTTTGATTTAATCTTATTTTAGCTTGTACTTTTAAAAATAACCAGACAAGAAGCATCGTATGAAAAGCACTATTAATACATTTATTAGGACAGCTGGAAAAAGTATAATGTTCACAGTTTGTGAAAATTCACATTTCTGTGATATAAATTGCATGATCATGATTTATATATTGTAATATTTAACGTAGGTCGTGGGTTTGCAGGCCATTTAAAAGTGTCCGAAAACATACCTTGAAAATTAGTTATATTAATCCTCTACCTTCATTTTATATTCTCTGAAAATGTTATAAATTTCATCTGCATCGTTTTTGTGTAATTAAATCCCAAACATGCCATTGTTGTTGTTACATTTTCGACGTTATTCTATTGAATTATATAAGAAAAACGTCGTTTTCAGCTCATTTTGAGGCAAGATTTTGTTTAAAAAAATATCAAGAACTTTTAAATGGTGCAGACGAAATTGTTTTCCCTTTGGTATTTTAACAAAGAATTGATTTGAAATAAATCAATGTGAAAAAATTAATATGTCTTCGAGTTAGTTTTCGCGTAATTTAAATGTGGATAATTGCTTTTATATCGCAAAATGTATATTTTTAAGAATGACGTCATAAAATATCGCGACGTCATGCTTGACGTCGTGAATATCTATCCGGTATTCAGTGCAGAAAAATAATTTTTATAAAAAAGTAATTCACATCTATCTGCTTTGAAGTAACCCGTGAATCATATCATAATAATTCAATATCAGTGAAATTATTATTGGACATGTTTCTCTTCTGATTAGGGCTTTTGTACGTCTTATATTAGTGAAAATTCTCGCAAGGGACGTAAAACAACAATCAATCCTTTATATAGTTTCTTTCTTCCAATTTACTTTCTTTATGTGTTGTTTTCTTACCGTTTCTTTTCTGTTTGTTTTGTTTTGCTTTTTTTTTTGGTGCATTAGACATATCCTTACATTTGGCTGTGTATTTTTCTTTTCAAGCGTGCTGGCGGAAAAAGGTATCCTTTAATTCAAGTAATCATGGTAATTCAAGTATATAAAATGTTTTTATTTAGACCATTCAACAAGGCGCTCAAATCTACGAATTTCTGCCAAATATCGTCCCGGCTAAATACAATATATTTTCAGTATATATTTAAACAAAATATTTATTTTACATACCACATATTCAGAGGAGTAAATGGGACGAGGATTTAAAAATTAATTTTATCTGACATAAAATCAACAGCCAGTTTTTTTTAAAACATCAATTCTACTTGTTGGACATGGAAAGCAAAGTAGTGAATAAAATCTGTAGGTAACAGCATTGCAAGCTGTTGCTTAGGGGACGATCATTGGGGGGGGGGGGGGGGGGCTTACAGATTTTGGAAATAAATAATCTGTCCTTGTTTTTTTTTGTTTTTTTTGCTTTTTGAAATAAATAATCTGTCCTTCACCTACATGAAAATAAACAATCTTACTCGGTAAAATTTGCCACTACCCCCCCCTCTCCCTCAGAATCAAATAGTTGTCCCCTAACGGGAGGTCAGTGTCGCTAAAAAAAAGGCTTAATGTTTCATCGTGCGTTAGCAGTATTTAATTTATGATAAACTTGTACATCTATATATTTTAAAAATATCCTGTTTAAAAATAAAGTTTAATCTTTTGATGTAACAGGTGTATTTGCGATTTTTTTTTTTTTTTTAAAAATAATGGCTTCTTTCTTAATAAAACAAACTGATAATTCAAATAGAATCAAAGGAAAAAAGGTCAGTTGAACCTTGTGTCCATATTGTTTCACGATAAAATTGAAAACAAATCAATCACAATTTCTCGGGCCTTTCCGACAAGCCGAAAAACAACCACTTGTTTTTCCAAGCTTGCAGGAAAGGCCCAAGAAGATGCGATTGATAACAAATAATTAAACTTTTTTTAATATTTCCAGTGTCGATCATTTGAATCGTAATAAGCCTTCTTCACTAAATTACCAATTCCAACAAAAGTTTTATCTAAGTATTGTATCGACTATACAAATCATAGAAAGCCTTCATTATTTGTGATAAGTTGTTGCTTAAATAATATAACACTAAACTACCAATTCCAAGAAAAGTTATATCTTAATAATGATATACTGAAGAATTTAATAAAACAAAAATCATCGCAGTTTTCTTTTTCATTGTGACGTCATAATCAAATGTGCACAAGAAAGTTGCCCAAATTATATAAATTGCGTACCCAGTTTTAACGACGTCAGCAAACCCGCGACCTACATTAAGGAGAGGGACTAGTAATTAAGTTATGAAAACTTGTTTCCATACCGTTAGATATTTCAATACAAAAAAAAAAAAGAAAAAAAATCAGATTAAACTGGGCACCTTCAGTTCAAACTTTTCTTTTAATAAAAATACAGTGAAAACTGTATAATCCGACACCTGTACAATCCATTTCACTTTGAATTCCAACCTATATATTCCCATTTTATTATTTTCCATGGTCCTTCCACTGTGTAATCAGACACTCTATCTATAATCCGACACAAACTTTGTTTTCCAGTGTGTGTGTCAGATTAGACAGGTTTCACTGTATTTATCTGATCACTGAAAACACAATTATCCCAAAAATCAACTAACCTGAGCTTGGCAGTTTCCACTGTCATTGGCAGTGTGAAGTAAAGATTAGTGAACAGCTGCAGGGACAGTCTCTCCCTGTTGTTATACAACATTGCATGTAAATAAATATTTCCTCATGTTGAAACAAAGAGGGGTAGAAGATGTGTAGGGGGTGGGTGTTGAACACATTTAGACTGATTTTCTAAGAAATTAATGGCTCCCATCAGCCACATAACTGACATATTACTTGACTGGATACTAATTTTGTGTTTTGGATGTTTGATAAGAGGTTTATGATTTTTCAATTGATAGTTTATTAATTGGCTACAAATCTGCCATCTATCTATCTGTCTATTTGCACATCATTTAACTGAGAGTGAGAAGGTGAGAATACCACCCAGATTCTTACTGCATTTACAACAATATATGACGGTATATATAAAAGGAAATTTGGAAAAAATTGCATTGCAATCTTTGGGTTTTTTTTAAAGAATTTGCAAGTATTTTAATAATATCCATTTTATTTTTGGGCATTCAGAATATTATTGTATTTTGTTGCAAAAACCAGAGCCTGGGGGATCTCTTGTTATTTAAGTAATATCTTCCATCAAAAGAATTCGGTGTCCCTATTGTAATTATCAGGAATGTTAATATTCTTTTTATATTTTGATTTATATCATTTTCACTATGATATCTCTTTATGAGATTAAATTGAAATTCACTCACAATTTTATTAAGTGCAGAAGTGTCACTTGTGTTTCTTAAATACAAATGGTTTTGCCTTTTATGAATCCTTTAAAGATTGAAGAATTATGAGAACTACTATCATAATGATCCAAATATTGGAAATTTGTTTTAGATTCTATTTATGTCGAATCCATTTCCATATTTTCTAGGAAATACATACTCTGTGTAGAAATTATACATTTGTGTATTTCAGAAATGGATGAAACACATTGGTTATACATACATATAGCGAAAATTCTCATTTTCATGAAAAATGAAAAATTAAGACACGTATACTCATACATTGTGATTATGATTATATCTGGTTAGGTTAATATACACTGTTTTATTTATATTCAGATTACTTATTCTACTTAAAGGTCTTCTTCCTTGCAATGTTGCTGAAGTTGTGCTAAAACCAGTTGCCCCAGATACTAAAAATGTTGTGCTTGTTTGTGGTGAAAAACCAGGCACCCCAACAGCACTGAATGTTGGTGAAACAAATTGCTCCATAGAGGTGACATCAGCTGATGGTTCAAACAAAAAGGCAAGAATTTTTGGAATTGTTCCACAGAAATTAACAAAGTTCTTATTAGTCAGCAATGCTCCGAAAACTTAATAAATTGACAGTTTATATTGTTATATTTTGATACTTTAAATTACAGGCAAGCTTTATTTGTCTACACAAAGTGTGCACTTTTCCATAATCAAGTGCAAAGGTGTACATTTTTAGATTAATGCACCACCGATACACTGTACAGGACATGTGTTGGTAAATGCAAAAAAAAAAAAAATTCAATATGGCTGAAAAATATATCAAGATGGTAAACTGCAGAATTTTTTTCTTAATTTAAGATAACCATTAAGACTAGTATTTGATTAGTTGATTGAGTGTATTAGGGGAAAGTAATTTATTCTTGTGTTCAGTGCATTTTATGGAACAAATAAAAACACTTGGTATATTGTAAAATCATAGGAAACGTTTTGGGCAATAATTGGAGCAGAACCAGATATTTAATTATGTACATGTAGTTAATAATAGAAGGATATAAATATGTTTCTTATAAAACTTTTATTGATTTCTTAAACTATAAAATATTTTTTATGGATTTAACAAGCTGTTCACAATGGGATCTTAAAAAAAAAATCTACAAAAAGCCGCCAATGAAAGAAGAGGAGTGAACAAGGTGAGCACAGTGCCTATAGTGCAACAAACATGAAGGTGAAAAATTAAATCTCAATTATAACAAAATTTTCTTTGATATTTCATCTAAATTTAAAGTATACTTTGCTTATGAAATAGCATACACACACCAGAGAGGGCAAAAAGGATCATTTTCTCATACTAATACACAATTTTTCGATATGAGTGGGTCTTGATTCGCTCCATATTTTTCAGAGTTTATCTTCAAAGTTTGCGAAAACATACATTTTCTGGTCAACAAAAACATGGAGCAAAGACCCACTATACCTCAAAAATACACTTTTATGACACAACAATCGCATCTTTTCGAGAAATACTTGAAGTCCTAATGGTTAGCGTGTTAGTCTTAAAGGAAAATGGTACTCAAGATTTTTATTGCTAGGGTTCGAACCCCACGAATACCACATTATTTTTTAATAACAGAATAATTTTCCTCAGAAAAGTTTTGTGTATCATAATTTCATAAATTTTAATACATGTAATGACAACTTTACCATAAGGCCAAATAAAAAAATATGTGTGGTTCCGGTTACCCGACCGTCCCTATTTTATACCCCTGACCTTAAACTTTTTTTTGACAATTTTCAAATTTCCAGAATTTTCCCTGATTTCCCTCATTGGCTCCAGTATTAGTTTTAGTTTCAGCAATGGTGGCATTCTTTGACAACATCGTTTCAACATGTAGTACAAGTGTTTTGTCAGTTACATATGTCACCACTTGAAAGGAAGCAATAGTATTATCTCACCTATATCACCAATAGTTAATTCAAGAACATTCAGTGATATTTTTGACGTTTATTATATCAAAAAAAAAAAAAAAAAAAAAACCTACCTACCTACCCTAATTTGTTTGGACGTGTAACCAGAACCACACATATTTTTTTATTTGGCCTAAATACTATATTCACAAACTGATTATGATTTTTATATATCTGAAGCTATAGGCATTCTGCGCTCCTTGTTCACCTATCTTCTTTAGATGTCCATATTGAATATACTATATTACGCTAAATTTTAAATGATTATATATGATGTAAATTATCTACACCTTGTGTACTATGGTGTAGCCAGATCAAGCGTGCCATGAATGTTTTGGTTCAAAAGACAAAACTGGTGTTTTTAATCTGTAAGTTTAGCTACTTTTTTTAAACATGCAGAAGAGGCTCCTTGTCATGTTAGTAGCTCTTATTCAACTTTCTTAATATTTTTTTAGCTCACTTGAGTATGAAGCCCAAGCAAGCTTTTCTGATCAAAATTTGACATTGTCGTTAATGTCATTGGCATTGTTGTAAACTTTTTTCATTTTTGAGTTCTTCTCAAGAAACACTGAGCCAAATTTTCAACTAAACTTGCCTCAAAGCATCCTGGGCAAAGGGAAATAAAATTTGTTCAACTGAAGAGCAATGCCCTCTTTCTAGGGGAGGTAATTAAGAATAAGCGAAAATTTAATGGCATCTTTTAAAAATCTTCAAGAACCACTGGACCAGAAAAGATGAAATTTATATGTGAGCTTCATTACATTATTAGTGTAGATTCAAGTTTGTTCAAATCATTACCCTCAGGGGTAGGGTGAGGCCACAATAGGCGGTCAAAGTTTTACATAGGAATATATAGTGTTAAACCTAAAGTTTAAATTCTTCTTCTAAAGAAAAATAAAGCCCTGATTAATCATATTAATATGGAAGCATCCTCAGATAGTGTAGATTCAGGTTTGTTCATATCGTGACCTGGCCCCAGGGGTCAGATGGGCCCACAATAGGCAGTAAAAGTTTTACATATTAATTTATTGGGGAAAATATGCTGATGAAGAACAGCAGGATTTTAGTGACTCAGGTGAGCATTGTAGCCCATATGCCTTTTGTTTGAATGTTGTCAGAAAAAAAAATGCTATTCAATTCAGACTTACGTCGTGGACGTTATTAGAAAACAGATTCCCCGATTTGTGAAGTTGTTGGATGAAAAGCTTGCTAAAGAATTTGAATGTCCATTTACTCTGAGTGTTCTTTATCGTCCAATCACCATTCGAGGAAGTAATCCCAAGAACACGTACTCTGCTCCAAATATTGATGAGAAAACACGCAGGTCTAAAATTGACCCATTGAGTGGGATGCCATTGGGAAAGGACTGGAGAATTGTGGATTATGAATTAGATAAAAAGATTGCAGTTGCCATGGCTACAATTCCACTCACAAATAAAAGTAAGAACAATTTTATATAAAGATTAAGTTTAGGAGAATTATTGAAATATCACTAGATTATGTAGTTATTAATAGGTGGATATATATAACTGAAATTCAGAATAAATTTAATTTTTATTAAAAGTCAAGAATGGAATGTTATGAACTTGCAACTATTTTTTTTAATTTTGCCATAGAGATGTTAGATCCAGCTAAGTTTTCAGAACTGGCAGCTGAAATTGAAAAGTGCAACATCGCTCCCCCAGTGGAAGTAAGTTAATGCTACCTTAAAAATCAAAGCAACAAGGACAATAAGGACAAAAGTACACACTGCAAACAAACAACTCTAACATTGTACAGTGCCCACTGTCCAATCCGACAACTGTGCAATCCGGCACACTGGACTTTCCGACCTCATATTTTATTCCCAAAAATTTCTTTTATTTTATATACAACAAAACACTGTATATTCCGACCACTGTACATTCCGAATTCCGGTGCTTTTTTGTTAACAAAACTAGATAATTACATTATGATTTCACCTGGGTAATCCGACATAATTAAACAGGTGTTCCGTAATTAGTCCCTGGCCAGGTAACATGAATGTCCCGTTTGGCCACAAGATTGGTCTACTTAGAGAGTAGTTAATTACATGTAGTTTGAAAGTGTTCATGTAAGCGTTAAATGATCAGTTTTTGAATTCAAAAATTAGGCAATCATTTTTTTTTTGTTATCAATTTTATTTTCGGATTTAAGAAATAGCATTCACGCGACAGAAAATAAAAAGAGTACATGATATTTTGATTGCATTTACCTTACAGAATAAATAAGATTTTTAGCTTGAAATTAAAATCGAACATGCAGTCAGTCCTTCATAAAACCATGTGGAGAAAAAAAAATACGGCGAGCGTAACATGTAGACAATATACAAGTTGAATGCAACATCTTGTCTAATAGAAAAAGTTTCATTTCCGGGTTAACATACACTGAATTAAGTATGGTTGTGCACATAAAAGATTTGCCAGAAGCAAAAATACCGTTTTAAGCTGCCCATTAAAATAATTTTAATGTTAAAATATTTTGACTGTTTGATAAAAAATCAATCGCTATCACAATGTTTTAGAGTTACGTCCCGTTTGTATGAAAAGTCACGTGACAGTATTAATACATGTTGAGAAGTAAACAATGGAGAAAAATCGGAGAGAAATGTAGTGTAGAAAAAAAAAATACCACTGTGTAAAGAAGGTACATGTAAAAGAAATATTTACTTTAATATCTACTGCTTTAGTAAAATGCTAAAAATTAAATTGCAACATCTCGAAGCGATCGGCAGTTCCATCTGTTTTGTCCATTAAAAAAAAAACATCATATAGATATATTACTACAGAGTTTACTAATGCTCAAAGAAATGCTAATTAACGAAGGTATATTTTATACAACAAAGAAAGACACAATTATGCCCACGTTTTGACAATTAAATACACGTGTACTCTAAACCTAATGGAAAATGATTTTTGAAGTCATCTGAACCAATCAATGCTAAGAAATATTCAACACTTGGTAATCCGACACACTGTCTAATCCGACATTGATTTTATTTCCCACAGCATGTCGGATAAGACAAGTCCTGAAGGGGTTAAGGCTCCATTGCCTATAAGGTATGGAAGGATAACAGGATATTTTCATACTCAAAATCCACTGTTTTAAAGGCTTTTAATTATTGTTTGTATATATATATGAAAGCAATAGGTTTGAATTAGACAATTATATATTTAAATAATTTTTAGTCCATAATATAGGTTCTAGTAAACCATTTAGAATGTGTTGTGATGCACATTTTAAAATGCCCACTCCATGATCAACCTTGGTAGATTAAATAGAAGTGTACCCTACCAAATAACAGAAAAGGTACTGGGTTTGATACCAAGCATCACCTCACAGTTTCTTATTAAAATATAACTAATTTAATAACGTATTGCAAACTCCCATCAAGCTTAGCACAACAGAGGTATGGTAGGGGAAACTTAATCATAATAGACAAAGTTTGTGCGTCATATGTCACTTAATCTTATCTTCAGCTTATCTGCAACTCTCCATTCCCAAAAAATAGTAATGGTGTGCTCAAATAAAAGAGTGATGTCACAAGTGGATTTTAAGTATTAAGTTAATGTCCAAGTAAATCTCCATTCATTAAAATTAGGATTGTATTAAGTAACCTGTTACTCTAGTAGTCATTGAAAAGTCAGAATATCAAATTATACTAAAATCGGTATCAGCTAGATTACTTTGGAAAAAAATATAAAATCATGCTGCAATATATTTCTTAATTTTCAATATACAATTATGGACTGTTTGGAAGGGAGACATCACAAATTATCAGGTCTAAGTAGGGTTGTCACCCAAGGGTGCTTGTATTCTTCCTTTCTCATATTAGATCTGAATTTCTTAGTTGACATTAAACGTAGATTTATAATTTCAGACAGCCTAGTAATAGTAAAAAAAAACAGCTGTTAAAACTTTTTAAATTCGCCAAGAGAAAAAAATTGTCAAGCAAATAATCTGATAATATAATGAAAGTCACATGATTGACATGCTAGTTATGGTGTTTGAATGTTGAGAACATGAACATTGAAATTCATGAAATATATTTTTTTATTACATTTTCAATAGTGAAATACTGTGATTTATTTATCGAATAAAAGTGATATTCTCTCACAGTGTGAAAGGATACCAAAATGATATTCTCTCACAGTGTGAAAGGATATAAAAGTAAGTAAAAAATAATTTCTGGACTGTCATAAGATAGAGATAGTAACTAACCATCTTGATAGAGCTAACTGCAAATTTCTTCCCAAATATGTTGCTAAAATCCATGCTATGAAATGTTTTCAATCTCACAACTGCTAAGCTATGACGTCTCAACTATGACGTCAAGCCTATGACACTGGTTAAGACATAGGCAAAGGGAAAATCAAAGAAAAAGTAATAAACAGAAAATTCACTGTTTTGTAGATGAATATGGAATTTATTTCACTCGTGAGACAGGATTTTTTGATATTTTCACTCGTGAAAATTTAAAAAAAATCCTGTCCCACTCATGAAATAAATTCCATATTCATCTACAAAACATTGAATATCCTAGATATATATAATTTAATTTCATATTGATATTCATTCCAAACCTAAAAACTAAATTGAATGTTTATCATAATTACCGGTATATGCATGTAAATTTATTAAAAAAATATGTTGATTATTCATCATTCTATCTTTTTTTCACTCTAGACTTGCATGCATGTAATAATAAAGTTGGCATTTGGATACTGAAATTGTTTTCAATGACAAAGAACATATACAATAGTCAAAATAGATAAGTTTTAATTCTGCTCTTTTCTTGAAGAATGACTAAGTATTCAATCAGAAAGTCTGAGTAGAGTAAAAAAAAAATATCAAATTGACCTTTATACTCAAAAGTAATGGAGCTGAGGCCCCAGAAGGGCTCATTGCTTTTAAGGAATGGAGAGGCACAAGGACATTGACCTACATGTACTTAAAATGCTTGTAATTCTAGTTTGTCTATATATGACACAGACATGTTTTAATTTGATAAATATGCAATTACATTTAAATAAGAAATAATTTGTATTCTTATATAGGATTAAGTATGGCAAAGAAAGTGTATTTTTAATGCCCCCTTGAAAAGGAGCAGATTGCTTTTCACCTGTTGGTTGGTAGACCAAGTGTTGTGCACTCAATAAGACCGACATCAAACTCTACACACTGGTACCCCCTGAAAAGTATATACCGTGGTAATGCGTATTGATTTTTAGGACACAAGGTCAAAGATCAAGAGTCAAACTGGGCATAGGAAGATGCTGACCACTCAGTTCATTGAGAGCCCTTGAGAACCCTTTGCTTAATAGACATCAATAGACAAGAATTGCTACATTGATTCCCCTTAAAGTCAAGGTCTAGTGAATGAAAGGTGCCCACAGATTTCTCAAATCTGAGATACACATTCTTTTAATGATCCTTTACGAATATAGCTTGGTAGAATAAGGTGTATCCAGACATAATTTTGGGGTAAACTCATCGGAAAAATGAAGAAAGTCTGGTATAAATATGGGAGTTTTTTCCATCTCAGACAAAGGAAATGTGTCAATTTTGCCTACAGTCTCTCAGAAAACGGTTTTTCATATCTTCTTGATCTCTACTTTAAAATGACATTAAACGGAATAAGGGTATCGGGGTTACTTTTTGCATGATTTCAAATGAATTCCATGAAAGTGCTTTATTTTCTACATAATTCTATTGAAGCTGTAAAGTATGGGAAAAAATAAGTTTAAATCAATTATGACGTCATAATAAATCTAGCACCAAGAAGAAAGTCTAAACTTATTTACTAGATCTTGACCTTAAGGAGTAAATGACTGTTGATGATGTCGAGGGTCAAACGGAACATAGGAATATATTGGCCATGCAATATCTTAATATCCCCTTGCTTGACAGATATCAAACTTGTACTGTAGTTTTAGTTCTCCTTAAGGAGTAGATGACCCCGTTCACTTATAAGAAAATAAGATCAGCTATCAAACTAAACATAGGAAAATGTTGACCACTCTATATCTTGGGAACCCTTTGCTTTTCAGACATCAAACTTAGTAGCTGGTGTCTGACTACTGGAGATTTTGAGGTCAAAAGGTCAAGGGTCAAATTTCTCTACACCTAGGAAGATATTGTCTACTCAATATTTTGAGAACACCTTGCTTTGCAGACATCAAACGTGGTGTGCATTAGTTCCCCTTGAGGAGTAGATGACCTCTGTTGATTTTGTAGTCACAAGGTCAAAGCTCAAGGGTCAAACAACATAGACACTAGACATAGGAAGATAAAATACATGTACAGCAAAATGTCGATCTGTAGCAGTCTTGCAGCAAATATTCATTAAAAGCAATTTTTTGGTTAAGGGAGTTTAATACATGTGTTTCATGCATAGCTAGTTCAATAAAACTAATCCATATGAATTTCTTCCCCGATCATTTTTGTTTCTAGACAACTTAATTGATCATACAACTGAATAAAGAGTATGAAAAAGTTTCATAATTTAAAGTATAAAGTTTTATGAAATGTAGTAACTTGATAAGTATAAAGTGTATTGACTATTCATGGAATCTGTTATTTTTCTTTGTATTTACAGGATGTCGCTGACAAATTCAAAAGTACAACAGCTCCACTAAACCACTCTGTACAGGTGGGTATTGTGTACGTGTTATTCTGGTCTGGTGGGGGAATCTTCTTGTAATTAAAGTTAAATATTGAAATATTAAATGATTATTTTATTGAAATAAAAGAAAGATTGTTAAAAATTGATTTAAAATTGTTTTCCTGATTATGGGGGCACATAGTTTTTGGTCTGTTTATCCATCTGTTTGTCCACAAAAACTTTAACCTCACCCATAATTTTAAATAGTTGGAGCTAAGGCTTCCATATTTCATATGTGTATTTCTTGTGACAAGACCTTTTTTTGGGTGTCAACATTTTTGGTATAAAGCATCTATGGGCAAAGGGGGACAAAAATTATGAATTTCATCGTCCCTGCCACCCTGGGGCCTGAGGGGTGGGGCTAAAACCATGAAAATTAATGAAGTCTTTAAGAATCTTCTTCTTTACTCCTGGACATCAAACAGTCAAACTGTTGGCATGATTGTAATAAGTATTGAACCCTCTACCCAAATTATGGAATTCATGACCCCTGGGTCAGGGGTTCTTGTGCTGTGTCAGAGTTCTGTTGATCATTAAGTGAAAAAGCATTTATTCTTTAACAATCTTCTTTGCTCCCCCTGTATATTTGGCACATAAACTAAGTGCATGGTTATATTGAGCAGGAGTGCCTCTACCTATATTATGAAACTCATGACCCCTGGATCAGGGGTTCTAGTGCTAAGGTGGGACTCTATTGTTCATTTGGTGAAAATACAGTCAAACCTTGTTATCTCGAACTCAAAGGGACAGAGAAAATACTTTGAGATATCCGAGGATTCAAGATATCCACGGTAAACTACTTAAGAATTAAGAAGTAGGGACTTCAAAATAACTTCTGATATAATGTATTATTTTTATGATGAAGCAAAATCGTCCACCCCTTGCACTTCGTTAAGCATGTTTTACTGTACTATAAATATTATTTAAAGAGAGGCCATTTGGCTGGTGGATGTATGTACTCTATAGGACTTCACTGTTAAGTTTGGTGCTAGGGAAGAATGGCAGAGATGGCATACACTGGCATGTAAAAGAAGAATTTTCAGATTTGTTGCAGATTAATTACCAAATGAACCATTTTTGTTGATCATTGATTGTCCTATATCTCTTGTTTTTGATAACAAAAAATCTTCCTTTAACAGTTTACTTTGCTTTTTTAATTATTGAATTGCTATTTTGTGGATCCTTGACAGTATCATATTATACTCATGTGACTGTGAAGACCCCTGGGCCTCTAGGCTTGTTTTTTGAAAGTGCAAACCAGTAGAGATCCAATCTTATCAGAGACTTCCTGTTAAAAAAAACAACAATAATAAATCAGAGTTTGATGAATAAAGTTATTGAATATATCTTTCTTTTTTAAAATTTAGGTCAGAAAATGGGAGAAAAACTTGCAACAGATTTTTGGTGAAACTGATGTTACAGAAATGTGTGGGAATGCAGATTCCTTTTTACTGAAGTATTTTGAGTCTCTGCCAAAATCAGGTGTGCCTTATATATATGTTTCAATAAAACTTAAAGGATTTTTATCATGACTCAATAATTTTTAATATATCAAAGTTTACATGCTAATAATACCATCCATTTAGATTTCTTTGCTAGAAATTTAGTATTTTTGGTGTTTCAGCAATTCAAAGTTTGAATATCTCAATATGCATTTTTGATTGCCAATGTTATGTGCCATCGCTGACTTACGTCAAAGGTGTCAATCCTGGTCAAGCAAATTACTTGCTGTGTTTACAAAATGGATCAATTATTGTGTCTATTAAACAGTGTGTCAAACATAAAGTGGGTCACAGTGACCTACTTCCTCAATTTTACAACTATGGTGGAATCGTTAGATTTCATGGTGGCAATAATTTTTGTTATAACACAAAAAGAGGGAATGGTTTTAACATTTCTGAATAAATGAACATATGTTACATGCCTGTGTTTCATTCAAGGGTAATTATTTAAATTGGGGAAAAAACTTAATATGCATGTATTTAATGTTATTTTTTAACATTTATTTCTGTAATCAATAAGTCACTTGAGTCCAAGTACCTCTAGTTTTATATTACTTTACAAGAACTTTTATGGGAAACGTACCAGTAAGTAAAATTGCCATTGAAGTTTAATTTTACATGTTAAAAGGTAAAAACACCAATATAACTCCAACACCTCAGGTGAATGTTAAATAAATATTGGTCTTTTATAGTCAAGACTGCAAGTAATACCGAGAGGTCAAATGTCATATTCATTTTGCAGGCAAACCTTGAAAGTTCAACATATACCAGTATTTATTTAGCTCATGCATAAACTTTGTTTATTAGTAGTTTAGTTTCCATTTAAGATGTACATTTATATTATGTAATAAAGCAAATAGAAACTTTTGTTCATAAAATCTTTCACAGGACAGTCTACTCAGTGGGCCCATGGAGAAACACCATTAGATTTTTTGGACAATGCTGCATATAACTTGGCCAGTGCCATCAAATGCAAACCAAAAGATGCAGCCTTACACTTGAGGCTGGGACAAGTGCTTGAGGAAAGATACTATGCTGAAGATTTATTTGGACTCAAAAAAGAGGTAAAATGTGGATGTTTATGGGATATTTTTACATTGAAACTTTTAACTGTATGAATGGAATCAGCTGAATCACAGATTCTTTACTCCATTATTTCAGTATTGGGAAATATATGTACATTATATAAATAGTGCAAGGAAAACCATTGTCAACCGACGCGTCAGCGGAGGTTGACAATGGTTTTCCGAGGGGTGTCAATTTCAACTGTTACCCTCAAAAACGTGCACTATTTATTTTATTATACTGAATGTCTTATTGATTTCGGATGTCAAAAGAAAAATTCGGAGATCGTCGTTAAGTTCATGCTTAGAAAGCTTTCAAACTCCCCTCTTCTATTTTTTCTCAATAAGAAAGCTTCGGAAAAGATTTACCAACCTCTTTATTGTTTGTTTGCTACTCAAAAAGTCCTTTATCGTCTAAAGTTTACACTCGCAAGGATGTTTCGTCTGTCGTTTATTGTTTTCAAGTAAGCTACATCGGATACAAGCTTTTATTGACGATTTATTCGGCTTCTTTCAAACGCACAACTGACGCTTTGAGAATTCTACGGTGAACCGTACGCGCATGATTTGAACGCATGTGACATTTTCGTAATGTTACCCGTTGTCAAGTGTGTTGCTAACGCTGAGGGTAACATTACGGATTGTTAAATGCGTCTAAACCAATCAGATTTTAGTATTTAACATGAAAGTATAATATTATTATTTAGCAAATATATAAAAAGATTCAGTTTGAACACTCAAGCTTATGTTAACTAATATATTTTAATTTGATATTAATATTAAACTTTGTCACACACTCAAGTTTTTTTGACACAATATCCTGTCACTCAGATGACCCATTGCTATCTGTTTTCATCCATCGTAGTGTCCGTCGTAGTGTGATGTGCATTGTGAGTCATTTGTAAATTTTTGAACATTTTCAGCTTCTTCTCTTGAACCATTGAACAAATTTCAACCAATTTTGGCATATACCATCATTGGGTAAAGGGGTACAAACATTGTGAATTTTATTGTCCCTATCTCCCAGGGGCCTGAGGGGTGGAGTTAAAACCAACAAAATTAGTGCTGTCTTTAAAAACCCTCTTTATACTCCTAGACTTTAAGCTGACAAATTGTTGGCATGATTGTAATAAGCATTGAGCCCTCTGAAGAAAATTGTGAAATCCGTGGCACCAGGGTGGTGCTCTAATAATCATATAGTGAAAATGCATATATTCTTTAAAATTCTTCTTCTCTCCCTCTGAATATTTAGCAGATAAACTAGTTGCATGGTTATGATGAACAAGGGTGCCTCTTCCAAAATTGTGAAATTTGTGGCAAAAGGGTCAGGGGTTTGGTGAGGTGGGATGAGGGGGCTGTATTGATTATATAGTAAAAATGTATTCTTTCTTTGGAAATCTTCTTCTCTGCTACTTAATTGGTATTAAACAAACAAACAAACCAAATACATAGTTATGATGAACAAAGATGCCTCTTCCAAAATTGTGAATTTCATGGCTCTTGGGTCAGTGGATCTGGTGTTAGGGCAGGGCTCTATTGATTATATAGTGAAAATGCATTCAATTTCTGAAAATCTTTTTCTCTGCTTCTGGTTATTTAGCAGATAAACTATGTGCATGGTTATAATGTGCAAGGGTGCCTCAGTCTTCCAAAGTTATGAAATTTGTGGCCCCAGAGTCAGGGGTTCTGGTGGGGGGAGGGGGTTATTGAGTATGTGGTAAAGATGCATTATTTATTTGAAAAACTACTTTTCTTCTCCTGGGTATTAGGCAAACAAACTATTGCATAGTTATGATGAGCGAGGATGCCTCTTCCAAAATTGTAAATTTCATGGCCCCTGGGTCAAGGGTTCTGGTGTTAGGATGGAGTTCTGTTGTTGATTATAATGTGAAAATGCATCAATTCTTTGAAAATATTCTCCTTTTTAATGAGTATTTAGGCAGATAAACAAAGTGCATAGTTGTAATGAGCAAAGGAGCTTCTTCCAAAATTTTGAAATTTGTACCCAGGGCAGTGTCTGGGTTTTCAGATATGGGGGGAGGTCTTTTGATTAAATAGTGAAAATGCATTATTTCTTTGAGTTTGCATAGTTATGATGAGGAAGTGTGCCTCTTCCAAAATTGTGAATTTCATGGCCCCTGGGGCAGGGATTTTGGTGTTAAGGAAGGGCTGTGTTGAAGCTATAGTGAAATAGAAAGCAAAGTTGTTATGTGCAAGGGTATTTTTACTAGATTTTTGAAATTCTAGACTGTTTGGCCAAGTGTTCTTGTGCTGAGCAGGGCTCTGTTTTGTACTCTACTGAGAGAAATTATTTCCCTTTGTTATTCACTTATGGTGTTAAATACTGTAATAATGTAATTGAAAGGTCAATTGAATAATCCTCCAATATCTCAATTTTTTCTTGGTCCCATTGAGTTCAAGATAATAAGGTTTGACTGTAGTAGATAAATAAAAATGAGACAAAAATACCTTATCTTTGTACATATTCTTCAAAGACTGAGAAGGGCCAATTTGAAAGAGAATGAGATGGGCTTACTACAGTGTAATGGATCTCTAGCTCTATTGTTTTGACTTAGTCTGCATAGTGATGGGGGCAAATCAGGCAAGTATAGAGACACTCGACAAAATTAGCTTACCCCCCCCCCCCCCCCCCCAAATTGATTTGTCATCACTTAATTATTAACTAATAGTACAGTTTTAGGTCCCCACCTGAGCCAAAGACTCAAGTGAGCCTTTCTGATCGAAATTTGTCCGTTGTCTGTTGTTGTAAACTTTTCACATTTTCATCTTCTTCTTAAGAACAACTGGACCAATTTCAACCAAATTTGCCACAATATATCCTTAGGTAAAGGGGATTGAAGTTTTTCAAATGGAGGGTCACACCTTCTTCCAAAGGGAGATAATTAAGAATTTGTGAAAAATTAATGGCATCATTTAAAAATCTTCTTCTTAAGAACCACTGGGCTGGAAAATATGAAAGAATGAGTGCACTTTAGAGTGTCATTTGGAGCCTTTTCGGCCACCCATTTTAAGCCTTAAATTAGACTATATTGCTAAATTAATCTATGATTATTGTGCATACATATGCTTTTGATATTTATACATTGAATTTTTTGTTAAACATATTGCTATAATTCCACACAACGTCATTAAAAAGAACATGTATAAGCCTTAAATTCCGGAAATTTGAACTGGACCACTTTCGAATTTAAGGTACCCGCAAATGGGCGAGATATTTAAATTGCATGGAAGTGGAATGTAAACATTTGCACATTATTTCCAGATTGATTCTACAGTATGAATTTAAATGGAGGAGAGAAAGATTGTGTAGTTTCATGATTCACAGAAATAATAAATGATTCATGGCCATACATACTGATCACTTTCATGATTCGTATCCATACGTTTGATGCCTAGCACCAAATTAGATCAATCTTAAGTTTTCGTATATGATAAAAAATGCCCCCTCTTTTTTCTTTAGCTTATTAATAATCATTTTTCGTTTTATATGCTGAATGCTTTTCAATTCAAAGAATGAATGTATGTTTTAAGAAAGATTCACATTTACATGACTTCGATGTCACACTACATTTAATCTTAATTCACTGTACATGTAGTACGTAGAGTAATACAAACGTGTAGTGAAACAAATTATACATGTATGTAGTACTCACGGTGATACATATTTTATTATATGCATGTATAGATAAATAACATTCGGATATGAAATATAAAATTTTAACTTAAAATTTGAGTCGCTAGGTTAACATGAAAACTCCAAGAAATACAAACTATCTGTAATTTAAATTAACATTTTATTGACGGAACAAGTATATTTCAGATTAAAAAAACATGGTCAACGAAAATTCTACAACGTTACTATATCGATAATCACACGCTTATGTCTTCAATATCTCTTTCATTTCGGCAATCCAAATATTGTCAGGTATGAAACTAGTGTTTAGGGATGTGTCTGTAGATGCCTGCAGACCATAATACAGAGGCGACATGAGCTAACACAGCTACATACTAATCGTGCACTTGATTTGCACTGGCAATACCAGAATTTCGTTCAGAAAGAAGACAAGGTAAACTTTAAGACCCTAATAACATTTTCGCAAAATTCTTCATTATTTTGAAGTTGTTTAGGCCGGTACAAGCGGTGAGATTTGTCGTTACTGTATAATACAAGTATTATCTTTGTATTATAATATTTTCCTGTACACACGCGCGTTTATATGTTTTGTTAGATTGTTAATAGACATTAGGGATTTCTACGTGTTTCCCTTGCAATGTTTCTCTCTCTCTCTCTCTCTCTCTCAATAATGGAAAACGAGGTTCTGTTAGCAGTATCTGTTATCGTATTATGCATTGCATTAAAACTGAAAAAAAAAACCAACAACATCGTAATGGAACACTCGTATATGTACTTGGTGCACACAATGCATCGCTAGATGAGGTGCAGAGAAGACCCCAGTAGTTATGAAAACTTCTTTAGAATAGATAACGCTGCATTTGAGCAACTTTTACAATTACAGGTAGTTACTCCTTTTGATCTTCTTCCCATAAAACGACAAGTTTTTCGATATTTTTACTGCTAAAGTCAACCATTATTTACCACGTGCTTTTTTTTTTTGTTACGATAAAAATAGGATGACCACAACGTGAGTACTTTTGATTGGTTTAAAAATGAAAGGTAAGTTAAGACTTGTATTAAGAAATAGAGCATTGCCCTATATTCTTAATACAGTTTTATAAGATTCGAAAAAAAACTTAGGATTCACTGTATTAAAAGTCTATACATAGTCATATTTTGTACTTAAATACATATCCGTGTGTACAGCCCTGAAGTCCATCGACAGACACAATGAAAGCATATCGAACAGTAGAATGTCACGTGAGTAAAATGATTATAATATCAAACGGGGCAAAATAGGTTGACACTCGGTGACCTGTTAATTTAGTAGCTAACCTGACCGTAGTTTGGAGAATTTTTTAAAAAATTACATATGAGCCGCAAATTGTCCAACATTGCCCTTTGGATATGTATAAGTTTAGATAAAAATACACATTCTGTGCAAATGAGAAGAATGGACAAGTTGCGGCTCGATGTAAACAATGTCGTTGAAAACTGGTATGCATATGAATAACAATAGAAATGTGACAAAACTGCTAGACCCCTGTCGCAAAAACCAGTGTCGCTCGGCATTATTTAATATTTTTATGTGATATAATATATCAAACCCTGCTCTTAAGATATTGTTTAATAATTCTGATTCAAAAAGTTTATAAATTTCGGAAATTTATTATTGGGAAAGCACCGGGATCCAACTCTCATAGCTTAAGTGCACTGATCCTTTATGTGGAAGCATCCTTAGGTAGTGTACATTCAAGTTTGTTCAAATCTTGACCCTCAGGGGTAGGATGGGGCCACAATGGGCGATCAAAATTTTACGTAGGAAAACGTAGGAAAAAATCTTTAAAAATCTTCTTCTCAAGAACAGCAAAGCTATGATTGGTCATATTCATATGGAACCATCCTCAGGTAGTGTGGAATAAAGTTTGTTCAAATCATGACCCCTGGGTGTAGGGTGGGGCCACAATGGGGGATCAAAGTTTTACATAGGAATATATAGGGAAAAAAATTAAAAATCTTCTTCTCGAGAACAGCAAAGCCATGATTAGTCATATTGATGTTTAAGCATCCTCAGGTATTGTAGATTCAAGTTTGTTAAAATCATGACCCCTTGCTTTAGGGTTGGGTCACAATGGGGAATCAAAGTTTTACATAGGAATATATAGGAAAAAGACTTTTAAAATCTTCTCAAGGACAGCAAAAACATGTTTAGTCATATTGATATGAAGCACTCTCAGGTAGTGTAGATTTAAATTTGTTCAAGTCATGACCCCCAGGGGTAGGGTGGGGCCACAATGGGGGATCAAAGTTTTACATAGGAATGTATTGGGAAAAATTCTTCTCAAGAACAGAAAAGACATGTTTAGTCATATTGATATGGAAGCATCCTTAGGTAGTGTAGATTCATGTTTGTTCAAATCATGAACATAGGATGTTCCTAGTGGAACTTACTTGAAAGTCTATGTGTAAGAAAATAACATTTCCTTCTATGTTCATTTTTTTATTACAAAGGCAGGTGGTGAGTCGTTGCCATCCTTCAACCTTGAAGCAAAAGAGAGTTCAAAAGATGAGGAATGTGCAGCCATTTGTAAATTACGAGGAGTGGATAGTGCTTCTGCCCCAATTGCTTTACAACTTAAGGCCATTGATGAGGAATATCATCATCTTTTGAACAATAACCAAAGTGGCAAGGCAGACCATGTAATGGGTTTATATGTGTGGAAATCCAAGCAGGCCTCTCAGGTAAATAATTATTGCTGTTTGGGGCCAATACTAAGATTAAGTTACACAAGGAGTTATATTTAATGAGCAGGAAGGGTGAGAGGAATATTGTCTTTTTAAGGGTTTCTTAAAAACAAGTGGCCCATGGGTCTTGATGATCATAAAAATGAAAATATACAATGTAAATCAAAAATGCTGTCTAATAGATATGAAATACATGAGGCATTCCAAGTAAATTTTCATAGTCCCCACCCACTAACACAATTACAGCCACTAGAAATTGATATGCATATCAGGCACTTGACTTTTCACTTGACAAAATTTACATTCAGTTGTAAATATCAAGAAACGAACAGACTTAATGCTCAAAGAGTTATCACAGATAAGACCGTTGGAAATGTAAATATTTAAGAATCTACAGCATAGTATAGACTGTTTACATTGATCTATATGCAGGAAGGAATGGCTGCCCAAAAAGCTCAGGATGAGGAGTCTTCCTTGGGCCAAGCCTATCTAAAATATATGGATGCACTGACCTTAGATGAACCTAAGGCCATTTATAACTTCCATGTGGGACGTATGCTTGTAATACAGGGGAACTTTGACGATGCTGTGAAGAGACTTGAAGTGACATTGAACTGGAATCCTAAACATCAGTTTGCCAAGTAATATTAACTCATTCAGCCCCAGCCACTCTTATCTACACAGTGCCTCAGCATCTGTTATCAGCATGTGCCCCAGAGAGATTTCAGGAGGATGCTTAGCGCTTGATATAAACAAACACATGCTTTGTTTACCTTTGTATCTCTTAAATTATTCCACTTATATCAATAAAATTTTTACACAACAAAGAAAACAAAATTCTGAATTCATCAGTATAATTTTCTTCACAAATAATGGAATATTTTTAGTCATCCACCATTGTGTTTGTAATGCCACGCTTGAAAGTAACACTATACTTTCATTTTCCATTGTTTCCTTTATTTTATGAATATTTATAAGGTAAAAGTTAAGAAAGACTTGTTAGAACCTTTCTGATTGGATAAATCACAACATTTCTGGCTGAAATCCAATTATTCAGCCAATCAGAGGCCTTTTTCTAAACCCTATGTTGGCTTCGCCTCCAAGCGGGATCGGCCATTCATAACATTGTAAACAACACTACTGTAGTCGGTATCGGCCAATAGCGGTATGATAAATACCCCGCCTGTAGTAGGGATCGGGGCTGAATGAGTTAAAATATATGAGTCTCCTTTGATTTTGTATCCTTTTTATAGAGGGTTGCACACAGACAATGTGTGATTGTGCCTCCATGAAATTCCACAGAACACATAAGAAAATGTAACATGAAATTTTTCACAATGATTTCACTTGAAATTGATATGCATTTCACTGAACATTAAATTAATGTAAAAGATTTAAAGGATGAATTAGATAAAATATAAAGAGGAAGAACTGGAATGATTCACTTGTCTAATTTATTCATTGTATATATATATATTCTTCTCTCTAGTTGACTCCAATTTGGCACAAATGTAGGTCATTGGCCTTTTAGGTCACCTAAGTTTACTGGCCCCAGAGTCAGGGGTTCTGGTGCTAGGATGGGGCTCTGTTGAAAATATAGTGAAAATGCATTATTTCTTAAAAATCTTCTCCTCTGCTCCTTGGTAAACCAATGAACTATGTACATAGTTATGATGAGGAAAGGTGCCTCTTCTAAAATTGTGATTTTCATGGCCCCTGGGTCAGGGGTTCTGATGTTAGGGTGGGGCTCTATTGATTATATTGTGCAAATGCATTAATTCTTTGAAAATCTTCTCCTCTGCTTCTGGGTATTAAGCCGATGAACTAATTACATAGTTATGATGAGCAACGGTGCTTCTTTTAAAAGTATGAATTTATGGCCTCTGGATCAGGGGTTCTAGTGTTAGGGCGGGGCTCTAATGATTATAGAGTGAAAATGCATTAATTCTTTGAAAATCTTATCTTCTGCTTCTGGGTATTAAACCAATGAACTATATACATACCTATGATGAGGAAGGGTGCATCTTCCAAAATTGTGAATTTCATGGCCCCTGGGTCAGGGATTCTGATGTTAGGGCTGGGCTCTATATATTATATAGAGAAAATGACTGAATTCTTTGAAAATCTTCTCCTCTGCTTCTGGGTATTAAGCCGATGAACTAATTACATAGTTATGATGAGCAACGGTGCTTCTTTTAAAAGTATGAATTTATGGCCTCTGGATCAGGGGTTCTAGTGTTAGGGCGGGGCTCTAATGATTATAGAGTGAAAATGCATTAATTCTTTGAAAATCTTATCTTCTGCTTCTGGGTATTAAACCAATGAACTATATACATACCTATGATGAGGAAGGGTGCATCTTCCAAAATTGTGAATTTCATGGCCCCTGGGTCAGGGATTCTGATGTTAGGGCTGGGCTCTATATATTATATAGAGAAAATGACTGAATTCTTTGAAAATCTTCTCCTATGCTCCTGAGAATTAAATCAATGAGTTATGTACATAGTTATGATGAGGAAAGGTGCCTCTTCCAAAATTGTGAATTTCATGGCCCCTGGGTCAGGGGTTCTGGTGTTAGAGCTGGGCTCTAATAATTATATAATGAAAAAGCATTAATTCTTTGAAAATCCTATCTTCAGTTCCTGGGTATTATGCAGATGATTCAAGTACATAGTTATGATGAGCAAGGGTGCTTCTTCAAGGATTGTGAATTTCAAGGCCCGTGGGTCAAGGGTACCAGGGAGGGGTGGCTCAAATGATTATATAATGAAAATGAATTAATGCTTTGAAATCTGCTCTTTGGTATCAATCAAACATTTGTGATGAGCAAGGGTGCCTTTTCCAAAATTTTGAAATGTGTGGCCCCAGCGTCAGGGGTTCCAGTGGGGTGGGGGCATTACTGATTATGTGGTGGAAATGCATTTTCTCTTTGTTCCTCTGCTCTGCCTCTTGGTATTAAGTAATCAAACTAAGCATGCAAAGTGTATAGTTATGATGAGCAGTGGTGCCTCTTTCAAAATTGTGAATTTCATGGCATCTGGTTCAAAACATGAACCAAATTCAAATGTTGAAAAGTTGTTACATAATACTCAGGTGATCTATATGGCCCGTGGGCCTCTCGTTTTGACACAATTATGATTTTAATAAAATCAAATAATATTTTGAAAGTGATATTGAATTAGCATTCTATTAAATGACTTTGCCAAAGACATTTAAATATGGACTGTACTTAAATAAGTACACTCATTGATATATAGCTGGTGTTTTTGTTAAGATGTGCAGTACTGTGGTAACCTGTGTTATCATCTACAATGTCAAGTTTTGGTAGTTAATTGATATGGATTATCTATGTTACGAACAGAATACAAATTATTTATAAAAACCAAAATGACATTTACAAATTTCTTACCCCAGGTTCTACTTAGGACTGGCACTCGCTTTACAGAAAAATGGACCTGGTGCCAGAGCTAAAGAAACAATCCTCTACCTCCTAGAGGCCATGGAAACACTCCTGACACAACATACAAAGGCAGCTATGACTTCTGATGACCCTAGGTATAAATGTGTTGGGTTTAATGAGTTTGAGAATGAAACAAAATGTTCAATCTAGTCACTGTCAGGTCTGAAGGAATTTAAAATATATCTAACAACTGATTCTAAAATAAATAATTGTGTGCAGTAATTGACATCAATAAATCTAGAAATTTTTAAGAGGATTATATGATTCATACATATTAGTAAAGAAAGTCCCTATCCCCCTCCCCAGAGTAACTCTTCCAATTAAGAGTAAAAGAATGAAAGGATTTAATAGAAAACAGACTGATAAAGATGGTCAAATGTAAATGTTAAATATCTTAATTTTGGGTGACGGAGCATGTTGTAGAATTAGCATAGTTTTCCTTTAATTCTTTTGCATTGGGAAAAATCTTTGACACTTGAAGCTGTACTCTTTAATTGTTCTCTCAGAATTTTGACATCTTAAATCTTTCGTTTATTTAGTATATTTGTTCTGTGATTCAAAACAATTTTATCTTTTGAAATCTAGAGAGCAGCACATTTCATTAACCTAGATTCTCTGTAAATAAAATTGACTGATTTTCATTGCAGAGATATACCACCTGAATTACATTCTGAAAATTTGTTAAGATCATCAAATGTTCATCTTCTACGAGGAATTGTTAACTTAGGAAAGCTGTTACAGAAAAATACAGATGTCAAAGACTGCATGTCACCAGAACACATATTTCATACGTAAGACATGTTAAACCAGTACTAGTACATAGAAATGAGATTCATTTTTGTAAGTAATTAAGGCAGGTCTTCTATCCCCCCTCCCATCCAATTTGGAATGCATTTGTTCTAAAATGAAGATTTTCTATCCCCCCCTTTGCCCTTTATTTTTTTGGAGCAGGTCTATCTGCAAGTAACTATAAGCTAGTAACTATTTTTTCCAGACCAATCTTGCATCGAAGTTTTATCTAGAGATGCCCACTACTAGATTTGCTTTGGATGCTCCATCTGACCAACAATTTCTAAAGGAAACCTTGGAGCAGGTCTATTCCAAAGGAAATATTTGCATTGCTCTGACCAAACTTGCATGGACAATGCATCTAAGAATCTAGGAACTTGCTTTGGATGAGTGAACAGATTAATACTTTTGGAGCAATTGTGTATATTCTTTTATCTTTTAGTAACAATTTGCCCTTACCCTATAACCAAACTGGCTTGGATGATGCATGTAGGGATGCAATACCACCAGACTTGTCCAGGTGTGGCAACTAACTTAATATATATTCTTTTTTTAAGTGACTAGATCAAAGTTTTTAGAGCAGGCCATTCTTATGTAATTATATGTCATCCCTTTCCCAAACTGGCATGGATGATAGCAACCGCTAATGATAAAACACTGCTTAATGATAGAAATATCTGTCCCTTTCCCAAACTGGCATGGATGATGCATATTGTAGCAACTGCTAATGATGAAACGCTGCTCAGAAATATCATTAAAGCGCTGCAATGCAACGCTTAGTGTCATAAATTAGTGCAATAATAGTTGACATTCTCAATGCTTAATCAGATATATTTCTTTCATTAAGCGGCAATTTAGCATTAGTGGTTGAGAATGTCAACTATTAATGCAATAATTTATGGCATTAAACATTGCAATTGTACCGCTTACTGATATTTCTATCATTAAGCAGGCTTTTTATCATTAGCGATCACTACATGCATATGTTTTGCTTAAGATACTGCAGGGAGGCCTTTAATAAAGAATTTTGCAGCTTCACTGGTCAGAGACCAGAAGAGCTTATGCATTAGTAAGATGTCCGTCATCCATCCATCTGTCTGTAAGCAATTTTTCAAAATGCTATTCCTCCTACAGTTTTGGTCTAATTTGAGTAAGTACACAAGAAGACTACTGTAGATCAATAATTTTCGCAACACCTTATTTTCGCGAGATAGTCATTGACTCTTTATTAGCGAGACAAAATTTTCACGAATTATGGTTATTACTCTGTATAATCTTAAGGAATACTAATGTACGTGAGAATGAAATTTTTGCGAGCCCACTTTCTCACATAATTACGCAAAAAAAAAATTCTCGCTAATAAGTGTTTTACAGTATACTAATGCCCTGTTCACACGGAGAGTATAATTTGCAGTAAATTAATGCGAAGTAAAATAATGCAAATTAAACTAATGCGAATTAAATTGCGTTCACACGACAGCTAATGCGAAGTAAACTAATGCGAAGTAAAGTTTTATTTCTACAGTATTAGGCTATTCAGCAAGGCTATTATGACGTCATTTTCAGATCACATCACCTTATTCAGAGCAGGGTCCATTTGACATAATGTCATAGTGTCTGTACACATTTCATTGATTGACATAATTTTCCTTTGTTTTTCACTAAAAATAGCAGAAGTACCTATATCTGACCACTGACATGTTGCATGTGACTTAATTTTGCCATTACGCATGCGTCAAAATTTAATTCGAATTAGCTTCGCTTAGCGTTCACAGGGAGTTAATGTGAAGTAATTTAATGCACAGTAAATTAATTCGAATTAAACTAATTCGCATTAAATTCCCCGTGTGAACGCAGTTCAAATTTAATTCACAGTAACTTACGTTTAATTCGAATCAAACTCTCCGTGTGAACAGGGCATAAGATACATAATTCTATGCATTGGTTTTTGATTTCAACAAAGGGAGTTACCAAGGTTACTAAAAATAGAAATTTCCTTGAAATTCTTTCAAAACGCCACTCCTTCTACAGTTTTGGTCTGATTTAAATCAGATTTGGTACACAATTAGACGATACTAAGATATGTAATTCTTAGCATCAGTTTTTGATTTCAACAAATGGTGTTGCCATGGTTACTAAAAAAAGATATTTCTTTGAAATTCTTTTAAATGCTACTCCTCCTGCACTCCTGGTCTGATTTAAATAAGACTTGGTACACAAGTAGACTATACTAAGATATATATTCTAAGTATCGGTTTTTAATTTCGACAAATAGTGTTGCCGTGGTTACTATAAATAGAAATTTCTTTGAAATTCTCTCAAAATCTTACTCTTTACAGTTTGGGTTTGAATAAGACTTGGTACACTAGTAGACTATAATACATGTACATAATGCTAAATAATTATTCGTTTATGATTTCAACACAGGGTGTTGCCATGGTTACTTGAAATTGAAATTCTGTGAATTTTTTTCAAAACCTTTCTCTTCCTACAATTTTGGCCCGATTTGAATAGGACTTGGTACATATGTAGACTTTACTTATATAAATAATTCTGTATATCTGTTTTTAGATGCTGATCTAACCTACATTTTTTGGACGAATGAACAGGTTAAAGGTTTTATTACTAAATTTGCAAGGATGATGCATCAAGGGATGCAAATGACCAGACTTGCTTGGATGCTTGATCCAATCTACATTTTCAAGATGAATAAGCAGGTTTAAGTTTTGGAGCAGCTAGGTCCATTTCCAAGGACTTTGAGCCCTACATGTACCAAACTTGCCTGGATGATTCATACAGGGATGAAAACTACCAGACTTGCTTTGGATTCTGGACCTGACCTACATTTTTTTGATGAGTGACCAGATAAAAGTTTTTTTTGTAGAGGATCATTCTCAGGTTCCAATAAGATTTTAAGTTCAGTGCTGACTAAACTTGTGTGGATGGTGCATCTTAGGATGCACACTACCAGACTTGCTTAGGATGCTGAATTTTATTTACATTTTTCAGATGACTGTGCAGAAAAATGTGAAGTAATTAAAAATACTACCCAGACCAAAAATTGAATAAATGTTGCATCTATGGATAATCACTACTAGAATATCTACCGGTATTTGGTGTGAGACTGCTTTACTTAAAAATATCAAAAATATTAAGTTTAAAACAAAAATAAATTTGTTCTTATCTGTTAAAAGTTAATGTTGCTAGATAACATTCAGTTGAGATGAGTTTAAAAATGTAATCTTTGTTACCTGTTTTTCCACATACCACAGCTCAGCTTTGCTGGCATCACAGGTCCTTCCCTATATTGCACAAGGTGATACCTATAAACAACTAGAGTGGGTGCTCCTGGATTCACATTCTTATCTCCTGGACATCCTTTTTAAGGACCCTGTGAAAAATGCAGATCTCATTGAACAGCGCTGCCAGAGATTGTCTGCACTTATCATGAACTCCACACTCCCAATGAATGAAGACTTGCTCAATCTTCAAGAACAGGTACTTGAGTGGTCCTGATTTTGGATAACTGTTTTATATTAGCCTAACTTGAATAAGTCACATTATGAGCTTTTTCTTTACCCCTTTCATTAACTTTTGAATTTTTAGAGCAAATCATGGGGTGATGGTGATCAATTGTAATCAATTAAAGTCTGCCATGCAAGTGCTGATGAACAGCTGTTTAACTGTCTGCTATCTTTTTTTTTTTGGTTTTCAATTATTCAATTGTTACCTGTAGCTGTCCAATAAGCTGAATAAGTTGGCCAGTAAAAAATTTACTGGGCCAGGTTAAACAAAAGATGACGTGACAAATTTATTTTTAAGTATAAGTAATATGTTGACGGTGCGACCGTTAGGGCGAGCACTGCTCGCTATAAACTGTATCCTGATCAAATAAGTATAGGAGTAAATTTAAAGCACATACATTATCAGACTTATGCTTCAGCTATAAACTGCTCGCTATAAACTGTATCCTGATCAAATAAGTATAGGAGTAAATTCAAAGCACATACATTATCAGACTTCTGCTTCAGATGCAGGATCTGACTCTCATATTCAAATGATTGAACAGATTAAAGTTTTGGGATCAGGGCCATTCCCAAGTAACTCTCTCTCTCTCTCTCTCTCTCTCTCTCTCTCTCTATATATATATATATATATGCAGGATGTCAGGATATATAGTTATTGGCATGATAAAGATCCCTCTACCATAAGCACAATGCATATAGGTCAAAATCTGTGAAACTTCACCTAAAGCAGGTGACATCTCTAAATGAGTGTAAGATTCTTGAATGGGTGTAAAACAACACTCAATCCATCATTCATTTTGTAGACATGTCAGAAACTGGTGAACCTTAATCCCTGCAGTAGCTTATCCCTCTATAGATTGGGAGCCTCACAGTTTGCGAAGTATGAGAACTCTCCTCCTGGGGAAACTGCTAACAAAATCTTGAATGAGACCATGAAATCTTATCAGGCCTGCATCAGTATGGAGGGTAAACCTGCAACAGGAGATCCTCCCGAGACTCTGACAGGTATGGTATGTGGCAGTGATCTAAGTGTATACTGGTATATCATCATACATTTGGCTCAAAGTTGCACCAACAATCCAAGAAACCATTTTTTTAATTAAGGAATGTTTTTAAGTTTTGTGTGAGTTATTGGTGTGTAAATCACACAGACTTGTCACGTAGGCATATTTCATGAAGCACGCTAGCGCTTCATGAAAAATATGCCTACGTGCAAGTCTGTGTGATTTACACACCAATAATTCACACTAAAATTAAAAACATTCCTTATATTTACATTTTACATGTTTGAAAGCACCAAAAATATACTCAATGTTTGAATTTCTCACTGCCCTGTATCGTCATATTTTTATTAACGTCTCTGTAGCCTCATTGTGACGTCACTTTAGCGCGAGTTTCTCCGTGTATATTTCTATGCGTGAGTATACACAAAAATGGTTTTCAAATCAATTTCACAGTTGGCTTTGTAGAAAAACACAGCAAATGTAGATATTATGATTTATAAAATGACATTCACATCAGTTAAGCACTGTACAAAATGTAATGCTTTTAAGGACAGATGCTACAAACAAAAAAGATGCATGAATTGTTATGTAATTTTTGGACCTTTTTTGATTGTTAATTATACAAATATCAATTTTTTATAATATTAAGAAATTATAGGCTTTCTATGATTTTTAAAATTCTACCCTTTTGTCATCACCCTTATAAATTTATACAACTTCTTATTACTTTTTGTGACATTACTGTTAAACTTTGAATAAAAAATTGGAATCTATATGTAGCTAATCTCATTTATTTTTACTTATTTATGAAATCATGACTCTAATCGATATTCATGTTTTTTGTTGTTTTTTTTTTTTAAAAAAGACTATATTGTTTGTATAGCTTATTTTTTTTAGAATTGATAATTTAACCTTATGTAATAATAATTAAAGCTGTACATGTATTTGTAGATTGAGGAATGTCTTTATTCCTAAAATATTACAGTGCTGCTTAAATTTGTAAGGAGTTGATTTAAAAAAGAAAACTTTTTAAAGAACAAGAATGAAAAGTGATACATATAAAATTTTAAGAAGTTATGACTTTTTAAAGATTTCATTGTACATATATATCTTCTTCAACATGAATTAGAGAAATGAAATTCTTGTCTGCATGGATATAGTTTTGAAACTGAGAAACATTAGAGGCTCATACTTGATATAAAGGTAGGTCATGAGGATTGTCTTGACCTTGCATAAAAGTAATTTTGGACATGGTCAAGGTGTCAGGGTTAAAAAGTATTAGATTATTGTTCCAGTGAAAATGCATTCATTCTCTGAAAATTTTCTATTCTGCCCCTGGCAGACAAACTAAGTGCATGTTTATGATGAGGAAGGATAATCTTCTGAAATTGTGAAATTCCCTGTTCCCTGGGGACAGGAATTCTAGTGTTATAGCAGGGCTCTATTGACCATCTTCTAAAATTGTGAAATTCATGGCCCCTAAGTCAGGGTTCGGTAGTTAGGGCAGGGCTCTATTGATCATGTTGTGAAAATGCATTTATTCTTTGAAAGTCTTTTTCTCTATCCCAGTATATTTAGCAGACAAATAAAGTGTATAGATATGATGAGCAAGGGTGCCTCTTATTAGAGGTATGACTATATACATTATAAAGTGTTTTGTTAGTGAATTACTCATATTTGACCATACTCCATGACTTTATTTTCACTGTCTTTGATTTTAGATAAATATCATTATATATTCAAATTTGTTAATTCAAATAATTTGAATAAATAGCTTAAATATATCTACAAATTTGGTTATAATACGATGATAAATAACAAAGTTAGGAAAAATAAGTCTAAATGTTTTTTGAATGACCATTATATATAGGGAAAATCTTTCTTAAAAAACAAGGCCACATTAGTCTTTCTTAAAATAAGAATCCCCATGTAGTAAAGATTAAAGTTTGATTAAGTTGTAACCTCATGGGGCTACATGTACATGTAGGTTGGAGCCACAATATGAGTTCAAAATTTTTTTTCCTGGGATTATAGAAAGAAATATATTTAAGAAAAATATTCTTAGAACAGCAGGGCCAAGGTGACATAGTGATCATTATGGCCCTTTTGCCTCTTTTGTAGGACAGCAATGGTGGCAAGACAAAGTAAAAGCAGAGGAAGAGGCCAAAAAGGCAGAAGAAGCAAAGAAACCCCCACCAACAGCTCCCAAAGGAGGAGCAGCAAAGCCCGCCCCTGCTGCAAGGGGAGGGGGAGCAGCTGGGAGAGGAGCACCTGCCACTCGAGGGGCACCAGCAGCCCGAGGGAGAGGGGCAGTTTCTACACAACCCAAAGGTGAGAATGCTCAATAGGCTTGTGAGCTTTTTTTGGACAATGCGAGTATTTAGCTTGATGATCGTCCATCCATCTTTCATCTGTCACCTGTTGAGATGTAACATTTTCACTTCTTCTCAAGGATCAATGAGCCAGTTTTAAACAATCTTGCCATGAACCATTCTTGAGTGAAGACAAATCAAGTTTGTTTAAATGAACAGCTAATGCCCTTTTTTCAATGGGGAGATCATTCAGCATACTCCTCAACAGAATTCGTAATAGAATTGAAGTTCTGTAGTCATTTGAAAAGATCAGGGCTCCCTGGATTTAGGACTCTTTAAAATGATGCAGCTTTTAGGTTATCCTTTTGAGCTATTCTTACACCACCAGTAATGATGTGTCCAGCTGGACTATACTTAAAATGATACAGCTTTTAGGTTATCCTTTTGAGCTATTCTTACATCACCAGTAATGATGTGTCCAGCTGGACTATACTTAAAATGATACAGCTTTTAAGTTATCCTTTTGAGCTATTCTTACACCACCAGTAATGAGGTGTCCAGCTGGACTATACTTAAAATGATGCAGCTTTTAGGTTATCCTTTTGAGCTATTCTTACATCACCAGTAATGATGTGTCCAGCTGGACTATACTTAAAATGATACAGCTTTTAGGTTATCCTTTTGAGCTATTCTTACATCACCAGTAATGATGTGTCCAGCTGGACTATACTTAAAACGATGCAGCTTTTAGGTTATTCTTTTGAGCTATTCTTACATCACCAGTAATGATGTGTCCAGCTGGACTATACTTAAAATGATACAGCTTTTAGGTTATCCTTTTGAGCTATTCTTACATCACCAGTAATGATGTGTCCAGCTGGACTATACTTAAAACGATGCAGCTTTTAGGTTATCCTTTTGAGCTATTCTTACATCACCAGTAATGATGTGTCCAGCTGGACTATACTTAAAACGATGCAGCTTTTAGGTTATCCTTTTGAGCTATTCTTACATCACCAGTAATGATGTGTCCAGCTGGACTATACTTAAAACGATACAGCTTTTAGGTTATCCTTTTGAGCTATTCTTACATCACCAGTAATGATGTGTCCAGCTGGACTATACTTAAAACGATACAGCTTTTAGGTTATCCTTTTGAGCTATTCTTACATCACCAGTAATGATGTGTCCAGCTGGACTATACTTAAAATGATGCAGCTTTTAGGTTATCCTTTTGAGCTATTCTTACATCACCAGTAATGATGTGTCCAGCTGGACTATACTTAAAATGATACAGCTTTTAGGTTATCCTTTTGAGCTATTCTTACATCACCAGTAATGATGTGTCCAGCTGGACTATACTTAAAACGATACAGCTTTTAGGTTATCCTTTTGAGCTATTCTTACATCACCAGTAATGATGTGTCCAGCTGGACTATAATTAAAATGATGCAGCTTTTAGGTTATCCTTTTGAGCTATTCTTACATCACCAGTAATGATGTGTCCAGCTGGACTATACTTAAAATGATGCAGCTTTTAGGTTATCCTTTTGAGCTATTCTTACATCACCAGTAATGATGTGTCCAGCTGGACTATACTTAAAATGATACAGCTTTTAGGTTATCCTTTTGAGCTATTCTTACATCACCAGTAATGATGTGTCCAGCTGGACTATACTTAAAATGATACAGCTTTTAGGTTATCCTTTTGAGCTATTCTTACATCACCAGTAATGATGTGTCCAGCTGGACTATACTTAAAATGATACAGCTTTTAGGTTATCCTTTTGAGCTATTCTTACATCACCAGTAATGATGTGTCCAGCTGGACTATACTTAAGAGGAAGAACAAGAACTCTTTGGAGGATTTACTTTTAGATGGACAATATACTAGTATCTAGATACTGTGAAGTTTGTTTATAATTGTTTATAATTGAAAATTTTGGATGCAGTGGTTTGAGAATATCTGTAGGAAACACAAGGTGTATAAGCTAACTTAAAGTTGAAAACAAGACTGAACTTTTTTATGATTAAGAATATTGCTAATTTAAATACAGCATCTCTGCATTTCTTAGCAAATTAAAGGTTCGGGAATCAATAAGTTGATTTCGAATTATTATCTTTTGAAATCATATTTGAAACAAAAGCAGTAGTTTTGACTGGTTTCATTACATGCAGCTTAACTAACTTTTATTATTTATAGGTGGAGCAACTGCAGGAAGAGGAGGTGCTTCTAGAGGTGGGGGTACTGCCAAGGTCAGTACAAATGATTTCTTTGAAAGATCTATAGAAATATACTTTTAAATGCATTCAGGTTTTGTTTAAATATACAGAGATAAAAATATTTTATTTTTAGGCTATTGCAGGAAAAGCAACTCCTGCTCCAGCAACATCAAAACCCCCTGCAGGTAAAGGCACACATCAATGTGAAGCCACACCCCCTGTCAATAAATCTGGAGGTAACATATAAAATGTTCCATTCCTAACCAATTCTCTTGAATTTCTAGCCACATTAATGTCTTGAATTAATACATAAATCAAATACATGCACATATGTCAGTCTTGAATGAAAACACCATTTAAGTTTCAAAGGACTACATGCACAACTATAATTTAATCTGATGTTGCTGAGTGATCTACAAAATTATTTGGAAAATAATCAGAAAAAGGAGGTAATTAAAGTATCCATCAAATGTTAATCATATATTTCTTTTCAAAGTTTTAAACCAAACAGAATTTTAGGTCTGAGATTTGAACTTGAATTTTTTGTAAATCTTCAGCCACAGAACAACCGAAGAAAGAAGAAACCAAACCAGAACCTGCACCAGAATCTAAACCAGCTGACAGTGGGAAAGCAGCCCCTATCAACCAGAAAACTTACCATCCAAGACTTGGACTGGCCAGAGCATACAGAGCATCTGGAGATATTGACCAATCAAAGAAGTTCTACAATGAAGTCATGGCTATGGCACCAGAAGTAAGTACATAAAACAGTTAATGTACAGTAAATAGGGCCCTGCATCTGGAGATACTGACCAATCAAAGAAGTTCTACAATGAAGTCATGGCTATGGCACTAGAAGTAAGTACATAAAACTCTAACAGTTAATGTACAGTAAATAGGGCCCTGCATCTGGAGATACTGACCAATCAAAGAAGTTCTACAATGAAGTCATGGCTATAATGGCACTAGAAGTAAGTACATAAAACTCTAACAGTTAATGTACAGTAAATAGGGCTCTGCATCTGGAGATACTGACCAATCAAAGAATTTCTACAATGAAGTCATGGCTATAATGGCACTAGAAGTAAGTACATAAAACTCTAACAGTTAATGTACAGTAAATAGGGCCCTGCATCTGGAGATACTGACCAATCAAAGAAGTTCTACAATGAAGTCATGGCTATAATGGCACTAGAAGTAAGTACATAAAACTCTAACAGTTAATGTACAGTAAATAGGGCTCTGCATCTGGAGATACTGACCAATCAAAGAAGTTCTACAATGAAGTCATGGCTATAATGGCACTAGAAGTAAGTACATAAAACTCTAACAGTTAATGTACAGTAAATAGGGCTCTGCATCTGGAGATACTGAACAATCAAAGAAATTCTACAATGAAGTCATGGCTATGGCACCAGAAGTAAGAACATAAAAGTTGAATAGTTAATGGGGGCTTTGCATGAAATGCTTTCAAATTTTGTAAAACTTAACAATAAGAGAAAGATTTCTATAAATTTTGGGGTACTGTATATCTTGCCTATATATGTATATCTCAGATTTTTGGGAGTTAAATTATGGTTAAAAACTCAATGTCTGACTTATGAGTTAATTAGCTTCCAAGGGATATGAAATGTGGAGCAGAGGGTAATATTTTCATCGCAAGTGGGCTAACAATCAATGTTGCCCAAAAACACAGACAGTAATCATTTTGTTATATGAAAAACAAAACAATTAAATCAACAATTAAACAGTATTTTGATTTAATTCATTAACATTCAACAACTGGACTGTATCCCATGCATTATCTGCACGTTGACTGTAATGCTAGGGAATCTTCACTCAATTTGCCATGATTGGGTTACCTGGTTTTTTTTTGGTTTTTTGTTTTGATTGTGACGTTATAATTTTTAGAAGTTGCTACGGTATCATTACATCACAATCAATCTACCGATCAGAATTAAAATCAGTATTATAGTGGGAAACTCTTTTTGTCAGTCATAGTGAAAATTAAATGACCATCAATATTTTTTGGAGAAACTAATATCAATTATGCTGGCTGTTTCTCTATTTATAATATAGAGACTTTTCTTCACTGACTATAACAAAATAGAATATTAATCTGAAACTGTCAACAGATTTTGACCAAAAAAAAACTAATAAGTGAGTCAATGGCAAATTCCTCCAAAATATCTTTAAAAATATGACTTAAGGACATTGGCAAGGTTCCTGGTTATTGTATAGAATTTTTCAAGAACTTTTGAGTAGGTTAAAATGTACTAAACAGGTTATATTCTGGATCGTTTTACCTACCAATCCAACATTCTTTTTTAGATTTTGTCAAGTTAGTGTTTTTACAATTCTTAATGCATTTTCTATGTAAAATGTTGATAAAAGGGACCTACATAATTTTTCACCATAATATTTCTTCAAAACCCATTTATTTCATAGAGTTTTTGTATTATATACATTATTGTATCTTCATTTCCTATGACCAGTAGATATTTTGGCTAAAAATGTATATATAGAAACAAGACATGGATATACCGATACCGATCATCATTTTTGAGTTGCGTCCCTTAACAGCTAAAATTGGTCAAGAGACTGGTTGATTGTTTTTATCATTTAATTGACTGAATTGATTGAAACACATTGTCATAAAAATATTGGCATGGATTTATTTTTAACTTTTATTCGTAGTTACTTAATGCTGATTCCTTCACACATCCTAAGAACTGTTCTCAATCGGCATGGTCGACCTACCTTTCACCATATGTCAAATCTTCCCAGCATACTGAGCATAACTATGGTAAATGACGGCCTGTTGGCTCTTTGTCCCTCAATACAATGTACAATTAATGTACAACAAAGCCATTACTACTTTTCTTTTTTGATGTATAGATGATTCTACCCGTTGAAGGAAGTACACGTGCTTTTGTTTACCTCTGTAACATACGCTTTATTGGTTTTCACCGCTTAGAGAATTCTACACGGGAGATCACTCTCAATCACTATTTCATAAGTGAAAAAACCCATGTATTAAACCTTTTTTCTCCAGAAAACCCTGACTTGCCACTGTCCTTAAATGTGAACCATATAGGCGAGTATATACAGTATCTTTTTCTTTACTGTGAACCAACTACATATATTACTTATGAACTTTTATTGGCGATATTGCCCATTTGAAATCGATCTGCAATGACGAATTGAAATGACTGTGTCAGTTTTCTACATATATGTACATTTATATTTTAATACTGAAAAAATTGTAAACATTTTTTCATAGATGTCTTCCCCTTGTAAACTTAATTAGGGTTTGAGTTGGAGGCATATTCTATTATTCTTCAAAGTACCTGAAAGTAATCTATGTTCAAATGCATGTATTACACAAAAGCAAGTGAACATGTCTCCAAATATTTTACCAGGTTCATGATGCCTGCATTGAATTAGCAGAAATGTTAGCAAAGACAGATCCCAAGGGAGCAGTGGATGTCTACTGTAAATTCCACATCTCTGATCCACCAACGTTTGATGATGGTTACATTCTTGGTGAAATAGTGCGTCTTCTGATGAAGGCAGAGGATTATGAGGATAAGAGACTGGTGAAGAACATGATTCTCTATGGAAAAGTTTATGGCTTAGGTGAGGAAAAATTACTTAGTATTGATTGAAATACAGTATAATCTGTCTAATGCAGATTCTGAGTTCTCCAGAATTTTGTTCATTTGGCCTTAAATTCTAGTCCCTTGCACTTCTTTATGCTACATTCCCACTATCACGATTGGCGCCATGATTGAAATCGGGGACTCAAAAGTGGACAAATCGTAGTGATCGTATTAAACCGTAACAAATCTTTTGTTCACTCGTGGCTATCGTGTTGAATAAATGTTTTTTTAATTTGAGTGTCATTTCAATAATCATCAAATCATAATTATGATGAAGCATCTAGGGATGCAGTACACTACCAAACTTGCTATAGATGCTGGATATACCTACATTTTCCAGATGAGTGGTAAAGTTTTGGAGAAGGCCCATTCCCAAGTAACTACAAGGGTTGATCCAAAAGTTATTTCACAACTGCTATAAAATCTTCAATACTTTGAATGTGATCAACAAAAATTTATATACTTATACCTCTATCTATTTTGACTTTGGCCTTTAAATTTCATTCAGGAGAACTATTTAACTATTTCCTTGAGATGGAGAAGCCATCAATTTAAAGGAAAGAGTTTTTTCCAAAGGCCATAAGGGAAACCATTTAAGAAATATTAACAATGTTATTTAGTGAACATGGCATTTATATGAATAGCAATTGCTCTGCTGGCATATTCCATGATGCGCACTAGCGCATCATGGAAAATATGCCAGCAGAGCTATTGCTATTTATAACACCATGTTCATTGAATAATCGTTGTTTATTACTTATATTTGCATTCTGTGATGTCAAGAGATTCAGAGGAAATCCTGGCCTGCATAAGGGCACGGGTGCTTGTCTCCAGTGAAGAAAAACATGACAATAAAATTAGTAAACTAAAGTAAATTAATAATAACTTATCCACTTTATCTCCAATAAATCACATACAATATATGTGGTATTTGCTTATTAATCACAGTTATCTGGATACAAACCGCCCTGTCTTCAAATTCTTAATTTTTTGTTTTGATGCTGTTGTGATGCACCATGACGACATCGTCATCGAAACTCTCTGAGGAAAATTATAAATAACAATATTATGAAAAAAGAGAATGTTTTTACATTGATTTTAACTTAAGAATGTTTTTCCTCATGTTTCTTAAGTTCTTAAAATTCTTTTTAAGAGTTAAAATCGTTCTTGAAATAGATACACTATTACAGAAATTTCGCTCTGTCTGAATGTAAAAAACCCTAGCGCGAAGAGTTATCATTCTTTGCAACAATATGCGTAAAAATGAACAAATAAATTTAAGATATAGAGCTCTGTTTAAATTGTAGAAAGTTTTATTTTACAATTAAACATGTTGACTAAAAGTATCCGTTCAGTGTTTTAAAATTAAAAACACCTCAATCAGTAATCTTAATCATTTCAAATTTCTTTTTTTTCCGAAGGATTCCATTAAAAACTAAATTTTAATCTTTTTGCAAAACATTCCATATATATACTTCTGAATGTGTTGTGAAAGTGGAGTAGCTTATACTGCGCCAGTGTAAGAAACGAAATGCACTTATATCAGAAGAAATTGTGTTCATGGTGCTATTAATGCAACTGATAGTGCTGAGGTTCATATATTGTGGGAGAAAACAGAGAATATGCAAATATAATTACATATTTTCCTCATACCAATTCTATAATAGATGTATAATTAAAGTTTTTATATAAAAGACATAATCACATTCAACAAAAAGGACATAAATATGAACTCAGGCAATTTTTTTTTCGTTCTAGCCATTCTGGAGAAGTATGTGAAAATTTTGGAAGAAAAATTTAAGAATAAAGTCCTACAGGAAGTTTATGCAGGTGTGAATGGTAAATCTGTGGAGGATCCAGATATGCAGGCATTCTTTAAATTTAAATGTTGGTTGTAGAATGTGTGTTATTATTACAGTAATACACAATTTATGAAAATCTTTTTTATGAACATAAATTGTGAATATTTCAAGCATTTTATAAAAAGGGTAACTGACTGCTTAGTTTCAGTAAGATTTGTCCTTATTGGATTCTGTGTATTTGCACATTGTAGTACTTACTGCTGTTTTGAATACCCTATATGAGTATGGGATACTTTCTTTTATCATGGAAGATATCGTTCATGAGTTATGGGGTACTTTCTTTTATGGAAGATCTCATTCATTCTTCAGTAACAGAATAATTTTCTAGTGTATTTTTTGATTGTTTTCTTGTGGAACTCATTGATTTTTGTGTGAGGTACATGACAAATCAGCCATTGCTAGAATCTCTGTGATGTGTGCCAAATTTACAGACACCAAATTGTGATATGCGAGGAGAGTTTGTGAATATATGTACAATTAAATTTTACTACAATAAAGTGACATTAAAAAATTACATGTTCCTGTTTATATAAAAAAAATTACAACTTGGTGACTTTCTGAACTATAAAACTTCACTGAACTTTTTTTATGAGAAATCCAAGTACCATACACATAGAGCAATTTTAAATCAATACATTATGGAGATGCTTTGATATCAATATGACTAACACAGTCATAATTTTATGGAGAGGGTTCGATATCCCTGCAAACAAAGTTTGGGGAGGGTAAATTGGAATCGGCATGTCCGTTGTCTGTCTGTAGACATGGTTTTGCCCAAATTTGTTCTTCAAAACTACTGTTTGCATGGTTTTGTCTGATTTCATACACTATTTACCATAATTATGAAGATGTGCACCTGGTATTTTCAACTAGATTAGACAAATTTTCTTCATTTTACAGGTGTTTTCAACTCAACTGAGCAGAAGGCTCAAGTGAGCTTTCCTGATCATATTTTGTCTGGTATTCATCTGTCTGTCTATAAACTTTTCCATTTCTGACTACTGGGCCAATTTCAAACAAACTTGCAACAAAGTATCTTTGGGTGAAAGGGATTCAAGTTTGTTCAAATGAAGAGCCATACCTTCTTCCAAGATGAGATAATTAAGAATTAGTGAAAATTTTACACCATCTTCTAAAAACCTCAAGAACTATGGGCCAGAAAAGATGAAACTTACATATATATAGAAGTATACTCAGATAGTGTAGATTCAAGTTTTTTTCAAATCAAGATTCCCCAGGCGTATGGTGGGGCCAAAATACTCGATCAAAATTTTGCAGATGAATAATACATGTAGGGAAAAAAATCTTTAAAAAATCTTCTCAGGAACGAATGAGCCAGCTAGAAGAGTTGAAACTAATGTGAGAGCTTCATTACATTGTGTACATTCAGGTTTGTTCAAATCATGACCCCCAGGGGTAGGATGGGGCCACAATGGGGTGATCAAAGTTTAACATACTGTATAAAGGGAAATTTTCGCCCCAATTTATTTTTGCACCTTTCGCCCTAGTCACAGGTGGGCGAATTTAAAACGGGGCAAATTCAAAGAACACAGTATATTTTCTTATGAAGAACTATGACTGGCAAATTTAAATCAGGGCAAAATTACTTGCAAGTGTGAAAGGGCAAAAATAACCCTGTATACAGTACTAGGAATATACAGGAAAAATCTTCTCAGAAACCAATGGGCCAGATGAGGTGAAACTTGTATGCTTCATTGCATAGTGTAGATTCAAGTTTTACAAATTTTGACTCCCCTGGGGTAGGATGGGGGTCACAATGGGTGACTCTTCTAAGGGGAGATAATTAAGAAATAATGAAAATGGGGTGGGGTAATTTAAAAATCTTCTCAAGAACCACTGGGTCATAAAAGATGAATTTTATGTGAAAGTTTTCAGGGAAAGTATAGATTCAATTTTATCCAAATCATGACCCCCGAGGGTAGGGTTGTACCACTTTGGGCGATCAAAGTTTTACACAGGAATACTTAAGGAAAAATCTTTAAGAATTCTTCTAAAGAATGAAGTCATGATAAGTCGTATTTATAGGGAAGCATCCTCAGGTAGTGTAAATTGAATTTCGTCCAACCCCCCAACCCCCCGGGGGGTAGGGTTGGGCCACTTTTAGGGCTGTGTAATAATATCGATATTCCGGTATATAGCGATTCGTTTACAAAAAATATCGCATTGGGATACGTTTTACCAGTACCGATATACCGGCGAATGCTTGGGCTTTAGGTTTATTAAGTAAAATATGAAACTTTTAAAGATGTCAGAAACGTTTTCAATCGTGTCAAACAGTACCAAACGGTAAAGGTTTCTGTTGTTTGGTTGCATTTCGTTGCCAAACTGTAATGAAATCAACTAGAACTTTTTTTGTTACAACATATTTTTAAAAGTTTTATACACTCTGCTTATAAATGAAGGATAATAAAATAAGAAAAGAGCATTTTTAACTGTTATAAAAAATATTGCGATACATATCGCAATACAGTTCCAAATATAGCAATATATCGCAATACGAAAATCCCAACCGATACCCAGCCCTTTTGGGCTTTTGACGCATGACCAGATACATGCAAACTCAAATTATCAGGTAGCCCACGTAGCTGGTCTGTCAATAAAATCAGAAGCTATAGAAAGGCGGTATATTATTGATCTTGAATTAGGTAGATTTTGAGGGCGTTAACATAAAATTGGGTGTTAAAAGATTAATTAATGAGGTCAATGTGAAAAGGCTGTCTAAATCATTTCTGTTGGGGCATCTCTGATCAAGCAGGTGTTGTCCATATCTAATACTGTAGACATGCTGGATTAATTTAATTACTCTTTGTGCGTGGTCGCAAATTTTCTTCTTTGTCACAAAGTATTTAAAGTGCATTTAAAGCATATAATGGCAATGTAAGAAATACATGTACATGTGTATGTAATTTTTTAACTGCGGAGGCCAAATTGTGATTCGGTGGAGTTATTAACCCGTTGTGGCAACGCACTTTGAAAAAAAAATTTTCAAAGTGCGTTAAGATTGGGACAAAATCAACGCACATTGAAAAAAAATTTCAAAGTGCGTTAAATTTGGGACAAAATCAACGCACTTTGAAAATTTTTTTCAATGTGCGTTAAGAGTGTACATCAATATTTTTTACCATGGAGACACTTAACGCACTTTGAAAAAATACGTATAAAACAAAAATTCTGGACTTAGATTTTAGTACTAGAAATAGACGGCATTAATATGTTATATTTCTTCCGAAAAAATGATGAATTGATATACCCTCATCAAGAACGAGGAGAAGACAAGTAGAAAGTCCCTCAGCCCAACTCTCTATCTTCCCAACACAAATATATGTATTTACATAACTGGTATGAAATTGATATTATTTCTCTCAATAAATTTGAGTTGACGTAAAATCGATGAAAAATTTTAGATAAGCTTTCCTGGAAAAAAAAATATATATGCACCCTATTATATTAAAGAAGAGAGCCGCACAACCTTTATTCAAAATGTATCCACAATGATTCCTCAGAAAAAAAGGCATTTACATGGTAATTGAAACATGATATCTGACATGTCTAGCGTTTTTATGACATCAAATTACAGATTTGGAAGTAATCTGACTGCATAACTTTTTTGAGAAAAAGTCATAAGTGAACGATATAAAAATTTCAGTCGAGTGAGTAATGTGGCTAAGGTTTATTTTCTTACTATCAAATAAATGAGTCAACCATTGTTTCGTATATGTTCACAATAGATAGATAGATGAATATGATAAAAAGGTAGACGAGAGAGAGAGAATTTTCATGGTATGGAAAAAATCATAATTGCCCCCTTTTCCCTAAGAAAAATGCGATGCTTTAAGTAACTTATCGACACCTATACATCTACCGAACTTATTAGAGACTGGATAAAATTTAAAAAAAAAAAGAAAAGAAAAAAAAAAGAAACGAAACTGCGCTATTAAACAATCCTTCCCCCACTATTTCTAAAAGACCCATTTCCCTTTTCTAACATTTACGAGAACCTTTGGAAACAAGACAACCCCTAAAAATCTTTAAAACGTCTATATCTCAGATCCTGACGTCATCACCGAAACGTTATCCAACCAGGTTCAAATAATTATTTATCTACTTAAAATTTTCAAGAATATTGACCAAGCCGTGCACATTTTTTCTTCAAAGTGCGTTAATATAGTCGATATTAACGCACTTTGAAAAGGATTTTTTTTTCGAAGTGCGTTAACATGGTCCCAAAATTAACGCACTTTAATTATTTTTTTTTTCAAAGTGCGTTGTAACAACCCGTACATAAAAGTACGTTTACAGTAACACAATATTTGTATATTTTTTATACCTCAAAAAAAAAAAATAAAATAAAATAATAAAAACTGCAGTGTGATGTCTCATAAAGATGACAGATGGTTGCAAACAAGTTTTAATATCTAATGATTAAAAAAAAAACAGGAATAATGATGAGTGTGATGAGTTAAAGTAGGTCGCGAAACTCGCGAATATTTCTCGCAAGCGAATATATAAAAGTTGTTTTACAGTATTTTGAGCATAGCTCATATAATAGACCAAATATACATGATGTCTCTTGATTCACTTTTGCCTTGTGTCAATAAACTACATGTATTAGGTCTTCATCACATTCATAATAAACTTTACCAAGTTCCCTTGGAATTTTTGAATGGACTATTTGAAGATCAGCTGAAGCAAGTCCATACTTAGATTTTTCAACTGTTCAACTGCAGATACAAGCTGGTGTTTGTGATTATGTATGTTGCTCAGAACAGGCTCTTTAAACCACCGCATGTGTCGGAAGATAATTTTGACTCAACTCAGTGGTTCCTTAAACACTGTTAAACTTTTTGCAGACAAAGGAATAGATGCTGTTAACATTATTAACATTCTTAATCATAAAAAAAGTTCAGTCTTGCAATCCACCATATTTCAAGTTGTTCTCTACACCCTGTATTTCCTATAGATATCCCCAAACTGTTGCTTCCATACTTTATAAACAAACCTTACAGTGCCTAGATATTGAACATCTGAAACAAAATCCTAGTGTTCTTGCTCTTCTTCTTCCTTCAATGTAACAGTCCTGCTTGACACGTCATGACCGGTGTTGTTAATATAGTTGAAAACCTAAAAGCAATTATCTTGAAAGGTCTTACAAGCAAAGAGTTCCGATCTTTCAAATTGGCGACAGAACATCATTATGAATTCTGTCAAAGATTATGCCAGACGTTAGGCTGAATAGAAGAAGACCTGGACACCTCAGAATGGATTTAGTATTTTAGAAATATTGAAGAACCGTATTAGAAAGTTAAATGGCAATATGCGAACCATCTATCCTTCCATTTTCACTATATCGGAGGTGATCAAAAATTTGAAGGACTACATGAACAATATGTTATGGATCCAGAAGTCAAGGTTTGTAACAATATCGTATCTTTGTTTGTAAGGCTCATTATTATAACTGTATTTTAGAAGAACTCCAGGTTTTAATTTGACTGATCTATGTCTGAAAATTCAACTTATACTCACAGTTCAGTTTCTAAGAATGAAATTCTCAGTGTTTAATACTTCTAACATTCCAGTCAACCAAGGTCAGTTCGATCTATCCTATATATTCTTGATTCCTAAACTTCATAAAAATCCTTACAAACAAAGAAACACTGCCGGGTCAAGCAGTGCCCTTCCAAGCTCCAAACTTTACTCCTTAAAAATTATTAACCGCTGTGAAGGAAAAACTTCAGACGTTCTATGCTACAGCACTGCTTCAATAAAAATGGAACTCGGAAATTTTCGTATCTTGTGATTGGTCATCAACAAAATTACTTTGTTAAAAAACATTCCGATTCTACACAGATGTAATCTGAAGTTGACATTCAATGGATGCTGGAGTTCCTCATCAAAAACATTAATGTAGTCTTCAGAGACCAGTTTTTTCGAAATTTGTCGAAATTTACATGGGCACTAATTGTGCTCCTTTATTAGCCGACCTGTTTTTATATCTCTTTGATGGATAAAATTTACTTTATAGGGGAATAATTTCACGGGTTGTAATTTTCACGTTTTTCTCTCCTCTGACACGATCGCGATTTGTTGAATTCGCGGAATCGGTATATAATAAAAGTTTCCTCCCGTCTATATCAGTTATAAATCCATAGCATAGCTAGAACGAGATTAATCAGCGTTGTGTATTCACTTCACGAACAACAGGGTAGGTTTATATAAAATAGTTAGATTTGATAATTAATCGACGGCTAATTAAAGCAAGTGCAGTGATTAAAAGTCCCTGACTATAAATGTCGAATGACTTTCCTACATGCTATTACGATGAGTGCATGTACACCCGAAGATCTTCTTTCCAAAGGGACAATGCATCGCGGCGAAAAACCACTGGACGGTAAGAAATTTGTTAATGTAGGTCGACGAAATAATATCCTTCCACATCTTCAGTAAGTTCGATAGTTATTTGAATGATTTTTTAAAACCAAAATGTCGATAAAAACATGATAATGCAGGTAACAAATACATGTGGTAACATAGTTACACACAGGTAATCAAAACCTATGACCCACGTATTTTGATTGATGATACATGTAGCATTGGCTATCAAAACAGCTTTTTTACATCTGCTGATCTGAATTAAGGTGTGGTAATTAAAATAGATGAATGACAAGTACGACTTGTTATTACTGAAATGACCACGTACCTATCCTAGTCTATTCTCAAATTTCAAATATAACATGGATGTTATTGAAAACTTATTCACTGTTTCTTGAATTTACGGATTTATTAACACTGTGAATATAGCGAATATTAACACCACGAGTTAGTTTCCCCCTATACAGTATTCAAATACTTCTACGTGAGAAAGAGAAAACACTTGTGGCTTTCAACTCGGCATTTAGATATATCGTTGACGCAGGCCCGTAGGAAGCAATTTCAGTTGGGGGGGGGGGGGGGCACAGCCATACATTTTCAGTTGAGGGGGCGCTATCAACTACCAAAAATTTCTTGACAAGCCAAAAAAAAAGGTCTCAGACGTTTTTGTTGAGGGGGCACAGGCATATAGTATCTATGTTTTCTATAGTAATCTGTACATCGGCAAAATTATTTGGGGGGGGGGGGGCGCCCCCCCCCCCGGTTCCTACGGCCATGAGACGTTTTATCAATTAACAATAGTTACTTCCACTCAAATGTCGACTCGATATATCCCAGTGAACTTGAAATAAAAATACCACAGAGTCTAGCACATCTCGGAAATTTTCGTATCTTGTGATTGGTCATCAACAAAATTACTTTGTTAAAAATCATGTTATCTCAATAATTCAGTCCTTTCATATATCGAAGTGAACTTGAAATAAAAGACACCACAAAGTCTGCCACACCTGTTTCATATGACTACAGACGATAAGCGCCAACTGTAACAACTAAATGGTATGGAAAAAACCCAATGACCTGCCTCTCCATTGTCAACTTTCCCTATTTATGTAGTAATATTCCGCTATCACTTGCAAATGGTGTTTACGTCTCCCTATGGAACGCCAAATTAACATATATTCAAATATTTGTACCTATCTTCAAATAATTGTACCTGTCTTCAAATCAATTGTACCTATCTTCAAATGAATTGTACTCATCTTTAAATGAATTGTACCTATCTTCAAATGAATTAGAGATAGGTATAATTCAATTATACCTATCTTTAATTCATTTGAGGATAGATACAATTGATTTGAAGATAGGTAAAAATGCAATGAATTGAAGATAGGTATAATTGATTTAAAGATAGGTACAATACAATTGAATCTTTAATTACTAAGATATTGGCAATAATAACTACTCCCTTCATTATACGTCATTTCCATTACGTCTACCGATCTCCCACACTTTCAGGGTACTTGGGTATATATTTTTTCGCTCACTTATTGACATACATGTGTATTTTAATGAGTATATAATGCTTTTGCACATTTTAACATACCAGCCCCCCGTTGGGTGGGCACAGCCATACATTTTTCAGTTGACAGTTGAGGGGGCACTACCAAAAATTTTCCTGACAAGCAAAAAAAAAAAAAAAAAAAAAAAGTCATCAGGCGTTTTTATTGAGGGGGCACAAGCATATAGTATCTATGTTTACTATAGTAATCTATATATCGGCAAAATTATTGGGGGGGGGGGAGGGGGGCACAGCCCCCCCCCCCCGTTCCTACGGCCATGCATACCTTTATTTCTTTCATCCTCATTGTCGTCGCTCTGTATGCTCTGTACGTTTCCCTCCATGTTCAATATTGTCTCCAAGGGAGCGTTCATTATTTTCAATAACACGAAACGAATTGAACCTAGGTATAATTGAATTGTACCTATCTTCAAATCCTTTGTGGATATGTTCTAATTGTACCTATCTTCAAATCAATTGTACCTATGATCTTCAAATCAATTGTACCTATCTTTAAATCAATTATACCTATCTTCAAATGAATTAGAGATAGGTATGATTCAATTGAACCTATCTTTAACTGAATTGAAGATAGGTGTAATTCCATTAAAGATAGGTATAATTCATTTGTACCTAGGTATAATTATTTAGAGATAGGTATGATTATTTACACCTATCTTCAATTCAATTGTACCTATCTTTAATTCAATTGTACCTATCTTCAATTCATTTGAAGATAGGTACAATTATTTGAAGATAGGTACAATTATTTGAAGATAGGTACAAATATTTGAATATATGTTAATTTGGCGTTCCATATCTCCTAGCTTATTCAATACTCCTTCTCCGATGCCTCCTCTGGAAACCAGTGGCCTTTTTCACAAAAAAATCTTATGACTAAGACAAAATTTTCCCCATTCCTCAAGTATCTAAGCTGTAGTAGAACATCAAAAAATCTTATATTTCTATTTTATTTAGTTACTTGGTAAAAATATTTAAGAAAAAAATAAATATATTTATTAAACAAAAATTACAGAATTGTCAAACTTCCATCTTAGTCGTAAGATTTTTTGTGAAAAGGGCCACAGATGGTAGAATTTATGTTTGCGTTTCTTGCATATAATGCAAGATATAGTAATATTCTTCACATATTATATTTTGAGCATAAAAAGTCTATTGAAATGTGGAATAAAGTATTTCTCCATCCAATTCTATAGTAAATGTAACTGTATTTTGAGATGGTCCCTGAATATACCCGGATTGTAACTTTGCATGTACATTTAAGACAGTGTAGGCTACACATGGTATAAAAGTAGAGTGGTTTTCTTTTGTAGTTTAATACGCAAAAAAAAACAAACAAAAAAACAAAACAAAACAAAAAACAAGAGGCCCATGGGCCACATCGCTCACCTGAGCACATTGGCTAGGAAAAAAAGCAAAAATCAGTTCAGTATAAAGTTCAGGGGGGGGGGGGGGGTTGTTGAATTTTAAACTACCTGATGATCCTTTCATATCAATATAACAAATGGCTTTGCTGTTCTTGAGCAGCAGATTTTTTCCCATATATTCATTTGTAAAAATTTGATCCCCCATTGAGGCCCCACCCTACCTCCGGGGGCCCTCATTTGAACAAATTTCATTCAACACTACCAAAGGCTGCCTCCATATCAATTTGACTAATAATGGCTTTTCTGTTCTTGATAAAAAGATTTTTTCCTATATATTCCTCTGTAAACTTTGATTATGCATTGTGGCCCCACCCTACCCCCGGGGGTCATGATTTGCACAAACTTGTATCTACACTGCCTGAGGATGCTTCCATATAAATATGACCAATCATGGCTTTGCTGTTCTTAAGAAGAAGATTTTTAAAGATATTTTCCTGTATATTTCTAAGTGAAATTTTGATCCCCCATTTTGCCCCCCCCAACCCCCAGGGGTTATGATTTGAACAAACTTGAATGTACACTACCTGAGGATGCTTCCATATAAATATGACCAATCATGGCTTTACTGTTCTTAGGAAGAAGATTTTTAAAGTTTTTTCTATATACTCTTATGAAAAACTTTGATCCCCCATTATGGCCCCACCCTACCCCCGGGGCCCTCATTTGAACAAATTTCATTCTACACTACCCAAGGATGCCTCCATATCAATATGACTAATCATGGCTTTTCTGTTCTTGAGAAAAAGATTTTTTCCTATATATTCCTCTGTAAACTTTGATCACACATTGTGGCCCAACCCTACCTCCGGGGGTCATGATTTGAACAAAATTGAATCTACACTACCTGAGGATGCTTCCATATAAATATGACCAATCATGGCTTTGCTGTTCTTAAGAAGAAGCTTTTAAAGATATTTTCCTATATATTTCTACGTAAAACCTTGATCCCCATTGTGGCCCCACCCTATCCCCACCCGGGAAGGGGGGGGGGTCATCATTTGAACAAACTTGAATCTACACTACCTGAGGATGCTTCCATTTAAATATGACTAATCATGGCTTTGCTGGAAGATTTTTAAAGATATTTTCCTTATATTCTATGTAAAACTTTGATCCCCCATTGTGGCCCCACCCTACCCCCAGGGGTCATGATTTGAACAAACTTGAATCTACACTACTTGAGGATGATTCCATTTAAATATGACCAATCATGGCTTTGCTGTTCTTAAGAAGAAGATTTTTAAAGATATTTTCCTATATATTTCTATGTAAAACTTTGATCCCTCATTGTGGCCCACCCTACCCCGGGGGTCATCATTTGAACAACTTGAATCTACACTACCTGAGGATGCTTCCATTTAAATATGACCAATCATGGCTTTGCTGTTCTTAAGAAGAAGACTTTTAAAGATATTTTCCTATATATTTCTATGTATAACTTTGATCCCCCATTGTGGCCCCACCCTACCCCCAGGGGTAATGATTTGAACAAACTTGAATCTACACTACTTGAGGATGATTCCATTTAAATATGACCAATCATGGCTTTGCTGTTCTTAAGAAGAAAATTTTTAAAGATATTTTCCTATATATTTCTATGTAAAACTTTGATCCCTCATTGTGGCCCCACCCTACCCCCGGGGGTCATCATTTGAACAAACTTGAATCTACACAACTTGAGGATGTTCCCCTATAAATATGACCAACCATGGCTTTGCTGTTCTTAAGAAGAAGATTTTTAAAGATATTTTCCTATATATTTCTATGTAAAACTTTGATTCCCCATTGTGGCCCCACCCTACCCCCAGGGGTCATGATTTGAACAAACTTGAATCTACACTACCTGAAGATGTTTCCACATAAGTTTCATTTTTCCTGGCCCAGTGGTTCTCGAGAAGAAGATTTTTAAATGATGCCATTAGTTTTTCACTAATTCCTAATTATCTCCCCTTGAAAGAGGGCGTAGCCCTTCATTTGAACAAACTTGAATCCCCTTCACCCAAGGATGCTTTGTGGCAAGTTTGGTTGAATTTGGCCCAGTGGTTCTTGAGAAGAAGTCAAAAATGTGAAAAGTTTACAGACAGACAGACGGACGCTGGACAAAATGTGATCAGAAAAGCTCACTTGAGCCTTCGGCTCAGGTGAGCTAAAAAAACAAAACAAATAAACAAACCAAATAAAGACGTCAGATTCCTTAAACATTGTATTTACATATAGTTCACTTGAAAGTGAATCTCAAATAGCTTATATTTGGCTTTGGATAACCTTGATTTTTTTCAATTATGAACACAAATGAGCCTCATAATATTCAAAAAAAGGAAGTTTACTTGACAAGTATAAAACACACAAATATATGCTAAACTTTATGTAATAAAATTATTTTTCATCATCTAACAAAAGAAACAAGAGTATTGAAAATATAATTACATGATACAGAGACTGATCAAGACAAATTCATTCCAAGTCCAAATGATTATTTCACTTTAAGAGTGTAAACAGATCTAAGCTAAAATAAAATCAGCTGCATATTTCTTGTAGAAGTGGGGTACTGGATCATTTTAAACCTATTATTGTTGCAGAGACTTCTAATAAATATATATATCCAATTTAATACACACAAATGCCTCTTGAGTGGCAATTTCTGGAGATGGCCTTAAGGTCACCTAATACAATCTATAAAGGATCCATAGAATTGCAATTTGAAATTGTATAAATAAAGTAAAATAAATTGATAGAGGAGATACTTGCAACTGTTCAAAAACAAGAGAGTATCAATGAACAGTTAGTCTAGTAGTCTACAACAACTCTGAAAGTAGATTTCCTTGCCCATTTTTGCCTGTCACCAAACTCTAACCAATGCAATACTTCAGAATGAAATTACAGCAAATTCAGAATCCTTGTAACTAGATTCTCCTGGCATTCAGTAATATGTGTTTTTTTGTTGTTGTCTTTTTTTTAACCTTATTTTTAATTATTTATTACTCACAAGTCTACCTGACCATCTGACCATTAAAAACTACATAAAAAGTTTTTGGTATAATTCTTTTATTTAAGTGACCTGTAGAACCCATTATTTCCTTTATTCAAGTGACCTATTAAAATTTATTTTATATATTTTATTCAAGTGACCCATGAAAACACTTATCTACAGTGATGATTCATCATAGGCCAATACTCAAAGTGAAATAACTGATTTAAAAGTACATGTACAGTAAAAAATTTCCCTACAAGATCAATAGCACCAGAACCCCTGACCCAGCAGTCATGAATTTCACCATTCTGGTAAAAACACCCTTGCACATATAAACAAACAGAATGTATTTGGTTTACCAGCTTAATGCCCAGGAGCAGAGATGGAGGATTTTTAAAGAATTAATGAATTTTACTACATAATCAACACAGCCTCTTTCTAACACCAAGACCCTGACTTAGGAGCCATGATTTTCACAATCTAGGAAGAGGATCTACTGTTCATCATAACTATGTACTTAGTTTGTCTATTTTTAAAAAAAAAAAATGAATTTATGAATTTTCACTATATGTTCAAAATAGCCTCAGCCTAACATCAGAACCCCGGACCCACCAGGGGCCATGAATTTCACAATTTGGAAGAGGCACCCTTTCTCATCATATCAATGCATTTACATGTAGTTTGTCTGTTAAATGTACAGGAGAGATTTTAAAGAATTTCTGAATGTTCACCAAATGATCAACAGACCCCTAACACTAGAATCCCTGACCCTGGAGCCATGGATATTACAATTTTAAAAGGGGAACCAATGCTTATGTAGCTGCAGATCTGTAATTCTTTGGTCTGAAAAAATAGGGATGGACAACCAGAGATCTACAGTTACCACCCATTGAAAAAAAATTGTATATTTATTGCACATAAAAAGTGCACAGTTTCTCAATCTATTTCTCCATATACTTAATTTGCCATCTCAAAATACTACTAACCCTAGCCCGTGCTTCTAACATATTGTATACCATGTCCATAATAAAACATTCCTCATAACAGCTATTAATAGTCCTCCTGGACCTGTAATTGAGACCAATGAAAATTTCAATTATATAAACTGCCATTTTGAGTGGCAAGACAATTTGGTCCAACATGCTTTGTGCAGATGTCAACTGGGTGGCTCTGTGGTCTGTGAATATTTTTTTTTTTCAGAGAGCTACAGTTCTTAAGCTAAATGTTTATCTTATGCATACAAACAGTTTGACTGATAATTTTGGTCCAACCCCTCAGGCCTGGGGAGGCAGAGATAAGAAAACCATGTTACATGTTCCATTTGACCCATGAACGTTATATACCAAAATTGGTTGAAATTAGTTTTGCAGTTCTGAAGAAGAGCAGTGTTTGAAAATGTAAAACCAATGAATAACACACAGCAATGGACAAAAACAGATAGCAGTAGGTCACCTGAGAGATTCAGGTGACCTAAAAATAAAGTAGGTCACTTTGACCTACTTTTGAATTTATACACCATGGGGCCCCAAGTCACATTACCTTTTTAGCTTTAGTGACCCAGCAGGACACAGTATTCATATATATATATATATAGGCGGTCACTGTGACCTACTTCCTGGTTTACATACCGAGAGGCTCGAAGATAATTCAAATAACAAGGATGATTATCTTAGGCATCACATTGTCCAAGATATTCATTTAATACAATTCAAAAAGTAGGTCACTGTCACCTGCATATGGATTACCATATCCAAGGTCCTAATGTGCATCAGCTGACAAGATTTGATGATCCTAGTCCCTGAAGAGGGGAAATATCAAAATTTTCTAACAAAGTATCATTTTAAGTCAATTCTGAAGTGGCTTTAAGACAAAGCCCTTTGTCCTAGTGTGATGGTTTAAATTTTCAGCAACAGTATAAATGTCTTTTCACATCAAAAGCATTATTCTACAGGCCTTGGTGGATTATTCACAAAATTATAATTCTGAAAACAGACCTTATAAACATACCTAAAAATTGGCTATAAAATAACAGAGACAGTGATAAAAGAACATTCTTATTAAAATTAATAGCGAAAAAGATAATTTTCATATACAATCATAAATTCAAATATATAAGGTCTATACACAATAAACACCATACATTGTAAATGCTATAAAAATAATAACTCTATGTCAACAATGGAAGAAGTATACAGCATATCATCAACCCAACATACTTCACAGTAACAACATAATGAAAGAGAAGGAGAAAAAAAAATAATTTCAACAACCCTATCTGTACAAAATCAATGAGACAAATTCAAAGTAAGTGTAAATCAATAGAAAATGGAAGTACAGGTAACAAGGGAAACTAAGTTGTTCATATTCTTTGGCAACAAATTTCCAGTCTTTGTATAAATGCTTATTTGAAGCTGGCACGTGGGATCTGACAGATAGGACTATAATCACTGACACAATGGCAATCAGAACACAGACCATTTTCTACAAAGAAAAGAAAGATATGTAGTAAAGAAACAAAACTACATAAAAATAAATGTCCTTAATTCTACTAATTGTTGACGGATCCATCTGCCTCTTCTTGTAGCACTTTATATCCCGGAGGCTCCATCTTCGGTACTAGAGGAATATGCAGCTGTGCCATCTGCATATTTTGGAAATTAAATGATGATATTTTCGTATATGTTTATTTTTGTACTTTTTCTCCCAACTAGAAGTTAATTACCTGAGATCAGGAGCTTGTTGTAGAAGTGGGAGTATGTGTTCAAAAGTATGACTATTATTTCACCAGAACTCTCTGGTGAGACTTTAGCTCTATTGGTGTGTACTTATAATAAAGAAAAGATGTATCTTAGTACAGTCTAATCAGATCAGAACTGTATGAGAAGTAGCATTCTAAAAGAATTTCAAAGATATTTCTTTTTTTAGTAACCATGGCAACACCATTTGTCAAAATAAAAAAACTAACAAATAGAATTATTTATGTACAGTATACTTGTGTACCAAATCTTTAAAATTGGACCAAAACTACAGGAGGAGTAGCATTTTGAAAGAATTTTGAAGAAATTTCTAATTTTAGTAACCAGGGCAACACTCTTTACCAAAATCGAAAACAGATAAAAAGAATTATGTATCTTAGTACAGTGTGCTTGTGTACCAAGTCTTATTGAAATTGGACCAAAATTGTAGGAGGAGTAGTGTTTTGAAAAATTGCTACAGACAGACAGGACAGACTACGTACACCCTACTATCACATAAGCTCTTCTGGTCTCACACCAGTAGAGCTAAAAAAAGTAGGTCACAGTGACCTACTTTTGAATGGACACATCTCAGAGCCCTAAGATGTAACAAATATTAAGATTTGTTGACCTTGCATGTCCTAGTTTTCAAAATATATAAGTGAAAAGAAAATATTTCCCTGTAAAATTCAGAAAGTAAATCAGAGATCCAGGTTTTAGTTGACACACCCTGAGACCCCAACATGATGCACCATTTGACTGGCAAAGTAGACAGATGATCCAAGGCTTTATCCTGTTCAAGATATGCATCTTAAACAATTTGAAAATGAGTAACTTTTAAATTCCCAAATTAAGTAATGGTGACTTTTTTTTGATCAACATTCTCTGCATGGGGCCTTATGATGCATATACTGACAAAATTTGCTGATCCTGGTCTTTATATTGGGAAAAAATAAAGTTTTAATAAAATATCATTAAAGGACTTATCGCATGATCTTTCAAAAATCGTAATTTTATGAAAAATATTATCTACAACCTTGTTTATTAAAATAATGAATACAATAAACGTTGTTGAAAGCATATTTTAAGAGATACTGAGAGTTGAAATTCAAATATGGCAATATGCATATTTCAGTCGGATTTCGGCGAAATGCTGCTCTGACGTCATAGGCGATAATTCAGTGATAGAGAGATGAGAATATGCACACCATTAGAGGAGTTATCAATGACAAATGCAGCTTAATTATGAGAAATGCTGGAAAAAATTAATTCCTAACGTGCTTTTCAACTACTATAGAAACATTAACTAGTTCTAAGGTATAAGGCTTTTGAGATATTTTCGTTATTTATTCCAAACATTTAGAATCTGTAGTTCCGATTATGGCGATGTTTCGTGAACTGGAAATTATTTTTTCAAGACCGCCTTCCTTTACAAAACATATGAAGGCATACTTGCATAAATTAATGTTATGTTAAAAACGAAGAATAACAAAGTTATATAATGTTAAATTTGTGAATCAAATAAGTTAATACATGTGATAAGATGACAAATCAAATTGTATTGTGATGGCCAGTTTCTTGTCTTCGCCGCATCTCTCTCACTATCGTCGCTGCTATTTTTACAATGTTAACAAATTTTTCAGATTTTTTCTTGCTGACAATTCTAACATATAAGGTTGGTTATTCAATTTCATATCGATAAAATCAGTGATTTGATCGTCCACAATGCAGAAAATTCAGGATGTATCGCGTATATTTTAGTAAGATTAACGTGAAGAGCTGATCAGCCATTGTCGCCTTTGACGTCACAGGGTCACGTGATCGCTATCTAATTAACTTAGATTTTTAATTCAGGGGTTTTTATTTGAGTCAATAATTGGTTAATTACCGCGGTTTATCTGCAGTAAAAACATAGAATTTATAACCTGTGGTCATAAGGAATGTAATACGCTTTTAATTTCAAATAATTTAGAAACATGCGATAAGTCCTTTAAAGGTCAACATTTAAGTGGCTTTGAGACCACACACACTGCATAAATGGCACAGCATTAGCTCTTTGAGCCTTTGGCTAATAAGAGCTTAAAATAATCAAATAGGCAATAGGGAACAGCATAAAAAATCCCTGTTTTTGAAGCTTTTCATAACCCTATATTTTAGTTTATAGAAAGGTTAAATCCATAGAGCATAATCACCTTACAAGTCTCCATTTTTCACCTCCTCATCAAACATCCGTCTCTGGACGGGCTGCTAGTTTCACCTCCTCAAACATCATCTCTACTTTTTCTACCTCCTGAGCAAAAGAGAAACTGAACTTATACTCATGGGACAAAATGTAACAAGAGACTCAAGGGCCTAATATCACTCTTCTGATAAATTGCACAAGAGTCACTGTCACCTACTTCTGAATTGGCAAATAATGGGGGTACAAGACACCAAAATCCATCAACTGACAAGATTGGTGATTTTTTGCCTCATAGTATCTGAAATATTTGGCTAAAATGCATTAAAAATGAAAAACTGTAAACTTCATGAAGTAGGTCATTGTGACCTTCTTTTTCTTTGACATACTAAGAAGCATCAAGATGCATCAACTGACAATGTTTCACGTTTTTAGGCTTCAACCTTCCAAGAGAGCATCTTAAAACAATTTGACCATGAATGATTGCAAAATTCAAACATAGGTAATCAAGATTACAGAGCTCAACAAAACGAATGTTATCTTTAAGTAAAGCACAGTTCCACACTAAACAAATAATCTACTAGTGCACATCTCTAGATGCAACATTTATGCAGTTTTAGTCCAGGCAGGGTTTGCATTTAATCCAGTATTATTCAGGGTATGAAAGGCAGTTTTGCTGAAATCTAGGCATTTCAGATATCTGGATGCTCCACCTATCTGGACTATTTGGACTTGGAACCAAAGCGTCCGGATAAACGAGGCTCCACTGTATGTGCTTTGACCTTGACTTCTGATCATTGCTCATTTTCTCTACAGGTAAAGTAAGAGTCAGCTGATAGGGCCAAGGGGAGAGAAAAGATGCTCTGGACAAGTGATATATATACATGTATATACATATATATATTGAATGGTTTGACTGATAACTGTAGGGCACCAGAAGAGTGGGGCCCTAATGAATTAGAGCAATCTTTACTTTTGTGCACTCCTGCATGAACTTCTCCATCATCTGTTGATGTTTCTGAAACAGCTTCTCTATTTGTTTTGACTGTCTTATTTTCAATCTCTTACGTTCATCTGTGAATCTTTTGATGTTATTTTCACTAATTTCTTTAATCCTCCTAAAAAATAGATAAAAAAATTAATTCTCATCGAACCATTAAAAAAAAAATTGTTCAAGAAGAAACTTAAGGAGGCTCATTACACCACTTTTTGATGACGTACTACACAGAAAAATAAACCTCCATTGTTTCGCCCGTTTTCTCCTGGGGACGAATTGTACAGGTTCGCTTTGCTGATGATCCAAATCTTTAAAACGCTCTAAAAATAGACTACATGCGGTGTTGTAAACAATGAGAACAAGATAACGGATTCATTATAAATCACAAACGAAGAAGGGTTATTTTTAAGTAGAGACCAAAGAGAATGACAGTCAAATCTTCGCTACCCAAGTAGTGTACAATTTCATGGCGAAAGCAGCAAGTTCTACCACTGACAACATGTACGTATAGAGGAAAATCGAGTTGAAATCTACAACCTCGTTGAAATAAATTATAATTGACTTGCGCTTTTAGAGTACTGTACTCTTGTTGGTTTGTGTGCTTGTCTTTTTTTCTTTAAAAAATGTATATTCATTCTAGAAATTTTAGTTTATTCTGAGTCCGATATGTTCAACCGTTCCTGAGTGTTTTGAGTCAGGGGGATTTAGGAAAGATAACTCTTGCAAGTGGACTTTTTATTCCAATTATTTTTTAAATTTGAATTTTCATTTCCTTAAAACATTTTTCATTCAATTTGTCACTTGTTATTCATAAATATACATTCCTTGTCTACTTATAACTGATTTTCCAAATTATTCATGCAAAAATTAAGAAGAAAATCACATTGATTCTTTTTTGGGAGAAAATTATTTTTTCTTATAAAAATAATGTTGATTATTATGAAGTGTTATTATATTGCCTACATAACTGAAGATGATATCCATCACTTGACACTGAGATTCTTGCAATACTATCAATCAGAAACTTGAAAAAGAACATTTAACCAAAATCAGAAAAAAGATTAAAAAATCTTTAAAAAATATTTATCCTATCATAACCTCCATTCGTATATTTGAAATCTTCATAATAACTGGTGCTGTAACGAAATCTAAAATAAACTGTGGGTGTAATGAGCCTCCTTAAGCCCATCGTTTAATGTGAACTGAACAAAATGCCCAATTTTATTGACTTTTAATATGTAAAAATGACTTTTTTAAATTGTGTTAATTTTTCTGTATCCTATTAAATTAAGCTAAAATATTTTTTTCTGTAGAGTACAGATCAAACACTGTGAAATGTTTTCCAAATGTATATGTTTATTATAGACAAGGGAAACACTAACCTCTCTCTCTCAGCCTTGGCTTTGATTGTCTTATCATTCATCACAGCTTTGCTCGACTCCATGGATTGTTTGGACTGTTTTATTGTTAATTCCTTCTCCTCTCTACTTGACAAAGAAGAATAAAATAAAAATTTAAGTAAAATGTATTCGGACCAAAGATTATGTTTCAACATGCATTGCATTTTCAAGAGAGCTCCATGAGCCACAACACTCAGACATCAATAAATTTGAATCTACACTTTAGTTGCCTTAAAGATTCTGGACAAGAACATGAAATCGTGAAAAATTTTACGATAACATTAACAATGACAGACACATTTTGAGCAGAAAGGCCTTTGCCTCAAATGAGCTACAAACTGATTCCATTACTTAGACATTCGAGTCTACTACATATGACAACAGATTCCATGCATTACTTAGATAACTGTGACTCAATGTATCAATAAGCGAGTCTGACCTGTCATTAAGCACCTCCTGCTCTTTGATCTGAACTTGCTGAGCTGCTTCAAACAGTTTTTTTAGAAGGACATTCTGTTGAACTACATGTTCCTTAAGAAGATCATGTTCTTCTTTCAACTGTCTAAGAGAAACATCTGACCACTCCTTAGTGTGCTTTGTAACCATCTCTGAAATCTGATTAAAATTAGAATTAAAAATTGTATTTCTCTTTTTCATAACTTTTACATGTACTGCTTACATAATTCTTCAGTGAATATGAAAATAAACAAGAGGCCCAAGGGCCTTAACGGTCACCTGAGTACAACAATTTAGAGGATCCATAAACTGATAAATGAAGCTTTGTTGCCCAAAAGCAAGAAAAATAGTATGACTAGCATCAACAAAATAATTGGTCTAGTATCTAATCTATCTGTCCCCCATTTATCACTATTACCATGCAAACTTTTAACAAAATATCTATTTTTAACCACATATTATTACCTCTCACATTGGCCTCACTTGGCCTTTGAAGAACATTTAAAAAGATAAGTTATTTGTGTTTCACTTTTATTCATCTATCATTTCCAAGTATACTGTCAACCAACTATTATTCGCTTCAACTTTTATTCGCGATTCGTCAGTTTAAAATCAATCCGCAACAATTAATTTTCGCGACTGAGGAAACATTATCTACAAATACAAGGAAAAATAAATAGTTCGCGGCGATTAATATTCGCGAGTTAAAGTAGGTCGCGAAAATCGCGAATATTTCTCGCACGCGAATAAAAGTTGGTTTACAGTACCTGATCTTTAAAACTATGAAAGTACTTTTTGTATTATACAATAAATGTTCTTGCATAATTCTCTTATTCTACTAACCTTTCAAATACATTATCTACAGTGATTAATTATCAAAGGTGAATGGCAAAGGGGAATAACTTCACTCCGGTCCGTAGAATACAAATTAATAGAGCCCTGGCCAGGACCAGAACACTTGACTAAATGGTCTAGATGTTCAAAATTCTGGTAAAAATACCCTTGCTTATTAAAACTTTTACTCTGTTTGCCTCCTTTATGCCCAGGACCAGAGAAGGTTTTCAAAGAAATAATGCAATTTCACTATTGATTTAACACAACCCTACCCCAACACTAGAACCCATGACCCAGGGTCATGAAATTTACATATTTGGATAAATACATTAATCATCATAACCATGCAATTAGTTGAAGATTTTCAAAGAATTCACACATCTTCACTATATTATCAATAGACCCTCCCCCCCCCACCTCCCCACCCCTAGAGAAACAACAGAACCCCTGGGACCACAAGTTTTAAAAATTTTCTAAAAGCATCCTTGCTTATCATAACTATACACTTGTTTCTTTGCTTTATAACCAGGAGTAGAAAAAATATTTTGAAAGAAATTATTAATTTTCACTATATAATCAATAGAGCCCCCCTTCACCAGAACCCCTGACCCTGGGGCCATGAATTTCACAATTTTGGAAGAGGCAGCCATGCTCATCACAACCATGCATTCCTTTGTTAAATAATACCCAGAAGCAGAGAAGAAGATTTTCAAAGAATTGATGCATTTTCACTATATAATCAATATAGCCCCGCCCTAACACCAGAACCTCTGATCCAGGGGCCATAAAATTCACAATTTCTGAAGAGGCACTCTTGCTCATCATAACTATGTACTTAGTTAGTTTATTTAATACCCAGGAGCAGAGAAAAAGATTTTCAAAGATTTAATGCATTTTCACTATATAATCAATAGAAACCTGCCCTAACACCAGAACCCCTGACCCTGGGGCCATGAAATTCACAATTTTGAAAGCGGGACTCTCTTGCTCATCATAACTATGCATTCCTTTGTTTAAATAATACCCAGAAGCAGAGAAGAAGATTTTCGAAGAATTAAATGCATTAATTTTCACTATATAATCAATAGAGCCCCGCCCTAACACCTTTAACGGAACCCCTGATCCAGGGGCCATGAAATTCACAATTTTGGAAAAGGCAGCCACGCTCATCATAACTATGTACTTAGTTAGTTTATTTAATACTCAAGAGCAGAGAAAAAGATTTTCAAAGATTTAATGCATTTTCACTATATAATCAATAGAAACCTGCCCTAACACCAGAACCCCTGACCCTGGGGCCATGAAATTCAAAATTTTGAAAGCGGCACTCTTGCTCATCATAACTATGTACTTACTTAGTTTATTTTATACCAAGGAGCAGAGAAGAAGATTTTCAAAGAATTAAGGTCAGACGATACGTTCCTCAAATATCTGTTTTCAGTTGTATATCTTCGTAAATTATGAAAAATATTCAAATTTATAATTACCTTGTGATTTCTAAACTGTTTTGTAATTGTCTTTAAAAAATCAACACACTAAAAAATTTGATATTGGCAAATCAAGATGTTTCCAGAAGGATTCTATAGGAAACACCATCCTCTGCTAGCTTGCACAAATGCATGGTAAGGTACCTCAATTTTTTGTGAGTAAACATGTTAAAGTAGCAGTGCTTCAATAAAAAATCTTGGAAAAAATTATATAATATTAAGGAACGTATCATCTGTCCTTAATGCATTTTCACTATATAATCAATAGAGCCCCGCCCTAACACCAGAACCCCTGATCCAGGGGCCATAAAATTCACAATTCTTGAAGAGGTACTCTTGCTCATCATAACTATGTACTTATAGTTACCGTACATACTCACCTATAAGTAAGTTTTTTTGGAGTTAAACTTTGGTCCAAAACTCTTTATCCGACTTATACGCAAGTTATAAAAAGATTGGTATCTTAGTTAATGTAACACAATTGTATAAATAAACTATATATTAACTTTTAATATATATACATAAATTTAAATGTTGTGTTCGTGTATTTGATTCATAAGGACATATGTGTAAAAGGCATAATAATCCTTATATGTCCTTGAGAACCATATAGGTTCTTATATATTCTTTTCCTACATATTAATAGCGATTCTCTGTAACCACTTAAACTTCTTTGCCACGCATGGTCACCGATTTTGATGAAACTTTGCCCATTATTACAACTTGACACCAGAAACAGATATTAAATAAAATTTCGTTGCTATGTGTCTTGGTTGCCATGATAACAGCCAGAAAAGTTGAAAAAATTGAGCTTTTCAGCCACTTTGAATCTTTATTACGCCTTAATAAAGACTAAGAAAAACAAACAAACCATTCTCCCAAAAACATGACACCTTGTTGCCACTTATGCTATAAAGAAACTATTTAGAATTTATCTCTTAGTAAGTGGTAACCATGGGTACATTTGGAATACATTTTAGATGCTGAAAAATGCTGAAAAACGCTCAATATTCACCAATGATAGATGTTACATGATCAAACTCAATCAACAACCTAAGAAAAACAATAAAAAAATATTTGACCTTATGTAATTAGGTATTGGCAATATTATTCTAAAAATAACTTTCATGGTTGCCATGGTAACACAGCGTAACCATGCAAAATCTGTGGCTATGATTGGGTTAATGCTACTATCTTGAGGAAAAACAATAAAATTCATGACTAACACATATGCATCCTTGGAACCTTGCAACACCGACGACATAAGAAAAATTGGGATTAAATGTTACTTTGCATTGTAACCATGGAAACAACGCATCAGTCATTTAAAGTGATATTTTTTGCTCCTTTAGGAATTTACTTACCTTTTAATCAAGAAACATATTATTTGACTCACCTTGAATACTACTTAACTGGTAGAACTAAACACACAACGAGTTGGATAAAAATCATATCCAACCACAAACCATGAGAGATTCTTTTTATCACATATTTTTGTTCAACTATCAACATGATCAAATATTTTCTAATTCAAAGTTCCCTCTCGGTTACCTCAAACCAAATAACATACGTAAATAATATTACGCTGTTAGAAATAGTTCGTAGAAAAATAAAAGAAAGAATTTTTTTATTCATGAATGAAAATTCGTTCAAAAATATGAAATAACGTTAGATTTGACAAATCAAGTCATTTACAATTATTATTGACTTTAGTCATCCGAGTCCGTGTCATAGATGACACGCGGCCTTTTCCGTGGTGTTTTGTTTGAACATTCATGGATGTTTACAATAATTTTTCCGCCGTGAACATCTCCATTCAAGAAGTTTTGAATGCCCCCTGAGACATTAACAATCATGGAACTGCCAGTGTTTGATGTAGTTGTATTCCGTACAGCTGTATTTGTGATAGAATTGTTTTGTATCCAATTGAATGTGGCGGATCCAGGGTTGTTTACAGGAGGTGCTGAGTTCGAAAGGATGCCAGAAATACTTTTGTGTTGATTTTCATTGATGCTGCTGTAATTGTTTCTGGATTGGATGTTTTTATGGCCAGTTATCTGCATGATTTGATTTGGAGGTATGTTGTTTTCGCTTAATTTTTGCACTAAATGTTTTCTAGCGCTGTGGTTGGTGAGTTTTTTGTCTCCACCAATACCTGCTGCATTGGCCATTCTTTTCATTAAAGATGACAATTTATTGACGCCGACTGGCTGTCTTTTAAACCATTGTTCTTCTATGGACATTGCGTGTTGCTGGGTATGTGTAGCTAAATAAAATGGATTATCGGGTTTTGAAAAATCATCAGGTCTTTTTTCTGAATATTTTTTGTATATAGCAACAGGACATCGATCCGGCGCGTCAGTATTTGCCCACATTTTGGGTTTGACTACTCGAACATCCTTGGGTTTACGCCTTGTCTGGTTTTTGATTGGCGTTCATTAAATGTTAAGTATTCTACGCCAGTAATATCAGTTTGCAAACAAATGTCACCCCACGACATGGATCTGTGTTCATCTGAACCCCTCAGTCCAAAATAAATCGTGTTGAATAGCCAAAGTGAGTTTAATATACTCTCAGGAGTTTGTGCCCCTAACAGACCACATTCCCACAGTTTATTTATTTCGGTGTCAGTTAATGGGTCTGCTTTTTTAGATAGATTTCCTTTACCCTCGCCTTTAAGACTTCGCTGTTTTGCCTTGAGAACTTCGCGCGCTTTAACAAATTCTATGCTTGAAACAATCTGACATCCATACTTCATTTTACGTAAATGTCTATCAAAGCTGCTCATAAAAGATCGCAATGTGTTTAGTTCATAATTTGAGCCATCAGGCTTCCGGACACTCAAAAAAAATTTACACAAAATGTTATTCAATTCAGAGGGAGGCATTGTTTCTATGGGTCTGTTTTCATTTTGAGTTTCAAGAAACGATTTTAGCAAATTCATGTCAGCAGAAGTTTTTTTCCATGTGTTTTTGTTTTCTTGATCATTGATATATTTATCAATATCATTTTTCGTCTATTAATTCAAATCGCGATCCAGACGTCGTCTGCCGCGAGACAGGATTCACTATTTTGAGATGATAACTTGGAAATGGCAATGTCAGACCTGTACCCTCAATTTCGACTTCATAAATAATTTCATCATTTTCAAATTTAGAAGATTTCACCAAACCTGAACCACCTCCATCAATATTTACAATTGAATTATTTGGAATTCTTCTTTCCATCATGCACATGGATTTGTTTATTTACATTACGTCACGCGGCGTAGGAATACATAGTATGGATATGAAAACGATATGCAATGAGCTATATCCACTGTATAAAGGGGTAAATATGTGATAAAGTTGAATATCATATATTGATAAAGTTTGTTGAAAAATACAACACTGTTGCTATGGTTACCAAGAAGGGAAAATGTTCAATTTTGTTAATTTTATATCAATATTAAACCCTATGTGCCAGCTTTTTGCATCCAGTTAGAGATTGGGTGGTAGTCAAAATTCAAAGTCAGGTTAGTTGTTTATATATATCAATCATAAAAGTTTTGGGAATCTACTTACAAGGGTGCGTATCCAAGGAAACAGAATATTTTTCAAATTTTTATGCATATTTTTTCGGCTTATTTCCATAGCAACGCTCTATTTAAAGAATTGAGTTTGAATTTTTTGAAATGTGAAAATTAGGGTCACACCAATGCCTTTAAAAATTGATCATCACTTATATAGAAATATGCTTTTTAAAAAGATAGGATAAGATTAAAACACTAAAAGAGTAAATTTAAAATCCTTTCGAGGTAGATAAACCATAGCAACCGTTGCCAACCTATAAGAAATATCATATTTCGTCCTTGGTATATGTTATAAGGATATCTTGTCTATCATTTGCTTGCATTTCAACCTATAATTGTTTTTATTCTTAAGTATATGACCTTATAAAATTAAATGAACAAAATTATTACTTTTGAATACTTCGTTTCCATAGTAACGTATGTAATAGTTGATTTACCAAACATGTTTATCATGCATTTAAGACATCAGGCCTTCAACTTTCAGAAACAGTCATTGCCACTTGTTTGCTTTGCTGCAAACGTTAACTGGGGGACTCTGAACATGTTGAAAAATGCCATTTTTCAAACGTTAGGACATGTTGCTATGGTAACCATGACACGTAGCAACCAATTTTTGCCTGATTTGAGTTTACGGTATCAAAGACTTTTATCATAGAGATTTTGGAGAAATTCTGTGACTTTGCGTGCCACAGCTCCTATATAAAAGTTCAAGTCATTACAGAGAATGGCTCTTAATTGTATGTATGAAGTAATTCAATATTCCGGCATTGATACAATTTTCATAATTGAATGATGAACTAATGAATCTGTTTGTATATTAATAATCGATAAAATCAGATTACTAGTAACCTTATTGACGGAATTTCATAATTGACCAATGTTCTTGATAAAATATACTGAATAATTTAGATTTGAAATAAGTATATATAGACTGGACAGGTGGAGAGAAGAGAGACTCTGAAATAACTAACCACTATACGAACTTTAGAACATTCTGCCTCCCCTGTGCTAGTAAAGCTAATAGTGGACTGTACTAGTGATTTGTACAAAAGACTTGTATCATATCTGTTCATTTATATGACGTTTATTGCACAACTGTGATTTAATAAATACATCTTGCACCCATACCAAAAAGGCGTTGTGTTATATTGGTCAATCCCTCTAATTTAAGCTTGAAAAATACAACCAACTTATAGGCGAGTATATACGGTAGTTTATTTAATACCCAGGAGCAGAGAAGAAGGTTTTCAAAGAATTAATGCACTTTCACTATATGATCTATATAGCCCCACCCTAGCACCAGAACCCCTGACCCTGGGGCCATGAATTTCAAAATTTTGGTAGAGGGCTCAATGCTTATTACAATCATGCCAACAGTTTGACTGCTTGATGTCCAGGAGTAAAGAAGAAGATTTTTAAAGATAGCATTAATTTTGGTAGTTTTAGCTCCACCCTAGCTGCAATAATGTAGCCCTCTCCGATTTTTTTTTTTTTTTTTTTTTTTTTTTTGGGAGAGGGCTACAACTCCTTAGGATCTCCGTAATGGTGCAAGTGCGGGAGTGATTCACTACCGCACAGATTTCGGCTCAAATTGTCAGTAAGTGGGTATTTTATTAACATATCTTACCTGAACTCATAAAATGTAGTTATGCAAGACATGAATTGATCCAAAAATATCCAGAATAATCCTTATATCGGTTATTTTTCGTGTATGTCAACATCACAACTTGAATTTATCCGCCATGTTTACTGACCTTGATCGATTTTATTTTGGGACAACCAATGAGAAATCGGGATCTAGGGGAGCGGATCGTTTAGGATTTCCCTTATTTTAAGCACAAATATCACTATTTATGAAAAAAATATCACATGGGATGCTTTTATTTATCGATGTTTAGTGATATCATACAACACAAACATTTATCAACACCCACATTTACTTTATCAAGTGCTTCTAAAATTCAAGCGGAAGTCTCTGTACATCACGCGAGAACTGTCATGGCTGCTGAAGAAAACGACTGGTAAACACGCAGATTTATTTTACTTGGTTTTCGCTTAAAAAGGGCTATGATGTTGATAGTGAATAAAAATTCCGTCTTATTGGAAGTAAGTTGAATGCAAAAACAATTTATTTTGCCTGCAGTCGCCCGTATCTAAAAAATATATTTGCACCATTACAGAGATGCAATGGAATTGTAGCCCTCTCCTGAAAATATCAGATTAAAAAAAATTGGAGAGGGCTACATTATTGCAGCTAGCTCCACCCCTCAGGCCCCAGGGGGGCAGGGACCATGAAATTCACAATATTTGTTCCCCTTCACCCATAGATGCTATATGCCAAAATTGGTAGAAATTGGTTGAGCGGTTTCAGGGTAGAAGTTGAAAATGTTCAAATGTTAACACACAACGATGGACAAAAACGGATAGCAATAGGTCACCTGACTGACTCAGGTGACCTAAAAATGTATCCTGCATCAGCATTCACAAAATTCTGTTTTGTTTCTAGTTATAAACATAAATGAACAATCTTTATAATAAAACTCAATGTATCTAAAAAAAAAAAACAAAACAAAACAAAAAAAAAACAAAGAAAAAATGAAAAATATCTGAATACATGATGTGTTAAATTGATAATATTGAATATAAACCTCTGTTTTATGATCATCAACCAACACTTTGGAATCCGCAACATCACTGAAAAGAGAAGTAAAAATCCAAGTCTCATGGCACTTAATTTACATTTTGTTTAAACTCAGTTTGCTTTTACTTTACAACCTAAAAATAGTGAATCTTGTACTAACCCTTTAGTCTTATTTTTCTCCATGGCATTTAATTTTTTGTCCTGCGTGATCACAATTTTATCAACAACTAAGCAATGTTGTTTATGCATGGCAGATTTTTCCTTCTGATGCTTCTTTTTCATTAACTGGAGTTCTTTTTGCTGTTTCTTTAACAACTTTTGAAAGACCTTATCTGACTTCACACTTTCCCTTGTAAGAGTTGGGAAACTTAAATCATCTGCAACAATTATACATGTATCATAATTTGAACAAATAAAGAGTGATAAGATGTTCTTTATAAATTATTTTGATACACTTCTCCTCTAATCATAATCTACTATACTGAAGGGAAAAAGAAACCCAGAGTAACATAATATGTGATAATTATTAAAATGAATGGCCAAAATTTATGAAAATTGGAAACATTGGTAAATGTGAACCAAATATGCTTAGCCTATATAAAATAATACAACTGTCAATGAAGTCACATTTTTCATGCAGATTCTGAACCACTGAGAAACTAAATGTTTCTGCACATGCAAGTAGACCTAATAAAATTTTTCACCTTTCTTTTCATCTTTAATCTTTGCTTGCTGGTTATTGGAATTAAGAGCCAGTTGACCATTTGTGCTTGGTTTCAACTCTGCTTTACTAACATTTTTTGGAAGCACTGGGGCATCAGAAATGGACTCACTGTCGTAACCAAACTTGTCAAACATTCTCTGTTTCTTGTCTTGAGGATTGGCCAAAATGTCAGCCAATACTGAAATCACAAGATAATTTACTTCATTTATGATCCCTGTTTAAAAAGCCAGATTTAATAGCAGAATATTTCAATTGCTACTATAAAAAAGGTCCATGGACCACAACAGTCACCTGAAACATCATGGCTCGATCTGCTGATGATTTAAAACAAGAGGCCCATGGGCCACAGCACTCACCCAAGTCACTATGGCCTTCTTGTTTTTAATCAGCCGATTTTTTTATGCCCCACCATGAATATGGTCGGGGCATATAGAAGTTGTCATGTTCATCTTCCATCCTTCCCTCTTTCCATTTAGCTCATTTTCAAAGAAACTATTCAATTTATCTTGATAAAACTTTATATACTGATACATATTTGGTGAGAGCCTTCAACTGCAACAAAACTTTTTTACCTTGATCTTTCCTTTGTCCTTGATCTCACTTTTTTAAAATTTGCATTTAGCTCAGTTTAAAAGAAGATATTTTTATGTATTTTTATGTCATTTTGACCTTCTTTTTAGTTGACAAACTCCAAGGACCCAAGATGCATCAAATGACAAAGTTGATGATTCTAAGCCTATTAGTATTTGAAATGTTTAAATATAGCAATGAAATTCCAAAAGTAGGTCATGGTGACATACTTTCTGGTTGACACTCTAAAAACTCAAGATGCATCAACTGACAAAGTGTGATGATTATAATCCTCTTATTATCAGAAATATTAAGACATAGCCTTGAAATTACACAATTAGGTTCCCATGACCTACTTTTTGACATACAAGGTTTGATTATTCTAAGCCTCTTTTATTTGATATATTTAGATAAAGCTTTGAAATTCAAAAAGTAGGTAACTATCTTTTACAATTTAGGATCCAGGATGCTTCAACTGATAAAGTTTTATGGTTCTAAGCCAATAAGTATCTGAAATATTTAGATATAGCCATGAAATTCCAAAAGTAGATCACAGTGACATACTTTTTGATTGACACACTCTGAATACCCAAGATGCATCAACTGACAAAGTTTGACAATTCTAAGTCAATTAGTGTCTGAAATATTTAATTATAGCCAAAACTTTAAAATTAGGTAACTGCTATAATGTTTCTCTGTTTCTGAATCAAATACAGTTGAACTTCGGTATCTGGAACACGGATATCTCGAATACCTTGGATATGTCGAAGTGATTGAGAAGTTCTAACCACATATTTCTTAAGTATTTTACCCTCGATATCTCAAACCCTGGGATATCTCGAAGTTTTATCTCAGTCCCATTGAGTTCAAGATAACGAGGTTTGACTGTAATATTTTCCAAAATGACAGTGGAATTTTATAATTACGAGAGTCTCCAAGTCTAAGCGATACATGTTGTTTTTTAATTTATACATGATCTATTTAAACATGAACTATTGGTGGCAATCACCATGATAAGTTTTCATTCGTTAGCATCACAATTATTGTCTCTTAAAGGTGCTTGGACACAGATTTGAAGTTAATATTTTCTCAAATTTTCTGTATAATTTCATGACTTATATGTTGCTGTAGCATTTCATACTAAAATATAATAAAAATCTTATTTCATCTCAAAGTTATTAAAACTTCGAATTTCTGGATGCGTTGGATTGACACATCTTTGCGCTTTGACATATTTTAATTTTATTCTTAATACTTAAGAAAAGTGGCAATTTTGTTGTGTATTAATGAAAAATAGTAAAACTATAACCCAGAAATTTCAGAGTAGAAATGTTCGAAAGCAAAACCCACTCACAGTCTTTTGTAAGTCCGTGCTCAGTGGTGTGTGCAGAGTTTAACAACTGAACATACCTGGTGAATCGTAAACATTAACGATAACAGAGCTCGTGCCCTGTTTACAAAAACAGTTTACGTTTCAAGGGTGTGTTCAATTTGTTAAACTCTGTACACATCACAGAGCACGGACTGACAATACTGGTGATTTGGTTTTGCTTTTAAACATTTCTACTCTGAATTTTCTGGATTATAGATGTAATATTTTTCATTAATACATAACAAAATCGCTGCTTTTCTTAAATATTAAGGATAAAGTTAAAATTTGTTTAAGTGCAAAGATGTGTTAATCAAACGCTTGCCGGAATTCGTAGTTCCAATAATTTCCAGATAAAATAAGTTTTTAATTATATTTTCATGTGAAATGCTATTGCAATATATAAGTCGTGATATTATACAGAAAATTTGACAAAATTTTAAGTTCAAATCTGTGTCTAAGCACCTTTAATTACCTGTATGGATTACCTAACACTGTGTTAACTTAGTGGCAATGCCCCAAGAAAACAAATGTGTACATGGGAAACAATTATTTTCATAAACAATAATACAGTCAAGAATTATATTTTGAATTATTTTTAAACAATGTTAAATCTTTTATCAAAAACTTTCTAGTTTGAAAGGATGACTGCACTTAAGGGCATGCGAAATTTGCGACAAAATAAACTTTCAAAACAATCATTTTTCTTTTTATTGCAAGAATGGTCAACATTCAATCTACAATTTTATGTAATCACGTTTAATAAAAGTGTGTATTTACGAAGTTCGAATCTGTTTTCAAAGGCAGGGGTCATCACAATTTCTTGAATCTCCGTTCGATAATGAGGACGCCCACTTTTTTACTGACTTTATACATAGTCAGCACATGTTTGTCTATTGTTCTACAGTTAACAGTATTTGCGTAAATAATAATGTGTCAGAAGGAGATTAATAGACAAACATGCGCTCAGGGTTAAAAAGAGAAAAAAACTGCTTCTTCCTACATTCGCTCTTTGTGTTGTAACCAAGGACTGTGACATATTGAATATTATAATTCACCACATGATAGGGGTGCAACGATACACTAACCTCATGATACGATACGTATCACGGTATTCAGTTCATGATATGATACGTATCACAATACATGAAAAGGTTAAAAAGTCTTTCAAGTTTGACATAATATTTTTTAAACTTGACAGGGTTATATCAAATGTTCATATTTTTGATAATAATTAAAATATCATTTTGTTAACTTGAACTAGATTGATAGGTAGATCTTTGAGTTGTGACAATATTCTAAACCAGTGATGAACATTTACAGGGAACTACGGGTACCTTTCCTAATAGTCTTCCTTTTAAATTGGAATGAAAAAGGAAGACATTCATTCTTTTATTCCTTTTATTTACGTAGAAAACCAGTTGTCATATTTCTTGTGTTGACACGTTTTAGTCAACAAGACAGCGAATTTTCATTGAAATACACACGTGATGAGTTATCGTGTATTACGTGTATTACCAAAAAATATATTTAGATCTAAAGGGTTTATCATTTGTCTTAACATCTATAACTAGTAATCACATAAAGTCCTTCTCCGTGTTAAATCTGAGGTCTGTAAGATGCTGGAGATGAGTTTAACTGCCGTTAATGCGTTATGCCGACTTCAGGTTTTGCACGGAAGCCATTTTGAAATTGTAAACAAGGAAACAAAACAGTATCAGTTTTGTGTATCGTGAATTGAATCGTGGAAAAATATACCGCGATATACCGTCAAACGGTTTATCGTTGCACTCTTACCACGTGATTTCTTACCTCAGGTGAGATTCCGTCACTTGACTTGTAAGGTAGCATGTTTTGTGCTAACTAGGACATTGTGTTCGAACACGTTGTGTCATCTGGCATTGATATAAAATCTGCTTTAATTATATTGATGTACTCATATTGTTAATTTTGTTTTGAAACCTTTGTCGGAAGTGTATTTGTGCCATACAGAATGGAGAGGGAGATTGGAAAGAGTGATCACGTTCTTTTTTTTTCAAACATGTCATTGTTATTTTATCAAGTCTAATTTTAGACACATTCTTACAATGTTAGCTCCACCTCTCATGCATTTCTAATGTTCAATCAAGGGCAGGTAAGTGTAAATTCACTATATTTGGAAAGCAGTAAGGACAAAGAACATTGAATTATTTTATTGTATCACAGTCTAAAATCATTTTAAGATTTAAATTTGGTTCCAAATTGACAGGATTCTTTCATAAACATACAAAAGTGAAATAAGGTTTAGATACAAAAGCAACAGAAGCAACCAAAAAAGACCCAAAAACAGGCGTTAAGTGCAGTCATCCTTTATTTATTTTGTTTACCAAATAAAGTTACGAAAATACTGTAAATTACACAATTGAAAATAAATTACACAATTGAAAATGAACGTGTTATAAAGATGTCAAATTATAATTATTTATTTTCCTGCCAGGAAAGTAATGCCTCTATTTAAATTAATGCATCACTTGACACCTACTTTTAGATCGATAAACAAAAATGGCGTCAAGAAAACGAGGTAGGCTGTTCGGTATACAAATAACTTTTGACACGGATGGCAAACTTCTAACGCTTAAAGATACTTTACTTTTAAAACAACCAGTATTAACCATGTACTTTGCAATGACAGATATTGACCTTTTATTCATAATCATAGTCAAAATGAAACGTAACTCGTCCTCTATGATTTCCCGCTGACATGCGTATCTATATACTGTTTACGCACTTCCTTCATCAATATTCATAAAAAGGCTGAATTCTTTATTGCAGATCTTGCTTAATTGTTTTGTAATTAAAACGACTTATTTAATAAAACTTTGTGAAAAGTATTATTTTTCATTACACATCACGTTTCTCAAATCAAGTAATAATTTTGTTTCACATAAAACATCAGCGTTTATATAGCGTGTACATCTTTAAAATAAAATTATAGATAAAATATGTAAATACTTGTACTTTTATGCACTATCTTAGAATACATAATTATATGATACGTCCAGACTTTTGTAAACAATAATTTTTGTGGTTTAAAGATACCATATTTTGCCGTCCAGAAAAATATCAATCTTTTAGAAGTCGGAAACAGAGTTGTGAACAAAATTTAACTGCCAAAAAAACCAACTTATAGGCGACAGTACACCCAGGGCCAATGATTTGAACAAACTTGAATCTAAACTACCTGAGGTGCTTCCATATAAAAATGACTAATCTTGGCCTTGCTGTTCTTGAGAAAAGGATTTTTTAAAAAGATATTTCCCTATATATTCCTATGTAACACTTTGATCTCCTATAGTTATCCCATCCTACTCCAAGGGGTCATTATTTAACAAACTTGAATCTACACTACCTGAAAAGACTTTGCTGTTCTTGAGAAGATTAAAAAATCATTTCCTACATATTACCATGTTAAACTTTGATCACTTTACCCTACCCTAGGTGTCATGATTTGAACACATCTGAATCTACTCTATGTAATGAGAACTTTCATCTTTTCTGGCCTCTTAAGAAGATTTTTGAAAGATGCCTTTAAATTTTTACTACTTCTTAATTATCTCCCCTTGAAAGAAGCTGTGGCCCTTCATTTGAATAAACTTGAATCCCTTTCACCCAAGGTTTGGCTTTTTGGTCAGTTTGGGTTTAATTGGTCTACTGGTTCTTGAGAAGTTCAAAATATGCAAAGTCTGCAGATAGAAAGACAGATGGACGGACAGAAACCAAGACGAGAGGCCCATGGGCCACAATGCTCACCAGAGTCAATATGGTCCTACTATTCTTAATCAGCAGATTTGTTTTCTTTATATACTCCTATGAGAAACTTTGATTATCTATTGTGGATCCACCCTACCCTCAGGGTCATGATTTCTACACTACCTGAGGATGCTTCCATATAAATAAGACTAATCACAGCTTTCCTGTTCTTGACACAAATATTTCTAAAGATTTTTCCTATACATTTGTATGTACAACTTTGATTGCCAATTGTGGCCCCACTCTCTCCCTAGGGGTCATGATTTGAACATATTTGTATCTACACTATCTGCAGATGCATCCACATAAATATGACCAATCATGGCTTTAATGTTCTTGAGAGGAAGAATTTTACAGATTTTTCCAATGGATTCCTATGTGAAACTTTGATCTCCAATTTTGGCCCCACTGTATCTCCAGGGGTGATAATTTGATTAAATTTGACTCTACACTATTCACAGCTTTGTCGTTCTTGAGAAGATTTTTAAAGATTTTTTCTATGTATTCCTACATAAATTTTTGACTGCCCATTGCGGCCCATCCTACCCCAAGAGGTTTTGATTTGTAAAAATTTGAATCTACACTACCTGAGAATGCAGAATGCATCCATATAAATATGACTTATCACAGCTTTGCTGTTCTTGAGAAGAAGTTTTAGTAAAGATTTTTTCCTATATTAAACTTTAATAGCCCATTGTGACCGCATTCTTTCCCCGAGGGTCATGTATAAAACAAAATTGAATCTACACTATGTAATGGAGCTTTCACATAAGTTTCATTATTTTCTGTCCCAGTGGTTCTTGAGAAGATTTTTCAATGACCCCACCCAATTTTCATTATTTCTTCATTATCTTCCCTTTGAAGAGGGTGTTTTCAATTCATTTGAACAAATTTGATTCCTCTTCATTCAAGGATATTCTCTGCCATGTTTGGTTGAAATTGGCCCAGTGGTTCTGGAGAAGTTAAGACGTGAAAAGTTTACAACAAAGATGATGATGACAACAACGGATGACATACAATGGAAAAAATTCGATCAGAAAAGCTCACTTGAGCTTTTGGCTAAGGTCCTACACTTACTTCCCACTTCCTCTGGTATGTATGTCTCAAGGATAATCCTACAGAATATGGTTGGTAGTGACAGTGGGAAGTTTCCCTCTGTTCGTAATGAGATGTACCTATAGCCAGACTGTAATCCATCCAGTGGGAGAATGCGCTGACCAATTAGCTTGCCAGTGTCCTCATATACTGCTATTCTAAGGACAGCTAAATCTGGTAAAACTACCTGTCACAGAAAAAGTAATTTTTGGTTTATGAAGGTGTAGATACATTGAATCATGTGGTAATTTCAGCAAATCATCTTAGATCTGAGGAGATGCATAATTTCTATATGGTAATTTGTGCATCTTAAGTTTATAAGGGTATATAGACATTTGAGCATGTGATAATTCCATGAAGTTTTCAGAATTATTTCAAGAGAAACTCATACCCTACTTAAATTAGCAAAACTGAAAAAGGTTGCACCTCTTCTTAAAAAAGAGGCCCATGGGCCACAACACTCACTTAAATCACCATTTTTCCTAATATTTGAATATGTACATGTATGAGCAGTTATCAAAATACTTTTTTTGACTGGTAAGATAGAATTAATACTATGTATGCTGTTCTTACAAAATTTATAAGGAACATTAAACAACAAAAGTTTTCTTTAAAAATTTTAGCTTATGTTGATAATTTGCTGAGACATTATATTGTTATCAGACACTGTCTTTTGAGTTTTATGACATTTGACAATATCTTTGCAATTTTAATGTCCACTTCCTCTGCCTCTATACACTTTTCTTGACATGATACCAAGGAGTAATATACTCACTGAAACTTGTTTTGTTCATATCACTTTAAATTCATTATCAGATGATTTGAAGGCAAATATTTTAAATGAAACTATGCAAATAAGAAATATTCTTGACCATCTGAATTAAATCCACTTTTTAGAGTTTAATTTCTACTGCAAATCACCAAAAAATGTGTTTCCCCGGTCTTTGAATCTTTCGTGCATTTAAAAACAGTTAATTTGGACATATTTTTCTTTCCTCTCTTTTCTCTCTCTGATTTGTTCAAACAAAGAAAATGTGTTTTTGCAAAACAAGAGGCCCATGCGCTACAATGCTCATTTTACTCACTCTGGCCCTACTGTTCTTCATCAGATTTTCCCCCTTTATAAGTGTCTATTCCTATATATCCTATTCCTATATGATTGGCCTTTTGTGGCCAAATCCTATATACAGGGGCCACAATTTGAACATGAGGCCCAAGGGCTTTAACAGTCTCCTGAGTATAATACAACACTGTAAAGGATCCACAGAAGTATAAAATAAAACAAGATGTGTTTGTGAAACACTGATGCCCCGGTATGGCAGCTTATGGTGAAGGTTAAAGTTTCTCAAATGCAAGTCAAAATCCAGCCGAAAAGATAAAAAATGTTGGTACCAAAAGAAAAGTCTTGTCTCGAGGAATATACCTGTGAAATTTGAAAGACCTAGCTACAACCATTCAAAAGTTATGACCAAGGTTAAAGTTTTTTAAAAGTAAGTAAAATGTCAAGGTCAAGGTCAAAGTGGTTGGTATCCAAAGGAAGGTCTTGTTACAAGGATTACATATGTGAAGTATGAAAGCCCTAGCTCGGACCATTCAAAAGTTATGGAAGGTTAAAGTTTTTCAAAAGTAAGTCAAAGTCCTTTGTCAAGGTCAAAGGGTCAAAGAGGTTGATATCCAAAGGAAGGTCTTGTCACAAGGAATACACATGTGAAGTTTGAAACCCCAAGCACCAACTGTTCAAAAGTTATGGCCAAGGTTAAAGTTTTTCAAAAGTAGGTCAAACTCCAAGGTCAAGGTCAAAAGGTCAAAGTTGTTGGTATGCTTAGGAAGGCCTTGTCACAAAGAATACACATGTGAAGTTTGAAATCCCAAGCACCAACTGTTCAGAAGTTATGGCCAAGGTTAAAGTTTCATAAAATTTTGCAAAAGTGGGTCAAACTCCAAGGTCAAGGTCAAAAGGTCAAATACGATGGTACCCAAAGAAAGGTCTTGTCACAAGGAATACACATGTGAAATATGAAAGTCATAGCTCCAACTAATCAGAAGTTATGGGCAAGGTAAAAGTTGACAACAGACAGACAGGACAAAAACAATATACCCCCAGGATCTTTCGATCCAGGGGCATAATAAACAAGAGCCTAGGAAGAGGCACATTTGCTTATCAAAACTATTCACTTTGTTGAAGATTTTCAAAGAATTAATGTTTCATTTTACTATATAATCAATAGAGCCCCATCCTAACACTCCCTAAACCAGGGTCCATGAAATTCACAATTTTTGGAAGAGGAACCCTTGCTCATTATAACTATATTCTCAGTTTCTTTACTTAATACCCAAGAGCAGATTATCAAAGAAATAATGCATTTTCAATATATTTAATAGAGCCCCCACCCCACAGGAACCAATGCCCCTAGGGCCACAAATTTTATAATTTTAAAGAGGCACCCTTGCTCATCATAACTATGCACTTGGTTTATCTGCTGGATACCCAGGAGAAGAGAAGAAGACTTTCAAAGAATTGATGCATTTTTACTATAACAATTGAGCCCCAACCTAACATCAGAACCTCTGACCCAAGGGCCAGGGAATTCGAAATTTTGGAAGAAGCACCCTTACTCTTCAAAACTATGCATTTAGTTTGTTTACTCAATACCCATGAACAGAGAAGATTTTCAAAGAATTAATGCATTTTCACTATATAATCAATAGAGTCCCACCCTAACACCAGAAATCATGACCCAGGGGCCGTGAAATTCACAATTTTGGAAGAAACACCCTTGCTCATCCTATCTATGTAATTAGTTTGTTTCCTGAATACCAAGGTGCAGAGGAGAAGATTTTTTCAGGAATAATGCATTTCACTATATATTCAACATAGCCCCACCCTAGCACCAGAACCCCTGACCCCAGGTATAAGAATTTCACAATTTTGGCAGAGGGCTCAATGCTTATTACAATCATGCCAACAGTTTGACTGCTTGATGTTAAAGAGTTCAGAAGAAAATTTTTAAAGACTGCATTAATTTTGATGGTTTTAGCCCCACCCCTAAGATCCCAGGGGAGGGGCAGGGCCATGAATTTCACAATTATTTTGTTCCCCTTCACCCACAGATGCTAAATGCCAAAATTGGTTCACTGGTTCCAGAGAAGAAGCTGAAAACATTTTCAAAAATCTCCACATTTTTAGCTCTACTGGTCAGAGACCAAGAGAGCTTGTGCAATAGTAAGGTGTCCATCATCTGTCTGTCTGTTTGTCTGTTAACAATTTTTTAAATGCTTCTCCTCATACAGTTTAGCTCTGTATTCAATAACTTGGCACACAAGTAGACTACACTAAGATACATAATTCTTGATTTCGATGAATGGTGTTGCCATGGTTACTTAAACAAGAGGCCCATGGGCCAAAACACTCACCTGAGTAACTTTAACCTGCTGTTCGTCACCAGATTCCCCCTTGTAATACTTATTGTTTCCCCATCCTACTCCCGGGGGTCATGATTTGAACAATTTAGAATCTACACTACCTAAGGAAGCTTCCACGAAAGTTTCAGCTTTTCTGGCCATGTGGTTCTTGAGATGATTTTTAAAGATTTGTCCAATATATTTCAACGTAAAAATTTGATTCCCTAAAGAAGCCCAACCCTACCCCGGGGGATCATGATTTGAACAATTTTGAATCTACACTACCTCAGGATGCTTCCATATAAGTTTCAGCTTTTCTGGACCAGTTTTTCTTAAGAAGATTTCAAAAAGATTTTTCCTACATATCTCAATGTTAAACTTTGATTCCTAATTGTGACCCCACCCTACCCCCAGGGGTCATGATTAGAACAATTCAGAATCTACACTACCCAAGGATGCCTTAACATTACTTTCAGCTTTTCTGGCCCAGTGGTTCTTGAGAAGAAGATTTTTAAAGAAAGTCCAGATATATATTTCAATGTAAAAATTTGATTCCCTAATGTGGCCCCACCCTACACCCAGGGGTCATGATTTGAACAATTTAGAATCTACACTACCCAAGGATACTTTCACATAAGTTTCAGCTTTTCTAGCCAAGTAGTTCTTGAGAAGAAGATTTTTAAAGATTTTTCCTATATAACTCAATGTAAAAATTTGATTCCCTAAAGAAGCCCAACCCTACCCATGTGGACCATGATTTGAACAATTTAGAATCTACACTACTTCAGGATGCTTCCATATAAGTTTAGCTTTTCTGGCCCAGTGGTTCTTGAGAAGAAGATTCTAAAAGATTTTTCCTATATATTTCAATGTTAATCTTTGATTTCCCTACGTGGCCCAACCCTATCCCTGGGGATTATAATTTGAACAATTTAGAATCTACACTACCTCAGGATGCTTCCATATAAGTTTCAGCTTTTCTGGCCCAGTGGTTCTTGAGAAGATTTTTAAAGAAAGTCCTATATATTTCAATGTAAAACTTTGATTCCCAATTATGGCCCCACCCTACCCCGGGACAATGATTTGTACAATTTAGAATCTACACTACCCAAGGATGCTTTCACATAAGTTTCAGCTTTTCTAGCCAAGTAGTTCTTGAGAAGAAGATTTTTAAAGATTTTTCCTATATATCTCAATGTAAAAATTTGATTCCCTAAAGAAGCCCAACCCTACCCATGTGGACCATGATTTGAACAATTTAGAATCTACACTACTACTTCAGGATGCTTCCATATAAGTTTAGCTTTTCTGGCCAAGTGGTTCTTGAGAAGAAGATTTTAAAAGATTTTTCTTAATATATATTTCAATGTTAATCTTTGATTTTCTTATCTGGCCCAACCTTATCCCCTGGGAACATGATTTGAAAAATTTAGAATCTCCACTACCTCAGGATGCTTCCATATAAGTTTCAGCTTTTCTGGACCAGTTTTTCTTGAGAAGAAGATTTCAAAAAGATTTTTCCTACATATTTCAATGTTAAACTTTGATTCCTAATTGTGACCCCACCCTACCCCCAGGGGTCATGATTAGAACAATTCAGAATCTACACTACCCAAGGATGCCTTAACATTACTTTCAGCTTTTCTGGCCAAGTGGTTCTTGTGAAGAAGATTTTTTAAATAGATTTTTTACTATATATTTCAATGTAAAATTTTGATTCCCTAATGTGGCCCCACCCTACACCCAGGGGTCATGATTTGAACAATTTAGAATCTAAACTACCTCAGGAAGCTTCCACATAAGTTTCAGTTTTTCTGGCCCAGTGGTTCTTGAGAAGAAGATTTTTAAAGATTTGTCCTATATATTTCAATGTAAAACTTTGATTCCCTATCCTCCCTATACCCCTGGGGGTCATGATTTGAACAAATTAGAATCTACACTACCCAAGGATGTTTCCATATAAGTTTCAGTTTTTCAGGCCCAAGGATTCTTGAGAAGAAGTTTTTTTAATGATCCCATCCCATTTTTCGTTTTTTTATGATTATCTCCCCTTGTAAAGGGACTTGGCTCTTCTTTAAAAAAAAAAAAAACTAGATATCATTGAGATGGTCTCCATCTCAAAGGGCCCCGCTTTCAGCAACGAACATGAAAATGTAAGGTAGCTGAAAAGGGTTTATTTAGAAGAGGAACATTTGTGTACTATTAAGGGATATGTCGTTTGAGTCTAAAGGGCTTCTATGTCATCCTTTTTATAATAAAAAATGGCACGAAAATCACGAGTGCTCCATACCCTCTATCAAAAAAACGGCACAAAAATTACGAATATTGCATATCCTCTATGAAAATTGTTGCATATCCTCTATCAAAATATGGAAGGAAAATCACAAATGTTTCGTACCCTAAGCCAATTGGTCAAGTTTGAGGCTGACTGGACTTAAGGGAAAGAAATTATGCACCAAACAAAAATTTTGAACAGAGAGGCTATTTTTGACCTTGACCCTTGACCTAGAAACATTGTTCAAGGTCACTGCACATCCACTGACCAGTGGCACTCTGTGAGTGAAGTATGAGCCACATTGGACCAAGAGGAGAGGAGACATGCTCCAAACAAGGATTTTTCATATAATTCTGCTATGACCTTAACCTTAGACCTAGAAACATGGTTCAAGGTCACTGCACACCGTATACCCAAAGGCACTCTGTGGGTGAGGTATGAGACAGATTGGGCCAAGGAGAGAGAAAATATGCTCCGGACACTGCACATTCATTGACCAGTGGCACTCTATGAGTGAAGTATGAGCCACATTGGACCAAGAGGAGAGAAGATATGCTCCGGACAAGGATTTTGCATATAGTTCTACTATGACCTTAACCTTTGACCTAGAAACATGGTTCAAAGTCACTGCACACCCTTTACCCATAGACACTCTGTGGGTGAAGTATGAGCCAGATTGGGCCAAGGAGAGAGGAGATATGCTCCGGACAACTGAGATCTCGGACGGACAGACGGACGGAAGGACGGACGGACTGATCACTATAGGGCACCCGCAGAGCGGGGCCCTAATTAATCTCCCCTTCACCCAATAATGCTTTGTACCAACTTTATTTAAAATTGGCCCAGTGGTTCTTGAGAAGAAGTTGAAAATGTGAAAAGTTTACAGTCGGACAGACGACGGATAACAGGTGATCAGAAAAACTCACTTGAGCTTTCAGCTCAGGTGAGCTTAAAAGATATTTCTGTGAAATATTTTCAAAACACTACTCCGCCTCCAATTTTTGTCTGATTTCAAAATTACTTGGCACGCAAGTAAACTACACTATGATAAATAATTCTTTACATCTGTTTTTGATTTCAAGACTAAACCAAGGATCATTATTCTAATTCATTGCTATTGTATAGTTTCAAGTCCAAGTGCTACTTTTCTCTTCCTTTGTTAGAAGTACAAACCAGTAGAGCAACAGTCTCATCATAGACTTCTGGTTTTTAATCACTCTCTGTAGTATTTATGATCTAAGAAAACTGACAAAATGAGGTGAAAAATTTAAAGGCTGACTGCACTTTATCCTCACAACATCAGAGGTCCTGAGTTCACTCATCAAAGTGGGACCCCTGACAAACTTTATTTAATATTTTACAGGCTGGCTGCAGTGGTGTTTTTCAGGGAAATTAAAAATCTTTATTTTTGTTCTTATTTCTCAACCAATTACAATAAGCATTTTGGTGACAACCTGTAACACATGCATTGTGGTGTCAACTGCTTACATTTTAAGTCAACTTGTGAAAGCTCCAACCTGATTGGTGCTTCTCTATGAGAGAAGAAAGCCTGTAACATATAGAATGAAGTCCAGGTGTCCAATGTCCAGGAGTGGAGTAAAACTAGGGCTGTGTATCATCGGGGAAAAAAGTATTATATTTCAGAAAAATATTATAATATCTTCAGTATTATTCAATTACAATGCTTCTATTAATCAAATCAACAGCATTGTTTCTTCCTTTCTTGAATGTATTCTTAACTTGACAATCTAATCAGATAGCATATTGTCAGTTCATTTGAGATCCACCCGTAGCACCGAAGTGTACTACAGTCAACTTTTTATTTCACTTAATTTTAAGTTGCAAGTTTAAAATAATTTTTTAAAAATTTTGTTTAATACAGATCAATTCAAACATTTTATTGAATAGGTTATGGACTTTTTAGTTTAGCGAAGGAAATTAATTACCTAAATAACTGAGTGCTGAGGTGAAAAGGAACTATTTCAGCAAAAGCTTGATGCCATACAAAAATGACATTCAGCAATCTTGTAGGGATTATTTGATTTCATTAAAAAAAATTGTATATAATTTTATGATTTACTCATGATTTGGTATCCATACCTTTCTAAACACAAATTTTTCTTCATTATACACAGGATTGAGTCCATTTGCTGGCACCACTTTAGTTCGCATCTCTTTCCTGATTGTGTCAGTGGCCAGTCCATACATGTCTACTTCTACATAGGTCCCAACTTTCTTGTCAGACAGAAACTGCCCAGATATAATCTAAAACACAATTTTATGCATTAATACCAAATTGGTTTGAAGGAAATTGCAAAAAGAAAAATAGGCCTTGATGGTCACCTAAATATCAAGAATTTATTCTTCACTTGATCAACTTCATTCCCAATTGGAACTCTGAATTTTACAATTCCTTATGGACTTTATGTTCACTAGACAACATAATGGTATTTATGCATGTGGACTCAACGCCACCCCAAACAATCAGCCCAGACAGATCGGCCCAAGATTTAAGACAAGTCAGCAAATATGTATAAGATGTGTTGGCTTATATAAAACCTGTAGAATGTGTACACAATGTGAGAATGTATCAAGATTTAAGATGGGTCAACCCATGGTTCACTAGTAGAATTTAAACAAGAGAACTATAACTTAAGGACAGATGATACAAACAAACCTTTATCAAAAATCTTGAAAATAACAACTCATGTCATGTTTATATAAGTAAAATGAATAAGTTTAATTGCATAGATTTTAATTTTCCATTCAAAGTTTCACAATAATGGGATTTAAAGTGAAAAAAAAAGTTTTAAGATTTACGAGGAAGATTGCAGAAAGGTGAAGTTTGAACACTATTGTGAGTTTACAATTTCTGAATATTTCAGAAATGTATTATTTGCATTATTTACAACCAAAATATATAGGTCCAAAAATATATACAAATTAATCTATGCATCCATTTTTTTTGGTTTGTATCATCTGTCCTTAAGCATCAATATGTAAACATTTCAAATACCAAAGGTTCTGCATAAACTCTTTCAGTTAACTGACATTGCACATTGAAGTTCTCACTGGACCTGATAAGAAACAAGGAACTTGACAATACAAAGAAAGTTGCATGTACAAGCCAAATAAATGTGCACAATCTGCATGGTCAGTCTTCATGCTAAAGTGTATAATCTTATGTGGAACTTATGAATAAAAAAATATTTTTTTGAAAACTACAACATTCCTGACTGATTTGGCCCAGTGGTTCATTCCTCTACAGATACAGCAACTGATGTTTCTTGATTAACATGGCCTTCCTGTTCTACAGAAGAAGTAAACATGATCTAGGTAAAAATTGCTCCCTGATTTATGCTTAACCCCAGGATTTATATTACATGTGAAAAAATTTTTTGTTATTGCTAAGTTAATGTTTCTGGATTTTTGTCTTAATCTTGAAAATATTTTGTAATGGTGAAAATTGCTATTTTTTTGTCTGATATATAGCATTTTCAAACAAAAAACTAGAATTTTTAATGTTCCTGCATAGTTACATGTCTGAAGACAGAGTAAGAGTTTAATTTGTGTACATAATAGATTAAGGCAAGTGATTAATAAGATTGAATAAATTCTGTGCAAGTCTATGAAAGGAGGATGCTCTCAAACTGAATCTTAGTGGGGGGGTGGTATGATCTGTTGCTTCTTTTGAAATGATATATAAAGATAACGAACAGCAATCAAGCTCAAAGTCCACTGAAACAATACAAATTGTGAGCAGAGCAAACATCAGAGGTGGAATCAGGTGCCATGGAGGAGTAAGAGTGCCCCTGCTTTTCTTGAAAAGGTTTCTTCTATCTTATTCCATAGTAAAACTCTGATCCTCTATTGCAGCCTTACCCTATCCTGTCCCCAACCTGGCAGTCATGATTCAAATAAACAGCTAGTTGCCAAATGCAAAGGAGTGAGGCTATTCCTATCAGTTGTCTTTTGTGGATGAAATACATGACATATTCAAACCACATAGTGTATACAAGCAGTAATGAGGTTTCTACATGAAAACTAAGTTTCATAGGTGTGAGAAATATAAAATGTGTGACATACAGGTCTTGTCCATGTAATGGACACTGTGTAAGATTAATCAGTAATAAACACTTGTTGTCTGTAAAAGGTCCTGTTTATGTAAAACAAAAATGTGTTTTATAAATATGCCATCATGGTATTTAAACAAATTGATTAACAAGAGGCCCATGGGCCACAGCGCTCACCTGAGTAACTTTGGCCTTCCTGTTTTTCACCTGATTTCTCTCTCTCTCTCTCCCCCCCCCCATAGTACTTATTGTGGCCCCACCCTACCCCCGGGGATCATGATTTGAACAATTGGAATCTACACTACCCCAGGATGCTTCCAAGTAAGTTTCAGCTTATCTGGCCCAGTGGTTCTTGAGAAGAAGATTTTTAAAGATTTTTCCTATATATTTCAATGTAAAACTTGGATTCCCTATTGTGGCCCCGCCCTACCCCCGGGGGTCATGATTTGAACAATTGGAATCTACACTACCCCAGGATGCTTCCAAGTAAGTTTCAGCTTATCTGGCCCAGTGGTTCTTGAGAAGAAGATTTTTAAAGATTTTTCCTATATATTTCAATGTAAAACTTGGATTCCCTATTGTGGCCCCGCCCTACCCCCGGGGGTTATGATTTGAACAATTGGAATCTACACTACCCCAGGATGCTTCCAAGTAAGTTTCAGCTTATCTGGCCCAGTGGTTCTTGAGAAGAAGATTTTTAAAGATTTTTCCTATATATTTCAATGTAAAACTTGGATTCCCTATTGTGGCCCCACCCTACCCCCGGGGGTCATGATTTGAACAATTTAAAATCTACACTACCCCAGCATGCTTCCACATAAGTTTCAGCTTTTCTGGCCAAGTGGTTCTTGAGAAGAAGATTTTTAAAGATTTTTCCTATATATTTCAATGTAAAACTTGGATTCCCTATTGTGGCCCCACCCTACCCCCGGGGGTCATGATTTGAACAATTTAGAATCTACACTACCCCAGGATGCTTCCACATAAGTTTCAGCTTTTCTGGCCCAGTGGTTCTTGAGAAGAAGATTTTTAAAGATTTTTCCTATATATTTCAATGTAAAACTTGGATTCCCTATTGTGGCCCCACCCTACACCCGGGGGTCATGATTTGAACAATTTAGAATCTACACTACCCCAGCATGCTTCCACATAAGTTTCAGCTTTTCTGGCCAAGTGGTTCTTGAGAAGAAGATTTTTAAAGATTTTTCCTATATATTTCAATGTAAAACTTGGATTCCCTATTGTGGCCCCACCCTACCCCCGGGGGTCATGATTTGAACAATTTAGAATCTACACTACCCCAGCATGCTTCCACATAAGTTTCAGCTTTTCTGGCCAAGTGGTTCTTGAGAAGAAGATTTTTAAAGATTTTTCCTATATATTTCAATTAAAACTTGGATTCCCTATTGTGGCCCCGCCCTACCCCCGGGGGTCATGATTTGAACAATTTAGAATCTACACTACCCCAGCATGCTTCCACATAAGTTTCAGCTTTTCAGGTCCAGTGGTTCTTGAGAAGAAGAATTTTAAAAGATTTTTCTTATTAATTTCAATGTACAACTTGCACTCCCTATTATGGCCCCGCCCTACCCCCGGGGGTCATGATTTGAACAAGAGGCCCATGGGCCTTGAATCGCTCTTCTGATAAACTGTACAACCTATCACTTCTATTTGAAGCCTGGAAGTATCCTGTATATTTAGATAAACCCTTGAAATTCCAATTCACACTCTGAGAACCCAAGATGATTCTAAGCCAATTAGTACCTGAGAGTTGGTCATGGTGACCTACTTATCGCTTGTCATTCTCTGAGGACCCATCAACTAAGTTTGATGATTCTAAGCCAATTAATACCTAAAATATTTTTTAAAATCATAACCATAAAATTTTATAAGTAGGTCAAAGTGACCTACTTTTCAATTGTTTTACTCCAAGGACCCAAGATGCATCAACTGACAAAGTTTGATGATTCTAAGCCAATTAGTACCTGTAATATTTAATTAAAGCCATAAATTTTCAAAAGTAGGTCACCGTGACCTACTTTTCAGTTGGTGTACTCCGAGGACCAAAGATACATCGACTGACAAAGTCTGATGATTCTAGCCAATAAGTACCCAAAATATTTAATTACAGCCATAAATTTTCAAAAGTAGGTCACGGTAACCTGCTTTTCAGTCAACCTACTCCGAGGACCAAAGATGCATCAACTGACAAATTTTGACGATTCTAAGCCAAATAATTCCTGAAAATATTAAATACAGCCATAAAATTTCAATAGTAGGTCACCTTGACCTACTTTTCAGTTGTTGTACTCCGAGGACCCAAGACGCATCAACTGACAAAGTTTAATGATTCTAAGCCAATTAGTACCCGAAATATTTGATTAAAGCCATAAATTTTCAAAAGTAGGTCACCATGACCTACTTTTAAGTTGTTGTACTCCGAGGACCCATGACGCATAAACTGACAAAGTTTTATGATTCTAAGCCAATTAGTACCCGAAATATTTTATTAAAGCCATAAATTTTCCGAAAGTAGGTCACAGTGACCTACTTTTTAGTCGACCTACTCCGAAGACCCATGACGCATCAACTGACAAAGTTTGATGATTCTAAGCCAATTAGTACCCGAAATATTTAATTAAAGCCATAAATTTTCCGAAAGTAGGTCACGATGACCTACTTTTTAGTCGACCTACTCCGAAGACCCATGATGCATCAACTGACAAAGTTTGATGATTCTAAGCCAATTAGTACCCGAAATATTTAATTAAAGCCATAAATTTTCAAAAGTAGGTCACGGTGACCTACTTTTTAGTCGACCTACTCTGAAGACCCAAGATGCATCAACTGACAAAGTTTGATGATTCTAAGCCAATTAGTACCCTAAATATTTAATTAACGCCATAAATTTTCAAAAGTAGGTCACGGTGACCTACTTTTTAGTCGACCTACTCCGAAGACCCAAGATGCATCAACTGACAAAGTTTGATGATTCTAAGCCAATTAGTACCTGAAATATTTAATTATAGTCATATAAATTGAAAAGTAGGTCACGGTGACCTACTTTTCAGTTGACCTTTTTTGAGGACCCAAGATGCATCAACTTACAAAGTTTTATGATCATAGGACTTAAAATGTCCAAATTATGCCTCTAAAAAGCTTTGAAATCGAATGCTTGCAAAGTTCAAAAAGTAGGTCACTGTGACCTACTTTTTAATAAATATGTTTTATGGCCCCAAGATGCATCATCTTACAAGATTTAATGATTCTAAGCCTCCCCGTATTCAAATTAATGACCTTAATTGTTTTAAAAAAGATTAGCCATAAAATTCATAAAGTAGGTCAAGGTGACCTACTTTTTAGTTGACGTACTTTGAGGACCCAAGATGCATCAACTGACAAAGTTTGATGATCATAGGCCTTAAATTGTTCAAAATATGCCTCTAAATCATTTTGAAAAAGAATGGCCGCAAAATTTAAAATGTAAGTCACCGTGACCTACTTTTAAGTCAACATGATATGAGGTCCTTAGATGCACCAACTGACAAGATTTGATGATCCTAGTCCTTATAGTAAGCAAAATATCAACATTTTAATAAAATGTCATTTTTGGTCAACTTTGAAGTGACCTTGAGACCACACCCTTTGCCCCAGGGTAAATCCCCGTGCAAATTTTAATCTACAACATATCCTCATCCTTTTGTGTAAGTTTGGTGATAATCTGCCCAGTGGTTCTTGAGAAGAAGATTTTTTAGCAACCAGTACTTTTGTTTCTATTTTCCTAATTATCTCCCCTTGTTAAAGGGTCACAACCCCAGTTTTAGTATAAAAGGGAGCCCTTGGGCCAAGGATACCCTGTGACAAATTTGACAATAATTGGCCAAGGGGTTCTTGAGTTATGGCCCATATTCTAAAAAGTTTACGCACACCGCACAAATGGCCATAGCATTAGCTCTTTGAGCCTTTGGCTCAGAAGAGCTAAAAAGCTCTTTTGAGCATTCAGCTCAGATGACCCTAATTGTGATGATTTTGAGCTGTTACCTGTACTGAACACTGTGCTGGAATGATACCATCCACTGTGCTTTCCAGGAATGGATCAAAGTTTCTGTCAGGTCTCCTCATGAAATCTGGCTTCAGTAAATATCTGTAGAAATAAAAATCCTTACATAGAATCTCAGTACTACAAAACATACCTAGAATGAAAAATTGTCAGGAACTTAAAATATTGTTAGCACTGAATTGGGGGTACTATAACAAAATTTAATTATTTTAAGCCTCTTTTTATCCTCAATATTGAAATAAAATTGTGAAATTTCAAAATAGGTCATAGTGACCTACATTTTGGTTGAAACACTCCAAGAACCCAGGACGCAACATGATTCTAAGCCTCGACTTACTTAGACAAAGCCATAAAATTTCAAAAGTAGGTTATTGTGACCTGCTTTTTAGTTGACATACTTTGATAATCCAAGATGCATCAACTGACAAGGATGAATGTTCCTAGGCTTCACAGTGTCCAAAATACTGTATACATGGTTATTTTCACCCCGTGTTATTTTGGCCCTATCAAACTTGCAAGCAATTTTGCCCCATTTTATATTCACCCAGTCACAGTTCTGTTTAAGAAATTATACTGTGTTCTTTGAATTCCCCCTGTTTTAAGTTCGCCCACCTGCGAGTAAGGTGAAAGGGGCAAAATAAAACAGAGGTGAAAATTGTCTCCCCCTGCTTGAGGGCCACAACCCTATTTTTAGTATAAATTAAAACCTTCGAGCCAACAATACTCTGTGACAAATTTGTAAAAAAAAAAATTGGCCAAGGGGTTATTGAGATATGGCCCATATTCCTAAAAGTTACACACACCTCACAAATGGCCACAGCATTAGCTCCTTGGGCCTTTGGCTCAGAAGAGCCAACAAGAGGTCCATGGACCACAATGCTCATCTGAGTCAATATGGTGCTGCCACTTGATCATCAGATTTTTCTCTCCTATATATTCCTTTGTAAAAGTTTTATCTTCTCTTGTGGCCCTGCCCTAGTCCTGGGGGGGGGGGGGGGGGGGGTCATCATTTGAAAAAAGGCCCATGGGCCACATCGCTCACCTGAGCACATTGGCTAGGCAAAAGCACAAATCAGTACAAATCAGTTCAGTTGAAAAGATTATTGGAGGGGGAGGAGGGGCTTGAATTTTAAACTACCTGATGATGCTTCCATGTTAATATAACAAATGACTTTGTTGTACTTGAGAAGATTTTTAAAAAAAATTTCCCATATATTCCTTTGTAAAAATTTGATCCCCCATTGTGGCTCCTCCCTATCCCAGGGGTCATCATTTGAATAAACTTGAATCTACACTACCTGAGGATCCTTCCATATCAATATAACTAAACATAGCTTTTCTGTTCTTGAGAAGAAATTTTTTTCTATATGTTTTTATGTAAAACTTTCGATCCCCCATTGTGGCCCCACCCTACCCCTGGTGGTCATCATTTGCACAAAATTGAATCTACACTACCTGAGGATGCTTCCATATCAAAATGACTAAACATGATTTTCTGTTCTTAAGAAGATATTTTCCTATATGTTCCTATGTAAAATTTTGGATACCCCATTGTGGCCTTATCCTTTCCCCGGGGTTCATCATTTTACCTTGAATCTACACTACCTGAGGATGCTTCCATATCAAAATGACTTATCATGGCTTTGCAGTTCTTCAGAAGAAGATATTTTCCTATATATTTCTATTTCAGACTTTGATCCTCCATTGTGGCCCCACCCTACCCCGGGGGTCATGATTTGAACAAAATAGAATCTACACTACCTGAGGATGCTTCCACATAAATATGACCAATCAGGGCTTTGCTGTTCCTGAGAAGAAGATTCTTAAAATAAATTTTTCCATTATATATCTATGTAAAACTTTGATCCTCCATTGTGGCCCCGCCCTACCCCCGGGGGTCAAGATTTGAACAAATTTGAATCTACACTACCTGAGGATGCTTTAATATAAATATGACCAATCAGGGCTTTGCTGTTCTTGAGAAGAAGATTTTTAAAGATTTTTCCTATATATTTCTATGTAAAACCTTGATCCTCCATTGTGGCCCCGCCCTACCCCAGGGGGTCATGATTTGAACAAATTAGAATCTACACTACCTGAGGATGCTTCCACATGAGTTTCATCTTTCCTGGCCCTGTGGTTCTTGAGAAGAAGATTTTTAAAAGATGCTAATAATTTTTCACTAATTCTATATTATCTCCCCTTGAAAGAGCATGGCCATTCATTTGAAAAATTTTGAATCCCCTTCACCCAAGAATACTTTGTGGCAAGTTTGGTTGAAATTGGCCCAGTGGTTCTTGAGAAGAAGTCGAAAATGTTAAAAGTTTACAGACAGACAGACGGACGCAGCACAAAAAGTGATCAGAAAAGCTCACTTGAGCCTTCGGCTCAGGTGAGCTAAAAATTGATTGCCCAAGGTGGCCCACCCTGCCCCTGGGGATCATGATTTGAACAAACTTGAATCTACACTACCTGAGGATACTTCCAAATTAATATTACTTGTCATGAGCTGTTCTTTAAATTTTTTTCCTCTATATTCCTTCGAAAACTTTGATTGCCTATTGTGGCCCACTTTACCCCCAGGGGGTCATGATTTGAATAATACCTGAAGATGCTTCTATATAAACATGACTAAACATGGCTTTCAGGTTCTTGAGAAAAAGATTTTGAAGATTTTTTCATATAAATTCCGATGTAAAACTTTGATCCCCCATTGTTGCTTGACCCTATCCCTGGGGGTCATAATTTGAGCAAAATTGAATCTACACTACCTGAGGATGATTCAAATCAAATTAATATAACAAACCATAGCTTTGCTGTTTTTGAAAAAAGATTTTTGAAGATTTTTTTCCTATATATTTCTATGTAAAACTTTGACAGTCTATTGTGGCCACACTCTACCCCTGGGGGTTGCTTCTATATAAATATAACTTAATATGCCTATATATTTCTATGTAAAACTTTGACAGTCTATTGTGGCCACACTCTACCCCTGTGGTTGCTTCTATATAAATATAATTTAATATGGCTACTCTGTTATTGAGAAGAAATTTGTTCCAAATATATTCATAATGTAAAACTTTTATCACCTATAAAATCCCCATCCTACTCCCAAGGGTTTACTGATTTTTTCCTCTGTATTTCTTCGAGAAATTCGATTGCCTATTGCAGCCCCATCCTACCCCCGAGGTCATGATTTGAACAAACTTGAATCTACACTATGTAATGAAGCTTACATATGAGTTTCATCTCTTCTGGCCCAGTGATTCTAGAGAGGAATTTTTATTTAAAACCATTAAATTTTCTCCAATTCTTTTTTGATCCCCCTTGAAAGAGGACATGATCCTTCATTTGAACAAACTGGAATCCCCTTTACCCTAGGATTTTTTGTGGCAAGTTAGGTTGAAATTAGACCAGTAATTCTTAAGGAGTTTAAAATGTGATAAGTTTATACAGGGACAAAATATGATCAGAAAAGCTCACTTGAGCTTTCAGCTCTGATGATCGAGCTAAAAACATTAGACTTATTGATGGACAGAATGACAGATAAATAAATTAATCCACCTATAAATGAAATGACACTGAAACACAGTCTTTAAATTTCCGACACTCACCCACAGTTTCCATTGTACTCAAACTTTCCCTGATTAAGTTGCATGGCTAGATCTGAAGTTTGGAAGTTAAGTGCTACCATCTGACATCCAGCATTCCAGAATAACTTAAATCAGAATAAAAAATAAAGAACCGTATTTCTCATTGAACAATACTGCTAATATAATTTACCTAAGATGTAAGATTCAATATAATTATGATTATATAACAGAAATTCCTTAGTCTAAATAGCATGAAAACTTAACCTTCAAATAAAGTTCAAGAATCCATATTACCTGTGGCATGTAATTACTGGAATCTACTCGACCTCCCCTTGGATAGATTCGACTCATTTGGCGTTTATTGTAGCTGAACAAGATTAAGGATTTTTTGTCCAAAGAAATATATTTTTTTAAAATCCTAGAATTTCTGTATCAAGATACACTTTAATTACTTTTGCCATGCAGTTGCTTATTTTGAACTAATAAGCAATACAGCTAATGCTTTGGATAGAAATGTGGTACAAAGTGTCTAATCTGATATTAGTTACATGTGTACAACATCACATTCCTAAATGTTTTTGCATAAAGAATCATGCAATACAACTTTGTGCCATTTCTTTTAAAATTCATTATCATATCTCTGTTGATAAAACTCCAATTTAATTGGCTTGGAGGAAATAATGAAATTTGGTAAAGACCTCTTAGACAATTATCACAACATTCCTCAAGCAGAATCAAAGCACCTCCACCTGACCCATGAGATGACCTGACCTTAGATACTATGTTCTATCATTAAAATATCGTAATGTCCTATAGATCCAGTCTAATGTTAAAATGCATTCTGTACGTTGACAATCTAGCAAAATAAACAGGGGCAGATAATTCTGAGTTTCAGTTATACATGTACTTTAAACAATACTTGATATTGCAATTACTTTAACAAACTCTTTTACAGTGAAGGTAGGAAACGTCCGTTGGATGAGGGTTTTGAGCTGTTAAATACAATGCAAAGAAGTCCTGGTGAAATATCTTGCTGAACATTCACTGAACCACACTAATAAACTTGAGAAGAGCTAGTCCTCATGTGTTATATTTTTGATGATACTTTTCACTTAAGTCCCTTCTAATTAACTACAGTTGAATTTGGGTATCTTGAACACTGATAGCTTGAATACCATGGATATGTCAAAGTAATCTGGAAGTCCCAACCCCCTTTTATTAAGTATTTTACCCTGGATATCTTGAATCCTCGAATATCTTGAAGTTTTTTCTCGGTCCCACTGAGTTCAAGATAACAAGGTTTGACTGTACTTTTCACTTAAGCCAACTCTTCTAATTAAAATCAACCATTTCTTTCTAAAAATTGTTACTTTCCGAAGCTGATTAAATACTCTAAACATTCCCAATTAGACAACATACTATTTGGAGTTCAACCCTCAGCAATACATTGTAATTTTGGCATAATGATTGTTCGAATCAATTGTCACTACTGCAAACAATGTTATGCCTGGAAATCTTGTGTGATTTAGAGCTTCCTTGACTCCACCACAAAAGAGCGACAGTAAGTTAGATACTGTAAAATCATATATTTTCGTGGGGTCAAATTTTTGTGGGTTGAGGAAAATCTATGGGTTCGTGGGGATTAGATTTCGTGGATGAAGAATTGTTGAGTAGTTATGTATATGACATTTTACATTTGGTGGTGGACATGAATTCGTGGGTCTCTTCATACCTCGAAAACAACGAAAATTAAACCTCCACGAAAATTAGTGATTTCACAGTAACCACTAGGTTTTTGTTTGTTTATTGTTTAATGTTCCTCTCAAAAATTTTTCACTTATATGGATCAAGACACCACCACTTGCTGGTGGAGGGCTACAAATTTAGACTATACTCGGCACTCAGGGCCATTGAGCAATGAGGGATCTTTTTCATGCCAGCACCTACTGTGACAAGGGACCTCTGTTTTTCATCCAAAGAACCAATCTCCACATCCCGCAGTAGGATTTGATCCTGTGATGTAAGGATCAACTCTTTATACCATGATTCTAGAGTAAACACTCTAACCACTGTGCCACGTGGGCAACTAACAAAATGGAACAATTTTGCTTTAAAATTGATATAATTTTTATAACTTTGAAGGCATTTTTTAATAAACTTAAGCTTTAGAATGGTTGATTTTCTTTTTAAATATGGGAACCCCAATGGTTCTGAGAAAAAGTATCAGCCAGTACTTTTACAGTAATTTTTCATTGGTCTGTTGACTCTGGTCAACTTTCCTGAGGTGGGTTTTAATTGTTGTAAAAAATATTGGCCTGGCTGCCTGCTTTTAAAAGATGATCACCTGGCTTCTGTGATAATTAAGTCCATAATTAAACCTAAGGTAGTTCAATTTCAATACATGTATATGTATATATGTACACAGAGACTCTCACTTTTCTGACATTTGTGAATTGAAATTGCACTATATATAACACTTAAGACAGGGATTGAAATTAACTTTTTTGACCACTAGCAAATTTTACCTAGTGGAATTTTTTTTTTACTAGCAATATTAAATGTTCACTAGCATTTCTTGTCATAGTAATTAACATAGGAATTATATCAATAATTTCATAGAAAACTAATTTACATCTTGTGAGTACGTGCATTTAAGTCGTTTTATACAAGACGTTTTGCACAAGAAGAAATTAGCTTAAGCTTCAAAATATGCACGGATACAGGGGTGTGCAATTAAAAAATTCAAGATTGATTATTATAGGTTAATGCCGAGTTGGCAATATTTCAGCCATATTTCAGCGAAAAAGTTCAAGCACTAGCCCACTACTGGCAGCAATAAAATCACTAGCCCCCAAGTAAAAAGTTACTGGCCGAAATGTAGAGGGAAAAAGTAACTTGTAACCAACATTGAAAGAAAAGTTAGTTAATTGTTGAAAAATTGAGGGTCATTCTTTTTAAAATTTAAGTTTAATTCTCAATAGAAAAATTAAATCGTATTTAAATCAATAATTATGATTGAAAATTAAAAGAAGAATGAATTTAAATTAATTATCTTCCTTTTTTTCTGGTCATTGCACTAGCTCATCTAAATTGAGATTTTTTTTCATCTTGAATCATTAAATACAGTGAAAAAATATTTTTTTTTAAATCACATAACACTTTTCCTGTAGTTGATTGAGTGACCGTAAATAATTTAATGGGATATCTACATGTATTTACCATAAACACAGGAATGGAGGAAATTCGGATTAGTAAAAAACAATTGTTTTTGGAAGTAAATTAGTCAACTAGTACTGCAAAATGGATAAGATTATGGAGATTTACGAACTATAGGAGCATGCTGCCTGGAAATTTTTTATTGTTTAGGAATTTAATAGCAAAAAAAGAATAAAATATGAATGAAAATACCTGTAGTGATTTTCAGTTATACATGCAAGGGTAATTTTACCTTTTTTTTAAACTCGCAAAAGTTAGCGACCACAGGTCGCCTTTAACCCACAATTTCTGTTTTCAATTCGCATCTAGCGAGTATTTCCCGTTAATTTCGACCCCTGCTTAAGGGAAATAATATTTTATATCACTAAATTATTGTTTTTGGCAAAATATTTACAGTTAGAGTACAACTGTAACATTAGTTTTACATATTGTTATTAATAGACCTGACTTAATATACAAATAAGTATTTTTTGGCTTGATAATTGTAATTGTTTTCTGATGTATTGAGTTTCAAATATAAATACTCACAAAATTAATGTCGATTCAATATTTTGAAAATTTAGATCTTTGAAAATTTGCTATGAAAGATGAAAATTTCGTTATTTTTAACTTCTAGGGGACACAAAATCAGTTCTCTGTAACTGTAAAATTTGCTATATCCAAGTTCGTTATATCCGTAAAATTTTACAAGGAATTGTTAAAGATTTCGCCACGGTTTGCTAAAAAACTTCGCTATATCCATAAGTTCACTATATCCTTGTTCGTACTAGACGAGTTTTACTGTAATCACATTCAATCAATAACTTGATTAAATTTTACACCATCACTAAATAAATGTGATCTCGCTTGGCATGATAAGCATATGCTAGTGTAGTTTATGTCATATTTGGCATGGTTAATTGTTCAAATTATGACTCTATGGACAGATTGGGTAGATCATGAAGCTCTATACCAGTCAGTTCAATCATTAGAAATTAGCAAAAAGGGAATAAACTTTATAAATAGCAGATAAACAATGTTACATCAATGTTACATCAAATGTAGTTTACTTAATTTAAATGTTATGTAAAATGATAATGTACAATATTACATAAAGAGATTATTTTTGTAATTTTCATTGGCTGAATGGATATCACATGATATTCGTCCTTTTATGATATTAATGCGTAAGCGCATCTGTGGAATATGATATCACACAACTCACCATTCAGTTGCACCAAAGACCATGACATCACAATATAAGAAGCATGTTTTTTACCATTGTGACAAATGACAGCCAAGTCTGTTAGGTTAAGATTGTGTAAGATTATTCACTTTGACTGATTATATAACATAAAAATTATGGACTTCAGTGTAGGTCGATATGCAGTTGGTTATAAGGACCCATGTCAAGTGATACTGACCTCAGACACAGAAAATGATAGTGACCTCACAAGCTTGGTTGCCAACACTTTATGTGTCTTCGGTCAATATCACTTGACATGGGTCCTTATAACCGCATATTGACCTACACTTAAGTCCATAATTTTATATCAACATTTAATATTATGCACAATGCAGCTATCTTCTTTATTGACATTGGTATGAAAGGCCATATACATGTATAGTTAAAATTAATGCAAGTCAGGTGTCTAGACGCTTCACCTATCTGGATGATTCTGACTGGAATCCAAAGCATCTGGATAAATGAACCACCAATGTACATGCATTGAGTAAATTTCCCGATTCAATCCTTTTTTGGGGGGGGGGGGGGGACTTGTGAATTTTGCATTTTTACATTCAAATATGATTTAATGTATATAATCATGATATACACATGCTTCTGTAAAATACTTCATCCACCTCTGAATTTGTGAAATAAGGATACTTGACAAGCTCAATGGCCTGAGATTTGAGGTATTGTAATCCTACATTTTCATTGAAGGATGACATGTGATAATGAATATTTTGCTCTGAAAAATAAAGAGGAAGATTTCAAAGAAAAACATTTCTTATTAACACATCAAAACATTAATAAGAGACCCATGGGCCACAACACTCACTTGAGTAACTTTGGCCAGACTGTTATTCATCAGATTTTATTTCCAATGTACATGTATTCCTATGTAAAATTTGGATCGCCTTTTGTGGCCCCACCCTATATACAGTTGCCGTGATTTTGGAAAAATTAATCTACACTACCAGAGGATGCTTCCACATTAATGTGATTCATCACGGCTTTGCAGTTCTTGAGGAGGTTAAAAAATTTTTCATAAATAATCCCTATTGTTGCCCAATTTACCCCCTTGTCCATGATCTGAACAATTTACATCAACACTATACTACCTCAGAAAGCTTTCACCTTAATTTCATCTTTTCTGGTCCAGTGGTTCCTGAGAAGTAGATATTTCCTATATATTTCAATGTAAAACTTTGATTCCCTTATGTGGCCTACCCTTACTCCCATGGGGCATGATTTGAACAATTTACAATTTATACCATCTCAGGAAGCTTTCACATCAATGATCAGTTTCAGTTTTTCTGGCCCATCCATTCTTGGTTTTTAAAGATTTTTCCTATATATTTCAATGTAAAATTTGAATCCCCTATTGTGATCCCCTACCCCCGGGAACCATGATCTGAACAATTTAGAACACCTACTCCACCTTACGAAGCTTCCATATAAGTTTCAGCTTTTATGGCCCAGTGGTTTCTTGAAAAGAAAATTTTTAAAAGATTTTTCCTTTTTATTTCAGTGAAGCTTCAATCTCCCATTGTGGCCCCACCCTACCCCTTCGGGACATGATTTGAACAATTTAGAATCTACACTACCTCAGAAAGCTTCAACATGTTTCTGCTCTTCTGAATCAGTGTTTCTTGAGAAGATTTTTAAAGGGTTTTTCCTTTAAACTTTGATTCCCTATACCCCTCCCCTTCTGCAATGATGTAAACAATTCAGAATTAGACTTAATCAGGAAGCTTCCACTTAAGTTTCACCTTTTTTTGGACCAGTGCTTCTTGCGAACAAGATTTTAAAGATTTTTCCTAAATATTTCAAAGGAAAACTTCAATTTCCTTTTGTGGACCAACCCTAACCCCAAGGGCCATGATTTGAACAATTCAGAATCTACACTACCTCATGGAGCTTCCACAAAATTTGGCTTTTCTGGCACAGTTGTACATGGGAAGAAGATTTTTTAATGACCTCTCCCTAGTTTTGCTTTTTCTTGATTATCTTACCCTGGAAGGGGGCTTGGCCCTTTGTTTTATTAATTAACCCTTTACTCAGTGGTTCTTGAGAAGAAGTTGAAAATGTGAAAGTTTACAGACGGACGGATGGACAGACAGACTGACAATAGGTGATCAGTAAAGCTCACTTGAGCTTTTAGCTCAGGTGAGCTAAAAAAAAGTTAACGGATAAACAAATGGCGAACTTCGACTAGAAAAGCTCCCTTAAGTCTTCAGTTCAGCTGAGCTAAAAATATATCTCAAATGTTTTTAAGGAAGTTCTAAACATTGAACACTAAAGTCTTCTACTTTTATGGTAAAAATAATTTTAGCAATATATTAGACCCCAATTTACAAGTATTTTTTTAAGCAACAGTGGATATCTGTTTACTAATACTTAATTGTCTTTGAACATTTTTCCTTGGGAAATGTGACAAGCACACTATGTTGAAAATGAACTTGATAAACTAAGTATGTATGCCATTATATAATACTGATACAATAATATTCTTCAAGTCCAAAAAAAAAGATCATTAGTATTTAAGGCCTTTTTAAGAAAATTAAGTCAAGCCCTCAGAATGCTAAAATTACAATTCATTGATCCTCAGTTTGAACTGCCATGTCTGTAAAGCCTACCTTCTGCTACTTTAAAGCCCTGAAATTTGACTGGCTGAGCATAGTTAACCATGGACGATAAGTAAGGGTGAATATTAGTGGTGGCTCTCTCATAATGGTATGCTGACATCAAGGCTGCCTCTTCATCTGCTGTCAGGCTTCCCTTCAATCAAAATACAGTCATTATAGCTGATACAGAGAAAATTCACCAACTGGTATATTATGTCATACTTGAAATTAAAAATTTAGATGACTTAGCTTTAGAATTTACTCACATTTTATGCATCACACACGAGATAAGGTACATAATTGTAAAACAGTAAATAAGCAATGCGAAACAAAACTTTTATTGAGGAGTCAATAATTAAGAATCAGTTACATTATTTCTGGTTAATTTGATGAACTCTTTCAGAAACAGTTTTAAAATTTTGAGTTACTCACTTTTTTGCCAGAGAACTGCCTGAATGTTTTTTTAGCTAGACAATCCTCCCCATCAATGCTGATATCCATATCTTCACCCTTCCCAAGATGCAACTCTGGATGAGCATCAGTGTTTGTGCTTACTGTTGGGGGGTCAATTTCTGAAAATACAGTTTCTTTAAAGGCTTTGACCAAAATTTTAAATCACTCAAGACTTTAAAGACAAGCACCAGTAACAAATGGCTCTTTTATTAATAGGTTATATGCAGGTTCCTGGTTTTTTGAATGTCTCTTCTTGAAGACGGTTTTTATTCCAACTGGCAACTCTGTCAACTAAGACTTTTCACAAAATTCTTTGAATTCTCAGTTTTCTCAAAAAGCAAAACAAAACAAACAAAAAAATGCCCAAGAGGCCCAAGGGCCCAGAACCACTCCTCTGATAAACTGAATAACATTATCACTGTGACCTACCTTTAAGTCAACATATCATGGGACCCAAAGGCATCAACTCACAGGGTTTGATAATCCTTTTCGGCCCTTTAGTATCCAGACTATACTATTTAACTGAATAATGATAAAATTTCAAATTGTAACCTACTTTTGGGCTGACACTTTCAAGTGCCCCAAAGTTGCATGAACTTTCTAGGTTTAGTGACCTAAAAAGTTCGTTATTTCTAAGAATCCTAGTATCCAAGATACTAAGTATAACAGGAAAGGAGAAAAATGTGATGGACCAGACCAGGATTCAACCTCAGGCACCCTGAATCAATAGTCAGATGCTCTACTAACTGTGCTATCTGGCCACCAGGGATTGAACCTGCTTGACTGCCACATTTCTCCATCCTTCAAGGTCTTTGCCCCCAGAGACACCAACCCAGGCTCTTCCCTCTCACCTCCAGGGCATGGCATAGTACCAAATGTAACAGGAAAAGAGAACAAGTGGCCCAAAGGCCTCAACAGACACCTGAGTATAATATAACACTGTAAAGGATTCAAAGAAGTATAAAATATAACAAAACAAGAAGTCTGTGAGCCAATGCTTACTAGTAATACCCCCACTCTGATGTGGATATACACTCTGATGTGAATATACAAAGGTTCAGTTACAGACAGACACAGGGATGAACAGGAAGTTGACATCATTTTCATACAAAAACGAATCCCATCATATGGCATGCCTCAACAAAGAGTATGAATAAATTTCATGCATCTGCAATGAGTAGTAGCTGAGAAAATTGCCACGAAAATCTGTTACACATGGAAGGGACAGACACATGGAAGTTAACATCGGGTTCATCCAAAAATGTATCCCACCATATGGCATGCCAAAACAAAGAGTGTGTTAAAATTTCAAGCATCTGAGATGAGTAGTTGCTGAGAAAACTGCAATGAAAATTTGTTATGTATAGTACAGACAGATGCACAGATAAACAGGAAGTTGACCATGGATTCGTACAGAAATGAATCAAACCATATGGCATGCCTAAACAAAGAGTGTGCTAAAATTTCAAGCATCTGCGATGAGTAGTTGCTGAGAAAACTGCCACGAAAATCTGTTATGTATGGAATGGACAGATGCACGGATAAACAGGAAGTTGACCACGGAATATACAAAAATGAATCCCACCATATGGCATGCCTATACAAATTGTGTGCTAATGAGTAGTTGCTGAGAAAACTGCAACGAAAAATTTGTAACGGACAGACAGACAGACAAACACACACAAGGGTTAAACCGTATACCCCCCTCTCCTTCGGAGCGGGGGTATAATAAACTGATAGATGAAGATATTTTGCCCAAAAGCAAGAGAAATAGGATAATCAGGGGTCAACAAAATAGTTAGTCTAGTACTCCATATCAAATCATAAAGTAGATTATTTACTTGCTTGTACTTGCTGGTGCTAATACACTTCCATTTGTAACTATCACCATGTAGACAAAATGAAACAATAGCGCTTGATCACTTATAAGAAGCCCATTCCATTTCTTCTCACACTGGCCTCTCTTGATCTTTGAAGAACATTTATATATAAAGATAAGGTATTTTGGTCTCACATTATTTATCTGCTATTTACAAGTCTACCTGACCATTTAAAAAAACTATGAAAGTACTTTTTGTAAGACATTAAAAATTCTTGTGAAATTCTTTTAATCAATTAACTGATCAATTACATTATTTACAGTGATTAATTATCATAGCTGAGTAGCACACAGAAATAACTTTTCTCAGTAGAGTACAAATTTCCCTACAATACCAACAGAGCTTTGCCCAGCACCAGAACACTTGATCCAGTGGTCCAGAATATCACAAATCTACTAAAAAAAACTCTTGCTCATTACAAACTGTATTCTGTTTGCCTCTTAGATGCCCAGGAGCATAGAAGATTTTCAAAAAATTAATGCATTTTAACTATATAATCAATAAAGCCCTGTCCTAACACCATTGTCCGACCCAAGATTGTGAAATTCACAATTTTGAAAGAAGCACCCTTGCTCATTATAATCATGCCATTAGTTTGTCTGCTAAATACCCGGGGGCAAAGCAGATTTTCAAAGAATCAATCTAAATACCCAGGAGTATAGAAGATTTTCAAAGAATTAATGCATCTTCACTATATAAATAATAAAGCCCATCCCTAACACCAGAATCTCTGACCCATGGGCTATGAATTTCATAATTTTGGAAGATTTGCTCATCATAACAATGCAATTAGTTTGTCTGCTAAAAACCCAGGGGCAGAGAAGAAACTTTTAAAAGAATTTATGTATTTTCACTACATGATCTATAGAGTCCCATACTAACAGCAGACTCCTGACCCAGAGGTCATGAAATTCACAATTTTCAAAGAGGCACCCATGCTTATCTTTACCATATACATACTTTATCTGCTAAAGTAAGATTTTTAAATAATGCATTTTCGCTATATAATTAATATAACCCACCCTAACACCAGAATCCCTCACCAAGAAGACTTGAAATTAACAATTTTGGAAAAGGCATCCTTGCTTATCAAAACCATGCAATTAGATTGTTTGCTTAATACCCAGGAGCAGAAAAGAATATTTTTGAAGAAATAATCTATTTTAACTATATATTCAATAGAGCCCTGCCCTAACACCAGAACCCCTAGGCCTGACCCCGGGGGCCAAGAAATTCAAAATTTTAGAAGATGAAGCCTTGCTTATCATAACAATGCACTTACTTTGTCTGTTAATACCTAGGAGCAGAGAAGAAGATTTTCAAAGAAACAATACATTTTAACTAAATACAGTTGAACTCCGGTATCTCAAACACTGATATCTTGAATACTATGGATATGTCAAAGTGATTTGGAAGTCCTAATCCCTTATTCTTTAAGTATTTTACCCCGGATATCTCGAATCCTCGAATATCTCCAAATTTTTTCTTGGTCCCATTGGGTTTGAGATAATGAGGTTTGACTGTATATTAAACAGAGCCCTGACCTAACACCTAAACCCCTCAGACCCAGGGGCCATGATATTCCCAATTTTGAAAAAGCATCCTTGCTCATTATCACCATGCACTTAGTTTGTCTGCTAAATATACAGGTGTAGAGAAACTTTACAAAGAATTTATACATTTTCACTATATGGTCGATAGAGCTCCACCCTAACTCCAGAATCTCTGACCCTAGGGCCTTGAATTTCATATAATTGGAAAGGACTCATTGCTTGTCATAATCTTGCCAACAGTTTGACTGCTTGACGTCCAGGAGTAAAGAACATTTTTGAAAATTGCATAATGTTTATAGTTTTGGTCCCACCCCTAAGGCCCCAGGGGGCAGAGACCATGAAATTTACAAATTTTGTCCCCCTTTGCTCAAGGATGCTCTATTGGTTGAAATTGGTTTAGTGGTTTATGAGAAGAAGCAAAAAATGTCCAAAAGTTTAACATGAAATATATGGAGATAACGAACAGTATTCAAGCTCAAAAGTCCATTAAACAATACAAAATAGGAGCAGAGCAAACATGGACCTCCAAAACATCAGAGGTGGGATCAGGTGCCATGGAGGAGTGAGCATCCCCTGCCGACCAGTCACACCCGCCGTGTGCTCCTTGTCATGATCAGGAAATAACGGAAAAATCCGTCGACAATTCAGTGTGTAAACAATGGCCTAACAATTAGTATGAAAAACGTCAGTCAGCATTTGACTCAATGATAAATTGTATTTGCTGGCAAGGTCATTGTATTGACCATAGAACTTACGAAATGATGACTTTAAATGAGACTGCTGATATTCTTGTTTCATCAACTTGTTTGTCAATAATTTACCTCGTTTTAGAAATTGTACATACATAGAGCATGCTCTTGCGTATTGAATCAACTAAGAGATATAAACCCCGTATGCAGGTGATGAAAGTATATTGCTGCATAAGTAAGGAAAGTTAAAGTCATCACGTTTATCATAAAGCTTGGTTGTTAGATTACCATTAACGTCTTTTAGATTACCATTAATGTCTTTTTCAAGTAAAATATCCAAATATGAAACAGATGCTCTGTGGTATCTTTTATCTCAAGCTCACCAGAATGATGAACTTATTACCTTGTGTGTTTTTATAATACCATACATTGCCAATCTTTAAATGTATAAAGAAAAAGTACAATCTGCTGGCATAGAACGACATATGGATGTGATTGAAATGGAAATGAGAAATTATGGGCTCTTACTAGTTTTTTTTTTTAAATTTAGGTTGTGGTGGTGGTGGGTGTGATTATGGTCCATGAGAAGATTTTTTTTAGCATCCATTATTTTTTTTTTTTTTCAATATTTCCCCAAATATCTTCCCCTGTTTAAGAATTACATCCCTTTTATTAGTATAAATGGAAACCCCTTGGCCAGAGGATACTCTGTGACACATTTGATAAAAGTTGGCAAGGGGATTTTTGAGATTTGGCCCACTTCCAAAAATTAATTCACACTGCACACCAGGCCAGAGCATAAGCTCTTTGAGCTTTCAGCTCAGATGAACTAAAAATTATCATTCACCACAATGATCTTATTGAAATAATTTTCAGGCAAAGAAACTAGTTCTATCAGTACCTGATTCAATATTGGGTGGCACTGTAGAAGTGAAGTCACAAAGGGCTACCTAAGCACTGAGGCCATGCTTTAATAAATTTGATTCTGCATTTATCA